CAAACATGAACCGCTGTCCAAAGATGTGAAATAAATTATGAAATCATCATGACTTATGACATATAACAAAATACTTTAACTATATCTCTTGAACTCATGTAGCGGTGGATTAAAGGGTCCATGAAATGAAACACATTTTGTGCTACTTTCTACTCTTCTTAAATGTATGAAAACTATTTGACATCCCTTTTTGGTTTATTTTTGTTCAAAAGTGCACTTCTTTAAACATTTAAAATTTTCTATGCTTTTTTGGACAACTGAGGGCGCTGTTGCCGAGATGTCATCTCAGGGAGACACTGTTCAGTTTAAGGGTTTGTGTTCAAATGTGAACCCAAAAATCTGCTCATTGATAACATTTATGAGAAAGGTTTACTCATTGGCTTACTGCCATGTACTAACACAACAACGAATCACCAAAGAAAAGAAAATTTCCAACAGCGACATATCCAAAACTCTGGCAACTTTTCGTGCACAAACCAATTGCAACATTGAGGTTTCTGTCTGATATGACATCACGCTTTTGCTCATGAATATGGAAATTTGCATTTTGCATAAAAGCCAAAAAGGCGCTAAAATACCCTTGAAAACGGCAAAATGAAAATTGAAAATAAGGTTAATTGGGACACAAAGGTGCATTTTCAAGAATTACATTAAAAAATTACATTTGATGGGCCCTTTAAATGGATTCAGTCCTCGTAATAATATTGCATCTTCGTAATCATATTGAACCCAGTGCCAGCTGCTGATGCTCACATCTGTCCTCTGACTGTGGTCGTTCTTGCCGATCAAGTATCGGCCTGTTCAGTCACCGCAGACGTCACCAATTACATCATCGTCCTAATCCGATATGATGCATGCGCAAGTCATCGTCATTACTGACGGACTACCAGAGAGCGAGGGGAATAGTCCATATCTTATCTAATAGGAAAGCTACATATAGGGGACTGATATAGGCCTATACAAATATACATATTCGAGTGTATAGCCTACCGAGTATATTGGCTTATGATTTGGGGGGGGGGGCGAATAGAAAATGTGATCATGCAAAAATATCCATTTTGACTGCTCATTTCTATAAATCTTTTTTTAAATACATGGATATGTCGTGTGTTGACACAAAACTTCTGATATTTGTCATTTGATAGTTAACGTTACCAGGCATGTGAGCGCGCGAAAGTGTAGCAGGAACCTGGCCCACTTTTTAGATTCAAGAAGACCCTTCCTTCACAACAGGCTGGCCATGAGCCTGACTTTGCAGAAATATTGCTTTGAAGATTAAATTGGGAAGGCCTCCTTACGATGGACAGATGCGCCGTACACTGCTCCTTAGTCAGTGCTGGTGTCATTTCTTGTCCCTCTGGCGATGCTCACGTTTATTGATACCCTAAATCTCAGACTACAAAAAGAGTCGTCTTTAGTCTTAGAATATAAATGTATAATTATCGAAGGAGGAAAGCACATTAAGATAGAAGCAAAGAAACCTCACACACCAAAACGATAAATGCAGTAAATTTGATATATTTTGCCACAAACACCATCCTCGTTACCACTAAGAACTATACAGTTAACATCAAGCTAACTTCAGAGCTGTCAACATTCGCATCTTGCAATCAAGGAGATTGTGTACAACAATCAGGGACATTTTTAGAATTACATTCAACATAATAGAGAAAAAGTTTCCATAATCAGGGAGATTTTCAAATTTGTTCATCAGAACATGGACAGATTGGTGTATTTTCAGGGAACTTTCTGCAGAATCAGGGAGAGTTGGCAGCTAACTTAATACATGCAATATCTGGAGTTTCAGAAATAGACCATCAAACACTACATCCAATCCCCGCAACACAAGCTGTGAGCCTTCATACGATGCATCCAAGTAGTCTGCTTTTGTTCTGCGTTATCATCAGCCAAAACGCTTATAAGCAAAACACTTATAAGCCAAAACGCTTATAAGCCAAAACGCTTATAAGCCAAAACGCTTATAAGCCAAAAGTTTTATCCAAGATGTGCTGTCTGTGCATTGTCGATTTTCTCCCATCGATATGTGACCTATGAGTGTTATATTTCAACGAAAATAAAACATGCATACGTCAATGAGGGCGGGCACCACTCTCCACTTCCAGAACTGAATCAATGTCGAGCCGCAAATATTTCTGAACTTGTTAAAAAAGGTTATGCTATTTCACAAAACGTTAGCCGATTGTTTTCTTTAGATGCCTCACTTAGAAGGGGGGAACCTTTGTAGGCTATACAGCTAGAGAATGAGCAATTTTAAAACCGAAAATATATTATTCGTTTATATTTCCAAAAATAACACGAACAGTACAACTTTTAGCGATTTAAAGGTATTTAGTGTCTAAAGCAATCTTATTAACCGTATAATTTGGTTAAAAACCATTTTTCGGTTCAAACGTATTCATATCTAAATTTATAAGTGTATAACGTGTATTAAGTGTATAAGATAATAATAACTAAAATTGATTACATTGGAATGTACATAACCAAAAGTAAGTAAAGGAATTCTTAGTATTCGGATTTGTATGTCATTTTCTTTGTTACATGACCTTTTTCCAAAGTTCTGGTTCTGTGGATTAAATGTAAAAAGTTGTATTAATGCACTTAAAGGGGAGATACAACATTTGCAAATATCACAAAAAGGGATGATCGAATTATCACGAAATACCTTACTGGATTGTTAGGGAATGACAGTCTAAAACATTCTGTAAAATCGTGGCTCCTGGTTTGCTGTCATTTTCAAGAAAAATCCAGCGATGGAGAAAACTGGCTTTTTTCCAAAAGAGCTCCTAATTTTTCGTAGTTAGTTATTCCGCGTTTTCTTTGCAATTGATTACACACCTGTAAAGGGGTTCAAGCCTGCTAGACTGATTTTCTGACCTTACAATTCCGCAAAGTTTATAAATTGCTCTGTTTCATCTTAAGTGGGGTCAGGGAACCAGACTACAAGAACATGATTGGTTTTCTTGGTTTTTCCAGTATCTACAAGCCCAAATCGTGAAACAAGTCATTTTAACAATATTTGCTATAAAATACTCATCCTCCAAATCCATTTATTTCTGAAAATTGCAGCAAAAGCAAATGTTGTACATTCTCTTTAATCGACTTGTGAGATCTGCATAAGATCTGCATTGTTGTGTTTATTTTTTTTAAGCGAAGCTTCAATGGAATGTTTTTAACAGTATGCCTATGTTTGAATTTTGACATATTTGAGGATATGATTAAATTGGGAAGGCCTCCTTACGATGGACAGATGCGCCGTACACTGCTCCTTAGTCAGTGCTGGTGTCATTTCTTGTCCCTCTGGCGATGCTCACGTTTATTGATACCCTAAATCTCAGACTACAAAAAGAGTCGTCTTTAGTCTTAGAATATAAATGTATAATTATCGAAGGAGGAAAGCACATTAAGATAGAAGCAAAGAAACCTCACACACCAAAACGATAAATGCAGTAAATTTGATATATTTTGCCACAAACACCATCCTCGTTACCACTAAGAACTATACAGTTAACATCAAGCTAACTTCAGAGCTGTCAACATTCGCATCTTGCAATCAAGGAGATTGTGTACAACAATCAGGGACATTTTTAGAATTACATTCAACATAATAGAGAAAAAGTTTCCATAATCAGGGAGATTTTCAAATTTGTTCATCAGAACATGGACAGATTGGTGTATTTTCAGGGAACTTTCTGCAGAATCAGGGAGAGTTGGCAGCTAACTTAATACATGCAATATCGGGAGTTTCAGAAATAGACCATCAAACACTACATCCAATCCCCGCAACACAAGCTGTGAGCCTTCATACGATGCATCCAAGTAGTCCGCTTTTGTTCTGCGTTATCATCAGCCAAAACGCTTATAAGCAAAACGCTTATAAGCCAAAACGCTTATAAGCCAAAACGCTTATAAGCCAAAACGCTTATAAGCCAAAAGTTTTATCCAAGATGTGCTGTCTGTGCATTGTCGATTTTCTCCCATCGATATGTGACCTATGAGTGTTATATTTCAACGAAAATAAAACATGCATACGTCAATGAGGGCGGGCACCACTCTCCACTTCCAGAACTGAATCAATGTCGAGCCGCAAATATTTCTGAACTTGTTAAAAAAGGTTATGCTTTTTCACAAAACGTTAGCCGATTGTTTTCTTTAGATGCCTCACTTAGAAGGGGGGAACCTTTGTAGGCTATACAGCTAGAGAATGAGCAATTTTAAAACCGAAAATATATTATTCGTTTATATTTCCAAAAATAACACGAACAGTACAACTTTTAGCGATTTAAAGGTATTTAGTGTCTAAAGCAATCTTATTAACCGTATAATTTGGTTAAAAACCATTTTTCGGTTCAAACGTATTCATATCTAAATTTATAAGTGTATAACGTGTATTAAGTGTATAAGATAATAATAACTAAAATTGATTACATTGGAATGTACATAACCAAAAGTAAGTAAAGGAATTCTTAGTATTCGGATTTGTATGTCATTTTCTTTGTTACATGACCTTTTTCCAAAGTTCTGGTTCTGTGGATTAAATGTAAAAAGTTGTATTAATGCACTTAAAGGGGAGATACAACATTTGCAAATATCACAAAAAGGGATGATCGAATTATCACGAAATACCTTACTGGATTGTTAGGGAATGACAGTCTAAAACATTCTGTAAAATCGTGGCTCCTGGTTTGCTGTCATTTTCAAGAAAAATCCAGCGATGGAGAAAACTGGCTTTTTTCCAAAAGAGCTCCTAATTTTTCGTAGTTAGTTATTCCGCGTTTTCTTTGCAATTGATTACACACCTGTAAAGGGGTTCAAGCCTGCTAGACTGATTTTCTGACCTTACAATTCCGCAAAGTTTATAAATTGCTCTGTTTCATCTTAAGTGGGGTCAGGGAACCAGACTACAAGAACATGATTGGTTTTCTTGGTTTTTCCAGTATCTACAAGCCCAAATCGTGAAACAAGTCATTTTAACAATATTTGCTATAAAATACTCATCCTCCAAATCCATTTATTTCTGAAAATTGCAGCAAAAGCAAATGTTGTACATTCTCTTTAATCGACTTGTGAGATCTGCATAAGATCTGCATTGTTGTGTTTATTTTTTTTAAGCGAAGCTTCAATGGAATGTTTTTAACAGTATGCCTATGTTTGAATTTTGACATATTTGAGGGTAATAAAAACCTTTGACATTTAAAACTACAACAGTTACGTCATCTAGAGAACGGGTGAGTTTACAATAGTTAAACAAATTGGTTATTTTCTTATTGAATGTCTCTGATTATATTGTATTTTTTGCGACAAGTGTTTGAATACTGCATTACATTGTATTACATATGTACAATTGCTCCTTTGTGTGGGCGTTGTCACGGGTTGAAGACAAAAATTACACTTAAGCGTTTGTGAAAGAATAGCATGGGTAATGCAAACTATTTCGTCAACACTTTCAATACAAGTACGAACTGTTCTCTAAACTTTTTCTCTAAGGCCAGAAAATAGAGTGCATTTTGCTATAAGTATTTTTACAAGCATTGGTTTCTACATATCGATCTGATGTTTCCCAAGATTTCTGTTAAAATCATTACCATCTTTATAAATGATTAAATTTTATACTTGATTATACATCAAATAATAACAAAAGATCCCACTTCACTCATATAATTTAACAGCATTTAGTCAATAATACGTGTGTTCATGTCGGCATTTTCTGCGCGCTTACAGACTGAGGAGTTCTGGGTAAATGCTTCGAAAAATTAATTCAATTGTTCAAGGACTACTCTTAGCGAACACAAACACGATTGTGAAGAATGGAAGGTGAAATAAAATCGTTCACTATACAGCAAAAGTCCTACACAGTGATCAACTCAGGTTTCCTCTCACCATCTTTGGGGTAATTAGAATTTTTTCTAGAATAGCGTTAGAAATACAAGTAATGCAATAATCACACAGTTCCATGGTTTGCTCCGGATCTTGGTTCAGCCACCGTATCCACGCCACGCCCCTTAGCTGACTTTACAACTCACGTCTTGAGTGTTTTTCACTGCTCGTTCAAGCCTGGGAAAAACAATATCACAGTTCAATCAGGTGAAACGCTAAAATTTTGGCGGTGCACAAATACTCGCATGTGCGCTTGGTATTACACAGCAAAACTAGTGGCTGACACATTATGGTGCAATCAAGAATATGTACAGGGTGTGTCAAAAAAAGCGGAACCCAAACCCCCCAAAAATATATTTCATATTTAAAAAATATATGTAGCACCAAACATAATAATGACTGGAAAGCCAATTTCATAAGCTACTTTTAGATAAAAAAAGAAATACTGAAATTGCTTTTAATAATCCGTTCAAAGAATATCACTATTTAAACGCAATGACCCTAAAACCTGTTTCGTCAAAAAAGCAGTTTATTGTGTATTTTGACTGTTTTTAAGCAACAGTTAAAGAAAATGACACAGAATACTTGTTTCAACAACTGTCAACAACTGTAGTACACAATACCCTGGTTAGGCAAACAATATGATTTATAAAATACCCTTTTTTGAAAGACAGGCCTTCAAAAGGACTTTGTTGAATATTTTTAACTTTTAAACTGAGGTTTTATCGCTGGTGATGTTTAAAGACAATTGTGACGACGATTCTTGAAATCGCATTTTTGGACGAAAGAGGTTTTAGGGTCATTGTGTTTAAATGGTGATATTCTTTGAACGGATTAAGCAATTTCAGGGTTTTTTTCATCTAAAAGTAGCTTATGAAATTGGTTTTCCAGTCATTATTAGGTTTGGTGCTACATATTATTTTAAATATGAAATATCGTTTTCGACTTTGGGGTTCCGCTTTTTGTGACTCACCCTGTATATGGTATGGATATGCCCTTTGCTCAACTTTGTTGCCCATACGCCCTTGCTGCCTGTACACTGTACGTGAATGGGGGGACTAGGTATTCACAATGAATTTTGTGGATTATTTGAAAATAAAGAAATGATAAAAAGCAATCTCACCTTTTCTTTTGGTGGAGGTCCTTTAGTAACTTCTCAACCCCTGGATTGAGAGTGACGTCAAGAACATTGCTCCCTTTTTTATTCTTGATGTAGATGTCCGCGCCATTTTTGATCAGGTAGACTGCTATGGCAACAAGGTTGGATTTTTGGTCGGACGAACTGCCACCGTCACCGAGCTGCTCGGCGAGCTGCAACAACTACAATTATACATGAAAAGTAATACTTGGATGGGTTATTCGGCCTCTGGTAGGCAAACTGTAAACGACACACGCCTTTGTGCGTTTTTTAGTGGGGCATGCGTTATGTGTTTTTACAAACGGTACAATTAGAATACAGGCGATCTCGACAAACAAACAGAGATATTTCCTGAATCTGATAATGCACTATGAGAAGGTATGTGATCTACCTATTAGTCAAATGGTGTTTGATTATTTTTCATACAGAGAGCCTCAAATTCTTAATGATTAAACTGTCTATAACTGCGCCCAGTTACAGCCGCCTGTGTCGCAAAAATGCAAGCAAAGCACTATTTGACGCCGATTGCTTGCCTTTATATCAATTACCATATGAAAGTTTTGGACAACTAGCTGCAGCTTAGAAAAGTGGTCCTTCGTAAAAGCAAAAGGATGGGCTCAGAATTACATAATCAACGGAAACCGATTGCTGTGTGTTGCCACCAAGCATGCAGATGTGTTTAGTTTAATACCTGTCCCAGGGGTGTGACTCGCATGATGTCTTTCATGGAGGCTTTCATCATGACCAGATGGAGGCTTGTATCTCCGTCGCTATCCTGGGCGTTCACATTGGCACCGTTGTTGACCAGAGCCTCGATACACTTGTTGTGGGTCTTGTCGACGGCCAGGTGCAGCGCTGTCTGTCCATTGTTAGTCTTCAGTTCTTTATTACAGCCAGCCTTAGTGAAACAAATGGAACAGTATACAAGCTATTAAGGTATAAGATATTTTGCGAATGTCGGAGACGCACAGAGTCTTAAAAATTGGGTGCAATGCACATTAACTAAACTCTTATTGTGTTTTGTAAACCATTAGTGTACGTCCAGATTACTGCGAGACATGTCCCGCCACGGTAAGGCGTATATGCATCCTTTTTGGTGAGAAATTGAGATGAATGACCTCACCTGTTTGACGAGGATCAAAGTGATGTCGGATAAACCGTTGAGTGCAGCGAGGTGTAGTGCCGAAAAACCGTCATTTTTAGCAATGTTGATCATGTTTGGCGAGGCTTTCAGAATCCCTTCCACGGCACTGCAATAACAAAAACCGCTTTGTGAGATTGTTTACCGCTAAAAATTAAAACAGAAACCATGATTTCAGGACTGATTATCGAGCTCAGATATTTGTTCTCCTGAAATTTAGCATGAAATATGATTTCTGGACCCTTCCTCTTGCCGTAAACGTGGTTTGGAGGAAAATAGCAAACACCCGCGGGTGCAGGCTGGTAGGTAGGCCCAAATTTGCATAAGACGCTGCTTCGAGAACTCGGCTATAAGATATTGTCTTGATTCAGAAATGAAAAGTTGGTCTTCAATTTCAAAGTGAAATGTTGAGAGAGACAGTAAGACATTTTGCATTCTGGCTCTACTCAGGGCTGGGGATCGAAGGCCGCATTATATCCCATTCTAAGTTCTACAATGACGTCACGTTCAGTGTAAAGGGAGATTGATTTGTACGTGATCCATGGAAAACGCCTCAATGTCGATCCTCTTTCTCGTGCATTCGCGCACAACATGAGCATGGTTTTACAGGTTCACATAAGTAAAGCTGTAGGTGAATGTCACAATTGAGCAAAACACTTTTTCAAATGCTGAAGTTTCACATTCTATTGGCCGTTGTTACACCCCCCCCCCTGCTAAAAAAGGGGAAAAAGAACGAGGACGTACAAAGTGATTTGGCAAAACACGGCATGATGCAAACTGTTGAATCCCTTCTTGTTAACCTGACGGAGGTTAATTCGTGGGTGGTTTATCAGCCAATGGATGATCTGCTTGTTGTTCTTGGGAATGGCAAGGAACAGTGGACTGTCGCCATCCTTGTCCTATTCAATTAAGTACAAGGAAATCAAATATTAGCATTGGTGGTATTTCTTGTTTTTCTTCATGTCTTGCTGTCTGATGATGATGCATGTTTCTGACAACAAGGAAGTGGTCGGTACGGTACTGCCCTCAAATGTGATCGTGTTGTACTATACCTCCCCGACATCTGCCTGGCGGTTAACGTTTTCATCTTTTGCTGAGCGATGGACTTATGTTGCTTTTTCATCACAGTACACAATTTTCCCGATGGAAACAGAATTAGTGTACGATTCATTTATAACTTCAATGACGCAAAGGGTGTTGCTTTCTCAGCATGCATGGCCTCTCAATCGTCACGCTTCCATATCAACACGAGTGTGATCTACTGGAGATATGAAACGGGTAACAGTGTACACGCATACTCATATATTTATATCAACAGTCCTTTCAGTCGTGTTGTCTCATAGATATATGGATAAATCTTGAGATCAAAGCCCTAGAACAGCAAATGAATAGGTAACTTCAAAGTATTATGAATGAGAACAGCCTTCAACAACTTACTTTGTAGTTGACGTCGCATTTTTGCTGGTCGTGTTTAAGCAGCACTTCCACGCATGTCTGGTGACCCTTGACAGCAGCAAGGTGGAGTGGGGTCAAACTATTGTTGTCGGCTGCGTTTATGTTGCTTCCTGCTTGCAAGAGACACTTGACAATCTCCGGCTTATCACTGTCAGAAAAACAAGTTACTGCATTTAGGCCATCAGCCTGGGGGTTTGGTCAGTATCAAATCAGGGCATAAATGATTATAGTGCGCATGCCCAAGGTATACCGCCCCTAGAGTGGTAACAAGCATTTTGATTTTTAAGAAAAAGGGTAATAATACCCAAAAAGCTGCCACCGCTGCAATGCTATCACATATTTTCCAACTCTGGAGGTGTATACCTTGACAAATATCGCTATGACGATTAGGCCCCTGTTCCCCTCATTTTGATACCAGTGGCCAAAATTTTGGACCGAGGCTGATGGCCTAATTAATGTGGTGGACGCAAGTGTGAACTCACCTGACGAGTATACTTTCCCGCGCAGTCGACAACTTTGCTACACAGTCGACAACTTCGCTAAATTTACAAGCTCAATTTAGCACATTATTTCGTCTGTTAAAATTGAGCAGTTTCATGGAAAACCCTACTGAGTGTCTTACTTACTTGATCACCGAGGAATGGTGAGTTGAGATAGGAGTTACAAGTTGTTCATTTTGTGTGGTTTAGCCTCGAAGTTGGCTGTGCCTTGTCGGGATCTAACGTTTAACGATAATGCCCTATGTACATTTGTCATGTGTATTGCTGTACGTGCACTGGAGTATGATGGCACTGGTTTGCATGTAATCACGTGTATGCATATACGTACAATAGCATTGGCCATGTGAGGCGTATTTCGAAATCTTGTATTCATTATACAGGGTGTTAAATGGAGTGTTTCTTTGGGGTGTAAAATGGTATTGTAGTTTTCCTAATCGATTTTTACTTTTATTTCACTTGTTTCACCCTGATACCTATACCTGATGTTTGCATTTCTCCCTCCGTCTACACATACCTCCTTGTATTACTCCAAACTAGTTCAACCGTGTGCGTCATTCAAACATTATTTTTCCTCTATCATATAATATTTTTTTGGTATTTGAATTTCTTCTCATTACCATTTGTTCGCCCTTTGTCCGTCTGTTTGTTTGTTTGTTGTGGGTGTTTGTTGGTTTGTTGGGTGTCTGTTTGTTTATTTGTTTGTTTGCTGGCATGTCGGGGTGTTTGTTGGGGTGTTTGTTCGTTTGTGTGTCCGTTACATTTCTTCTGTTCTGTAACTTGTACATGTATATGTTGTACTTATTTATTATCATACTTCAAATGTATACCCGGTATTGTTCAATTAACTCCAAGGCATTCCCGTTACAACCCTTGGCCTTTCGGCCCCAAATGCAATAGAATTATTTGGATTACCAAGAGCAATCCACAAACCAAATTTGAAGATTATGTAAGATATTTCTCAAGTTATTTCGCTGACAAGATTTCTGTTGTTTTAGCCATTGTGACCTTAACCCTTACCCTTTCGGCCCCAATGACATAGGCTTCTTAGGATTACCAAGAGCAATCCACAAACCAAATTTGAAGTTCATATTCAAAGTATTTCTCAAGTGATCGCGCTGACAAGATTGATATTGTTTTAACCAATGTGACCTTGACCTTTGACCTTTCGGACCCAAATGCAAAAGGCTAAATTTTAGTATTACCAAGAGCAATCCACAAGTCACATTGAAGTTCATATATAAAGTATTTCTCAAGCTATCGCACTGACATTTTTATTGGTTTGGCCACTGTCACCTTGACCCTTGACCTTTCAGCTCCAAATGCAACAAGCTTCTTAGAATTACCAAGAGCAATGAAATCGGCTTCTTGGGATTACCAAGAGCAATCCACAAACTAAATTTGAAGTTCATATAGGTAAAGTATTTCTCAAGTTATCGCGCTGACAAGATCGAATTCTGTTGTTTTAGCCAGTAGGACATTGACCTTTGACCTTTGACCAAAATGTTCCGCGGTAGCTCCAACTGCGCCCTCTGTTGATGCACCTCCTCAATTTTTTTTTTTTTACCAAAGAGCACCAAGGAATGGGAAATTGCACCAAGGCAAATGATCGAGGGCACCAAGGCAAATTATGGTCTGTCGCACGAGTTAGTCTACTACGCATGCGCTTTACAAAGCAATCAGGGACTGTCGCACGGGTGTAGTACGCACACGCAAACATCGCCCAAACGAGCTACACACGAAGAGTTGGTTAAGGTTGCACGGCGCGTTATTTTCCCGAGCTCAATGATGCCGAACTAGAGAATATTTATGGCAATAAAGATGCCTCCTGTACAAAAGAATAGTGTACACAAACTACTGTATTTACAGCTGCACTGTATTGTAAAACGAACTGAACTAGTGAAGTTGAGCAATACGATTCTTTTGGTGAACTGGACAAGTTTTTCAAAAAAAGTATTGTTTGAGGTTCCTTCATGAAACGAAAAAAAAAACCAAATCGGCGCTGAATATGTATTAGGTATAGTAAAACAAATATAACATGGTTTATTTCGGTTGGACAGCCGATATTAGCTCCTCTCGGTATTGGAAGTTGACAAACTCGTTCCCTCGGCTTCGCCTCGGGAACTAGTTTGTCAACTTCCAATATCTCGGGGAGCGAATATCGACTGTCCACCTTCAAACCATGTTATATCTGTATATTACTATACCTCATACATATTCATGATCGAGAGCCAAACTCTCACTGGTCAATTCACCATCACGTGCCAGATGTTATTCTTGCTGTTTACCAAAGGCTAAATACGCATGTGTAGTAGACTGTCGCACGGGTTACCCGTGCGACAGTGTACTACGCATGCGCTTTACAAAGCAATCGAGGAACTGTCGCACGGGTGTAGTACGCACGCGCGAACATCGCCCAAGAGAGATGTTTGGTTGCACGGTACGCGGTTCGCGTAAATTATATAATTGCCGGACTGGAAAAATGTATGGACAATAAAGATGCCTCCTGTACAAAAGAAAGTTGTACACAAACAACTGTATTTACAACTGTAGTTACTGTATTGCAAACGAACCGAACTAGTGAAGTTGAGCAACAATATTCTTTTGGTGAGCTGTTCAAGTTTCTCCGAAAATTTTGTGTTAGGTGCACAATTATATATAAAACAAATCGGCAACTGCATATGTATGAGGTATAGTAAAACAAATATAACATGGTTTATTTCGGGTTGACAGTCGATATTAGCTCCCCTCGGTATTGGAAGTTGACAAACTAGTTTGTCAACTTCCAATACGTCGGGGAGCGAATATCGACTGTTCACCCTCAAACCATGTTATATTTGTATACTATTCAACAGTTAGGTGCATGCTTGCTCCATGACGCGGTATTTGTGTGCAAATGCATGTTGGTGTGCGTGTTCAGCGTTGCGCGTAGCGCGTATTGTTCCAAAGAGCCAGCGCTACAGCGTTGGGTTCAAACATTTTCGTGAAGGGGTGGTTTGGAAGAGAGAAATACATTTTTCACAAATTTTGTACTGAAATAAAAGTTCAAATATATCAAATGACAAGAATCTATATGTCAGTTATATAAAACAAATATTGAGTGGCTTCGCCTCGTGTAATGGAAAAGTCAAGATTATACCTTGCGATAATATTCCTCCCATTCTACGCTGATCCACTCAATATTTGTATACTATCCATATAGTGTGAAGCGGCGTTGTTTGTAAAGCCGGTATGAGCTAGCTGCACTGGTGCAACAGGTACAAAGCGACTTGCTCGTGGCTGAATGACGCATTTTTTTCTGATCGATTAAGCTACTCCATCCACACAATGATCCTGTTGGATCCCACTCACACCTCAATTATTAGAGGCAAGTACATGAGGTAGCTCACCCGAGCACTGCATAGGCAAGTGCCGTGTCTCCGTCCTCATCTTGCTTTTCCAATGGTGCTTTGGCTTTCACCAAAGCTGTGACTACATCCATGTGACCGCGATGGGAGGCGGCCTGAAGGGCTGTCTGTCTTTGTGTCCCCCCTGTCTGAAATTTGACCTGTTAGAGAAACAACATCGATTCAAGAACATCTGAAATTAGCTTGTATATTTTTTTTTGCCCACAAGGTATGTATCAGGGTAAATTCAACTGAGGGGTTCGAAACCAGCTGCTGGCTGAATGTGTCCTTTGACAATGGTTAACAGTTGGGGAGTAACCTGCGATGGACTGCCATTTCATCAAGTAGAATTTCGGTCGTTTCAGGCTGAGAAAACTGGCTTGTTAAACCACACTGCATTGCCGAATGAGGGTGATTTCCAAGTTTTATGAGCTTCACTGGTGGCAGGAAAAGGACATTCCTTGGAAAACTGAAAATCCAATCCACATGTGGACAAGGGCAGAAATCGAACCCGGGCCACAGATGTTGGAAGACGAGGAAAACCATTGCACCAGCCTGACTCCTTATAAATTATGTAACCAGACTTTAAGCTAATCTTCTCACCGCCTCTGGATGATCACTGATGATCTCCCGCACTTTGTTGGTGTTACCGGTAGCTGCCGCCTGGAAGAGAGCAGCACCGCCCGATGTATCAGCGGATCCGTCAAGCAGGCCCCCTCGGAGTTTCTCTAACTCTGACTTCAGGAGTAGAGCAGCCAGTAACTCACCTACATTGGTGTCTGAAAACATGGAAAGATTTGAATCGCATCATCATCTTCTTAGTAGGTCGCCATGTCTTAACTCTAGACCTCTGTTTTAGTTTTTACGATGCAATAAGGCGCCAGTCTGAAGGATTTTAGCTCCATTTGGTTTTCATTGTAATATTATACCTAGTATTACATACATATAAAAGGGAAAGTCAATTTCTAACTAGTATACCTCATACATATTCACGAGAAAGGGCCGATTTCTTGCTGGTCCCTCAGCATCATACTCGTGTGTCGAAAACAATAGTGAATATGCCTGAGGTATATGGCATAACAAATATATTTGGTTTGAGGATGGACAGCCGTTCCCGAGGTATTGGTAATGAAAAACTAATACTACGGTGTTATATTTCCATACCATGTGTTATTTGCATTCTTGTCAATGCACCACCAACACGTGCCGGCCGATATTTCTATTATTTACCGAGCTAGCACATGTAATATGAAATTATGACATTAGTCAGATTTGATTAGAAAACGGCCACAGTGACTGCAAGCATGGATAATGATACACACAAAAAACACAGTCAAAGTACAATTGTTCAAGTAGTTTGCTATAAATTAGGGGTATTGGCTAAAATCCACGGTGAATACAGCCAAGAGCTAAAACGGTCGACGCATATCCATGTTTTCTAAACTAAACTTTCCAGTCAGTTCTAAAAAGTCGACAAATTAGTTAGTATTTGATAATGTTGTTTGAAAAGTACGTGCGGACGATTTCTGTACCCCTGACAATATATGTTGATGTCGACACCTCATTTTGAACAATGCCGACTCAACATTTTGTCAGTGTCGACACACGTATTGAATACACTTCTTTTTATTAACCTAGAGCACCGGCACTTGTTTCTTCAGCTTCCTTCTTCTTCTCCATAACGAGACACAGGGGATTTATGAAGTACGACGATCCGCCAAAGTTGACCTTGACATCGCCATCTTTGTCGACCATGATGACTTCACCGACTTTTCCCCTACACTAATATGGGAAAAATACGTAAAATGTTTTGGTATTTTGTGTTTTCAAGAGTTTCTCCGAGAAGACTTTACATCTACTTTAATGGCAAAACTCAAAATCTTTTAACTCACCAATGATGTGCAGAGGATGTACGCAAACATTTATCCACGTCCGTACCACGAATATATGTAGTTTATGACCAAAGTCTATTGCTAGTAACCAGAACTTAATATTCAGACTTCGGTGTTCCGTAAAAAACAAAACATGCAAATTGAAAACTCGTTCGGGAGTATATATTCTTTAATCTTGGCGTGCGCACGATTTTCACCTCTGCATAGATTCAACTGCTCTGATGGGCAAAAAGGTGAAAAAAGTAAGGGTGCAGACCAGTAAATATGGCCAACAGTGCATACACGGGCCAAATCACGATTTGTATGCCCCTTTTGTTTTGCCAGAGCATTTAGAGTATTTTGTGGGCCATGAACTTGAACTGCGAGCTCGTATTTCTGTGATATTCGGATATAATATTGACCCTAAAATTGCTCTATTTTGCAATGGAGCGCAGGCATAATGTGTTTAAATGGCGATGGGCCACAGGACAACTTGTAGGGGTGATCATCGTTGGATGAAATTTCTTCTACAAGGTCATCGGATTACCACCCGCAAATTGCACCCTGATATCTGTCTTACGTCTTTGATTTCTTCGTTCCAGCCGCACCTCTCCAGCTGTAGTTCCTTGAGCTTCAAAGGGTCCATGTCCAGCAGACGGACCTTATCTCCGGAGTCCAAGTAAGGCCGGACTCGAGTCCCATCTGTATCGGTGCAAAAATCAGAGATTCAGGCCAGTGCTTGACGAGTTTAATTGTAGCATCATGCATGATATAAGACGTTGTTACCAGAGAACTCGTTATATTGACTCGATTCAGAAGTGACAAATCGGTCAAGAGCTTAAAAAAAAAATTCAAGAGAGACGCTGTAGGACATATACCACAGAATCCCAACTTTAACGCTATATGGAGGACCGGGGCATTATACCTCTACTCATTACTACGGAGGGCCGCATTATACCCTATCGTGATTTCTACATCCTTTTTCTCGGCTGATTTTCCTCAAATGAGGTAAGATATAATACACATGTATATGACTTTTTACAGGCTGCGTAGCCTGCGCTGCAGCTAACAGAGCATTTTATAATATTTTGCCCATCTTTATTTGCCAGCAACGGTTTTCCTGCATTGTCAATTAAGACCTTTAGATTTTGCACAATTATTTTGAGTTGTTTAGATGAAATCAAGTATCGTTCGGCACACATGGTTACCGCCCGGGAGAAAATAATTATTTTGTGTAAAGAGTAGGAATTAGGAGAAATATTCTGTCCCTTTAAACAAACTTCAAAAAAATTCACCCAACTTGGCGCAAACAAAGAATTGCTGGTTGATTTGTAACTAAAACTTTATTTTTTTTTGATCACGTGACAATGATTTTTAGTCTTAGGTATAAAGAGAAAATGCGATGTGTTTGGAGAAAGACACTAAAAACAAATGTTTGTATCGCAAAAAAATCATGATTTGCTAAAAGTTAGGATATATATGCTCATATATGATAATTTGAAGATAATTTTGAAACTGTTTCACCATTGGGGAAAAGACCTTGCAGCAGACTATTCGATACAGACCGTGTATTATTTACCGAGCCTCGGGAGGTGCTCAATGTAGAAATCTCCCATAGTTTCTTTCTCCGTGTATCGCAGATCCAGCTTGCCTTCGTGACCCCGTCGGTATTGGTTGATAGAGCGGTTGGGCCACTGAACGGAGACCCAGGAACGATGAGATCCCTTCGCGCCACTCACTTCACTCACGGTACCAACTTTCCCGTCCCCACCTGTTTTACCAAAAAAATGACCCGTAAGAAATCGACGATCATCCAAAAAAAACCGTAAAATAGGGTTAGGGTTAATTAAGCTTCAGGTAAGGGTTATAAGGCATATGGTTATGGTAAGGGTTGGGGTTAGGTAAGGTTTGTCACCAAGATGTAAGTGTGAACCATTTTTGATGTGAATGGCTCCTTGGTTGAGGAACCTTACAGTCCTTTTGTTGCTATATTGTTTTGACAAAATACATATACAGGTAAATACACAATAATAAACAAAACTTTTAATGTTCGACATAATATTCCACCATGTTTTGCGTAATGGAGATTTATAGAGGTTTTGCCGAGATCCTTATTTTCCTATTAAATAAATGTGATATTCCCATACCATCTTGATCTTCCCATTCCCAATCGGGCCCTCGCATCACTCGGGCGCCTGGGAAAATGCCCAAAGAGCGGCATTTGAGGGCGCCAAATCGACAGGGCACTTCAAACCTGAAACCAAAATTTAAAAGAAAGTGCTTTACAGGACATCTGATGACGGATCAGGAGTGACTGCGACACTGTACATTGCTTCAGTAATATGAAAGCAATTCGACAATGAACAATGTTTTTAAGCTCTGGCAGGAGCTTCTATACATGTCACTTAGTGGTCGGTCGGGTTGTCTGTCTGTCTGTCTGTATATCGTAGTGTCGATCGGGCTGTCTGTCTGCTGTCCCCGAAATATGACCAAAAATAATTGACCCAAAATAATGGATTAATGGACCAATTGCCGTCGTCATAAAATACACTCTTACTAACTGTTTTCGGAACACCAATTTTGTTTCAATCGGTGCACATGCGCGTTTATTTTGCATATGTTTGTCCCCGCAAATTTATCAAAATTAGCCCCTAAGTTTCCCATAAAATATTAGTACCAAATTTTAATTTTAAAAAAACAGCAAGCAAAATACTTCACAAGAATTGTTTGTAACAATTCGGAAAGATGCTTATGAAAAGTTTGTAAATGGAGGCAAAATATGTGCAGTAATGTTATAGTCACGTGGTATTTATCACAAATCCCTATAAATCTTGGTATAAATTTTCCATTATGTGCCATCGACGTCGCATTTTTGGCGTCGCATTTTTAAGCTCTACCAGGGATCACTTTCATGCAAGACTTCCACGCAAGACGGCTAGAGCATTGTGCACTCGCACCTGTTTAATGTTGACCTCGTGACTCGCAAGTTATTATAAAACCATAATACGTTCGGTTGTTAGATTAAGACAAAGGACGGATCCAGAAAAGACATTTGGGGTTTTTTTTTTGGGGGGGGCAAAAGAAAATTTGGTCCCCCAAAAAGTGGTTCATAAAAATACGGCGTGGAGTTCGGGACCCGCTTAAATCTAAAAGGGCCGGGGCGGAATGTGCCCCTCCCCCAACTTTTTCCGCGATAGCCTTGAAAAAAAAAATATTCGCGATCCGAGCTGTTATGACATTTTAGCCTCGAGCCTTGCACATCTTTTGACACAAAAACATAAATATGACACCAAAACATAAAAAAAAATAAAAAAAATTTCCGGCGCTACGCGGCGTGAAAACTGAATTTTCCCATATAGTGGAGCTGCTTAGGTCCATTTTTGGCCAAAATCGTGCACTTTGTGGTAAAAGCATGAAATTTGGCATGCGGGGTCGGAATGAGCTAGAAATCATTTTAAGATCGGGACCCATCCTGGATTTCGCCCATTTTGGGGGCGGAGCTAATTTTTTTGAAAAAGGGGGTGCAAACAATAAAAACTGTATTTAACATCCATTTCCCTCGTTTTTTCTATGTGTTAAAATAAGCTAAAACATAAAATAAGACATTCTAGCTTGTAAACACCTGTTATTTTCCACCCATTTTGTGGGCGTGGCCTAAATGTGTAAAAGAGGCGGTATATATTAGCAGTTTGGTTCAAATATATAAAAATATCATTCAGTTGGGTGGTAAAATCTTGAAAATTGGCATGTTTAGTCGAAATGGGCTGAAAATCATTTTAAGAGGTGGACCCATCTTGGATCTTGCCATTTTGGGGGCGGAGCTTGATCGGTTAAAAAGGGGAGTGCAAACAAATAACAATTTAGAAAAACTGTATTTAACATCCATTTTCCTTTGTTTTTCATGCTTTTAAATAAACAGAGACATGATAAAAAAAAATCCAACATTGTAACACTTGTTATTTTTTACCCTTTTGTGGGCGTGGCCTAAATATGAAAAGGAGTCCTCACATTAAAGCAGCTTCATTCAAACGAGGGAAAATCAGCACTTTTGCTGGTAAAACACAAATTCTGCATTGGTTAACTATGTTTGCCATACACTGTAAAGATAAGTTTAAAAGGTTGCAAGGACTTTGCCCTTTTAGGGGTGGAGCCACATTTTAAAGTAGAGGGCTGAATATTCGCATAGAAAGGCAAAATGGTAATATTTCTACTGGGTATACTTACTCAAAGGGGTTTCATGTCCTTAGATGTACCTGGTACATACAGCCTAGGCCAAAAAATAGTTCTGTTTCCGATAACATGGCATTTGAAAATAGGGTAGGAAGGTAGGGAATTCTTGTGGGGTGCATTCTTTTTGTGTTGATCATATGTAGGTGTCTGCGTGTATTCCATGGTAAAATGTGGTAATTTTTTTCATTGTTCCCAAAACAATATTAGGGTAGGGGCTGTCAAAATAGGGTAGGTGGGGTACCGGAAGCAGAATAATTATTTTTTGGCCCTATGTGTAAATATTGAAGCAATTGCCAGGAGCCAATGGCTGTGGATTCTCTCTTCATTGATACGACCACACTCTATTGCCAGTACTCTATATGATGTCATTTTGGTAGATACCACATTTAGAGTGCACTTTCGAAATTGACTTCATCTAATTTCATTTTGTTTTACAAACACCCAATTGAATTCAAAACGTCTGCGCCCAGAACGGGTACATGGCTTTTCTGCGCAAAAAAGCGAGGAGTTAGCGCTCTGGTGATTTAATATAACTCTGTGGGTACAACCCGATCACAATGTTGAAATGGTCACAATTTTCTTCTGCCCTTTGTTTTCTTTTTTTTCTACATGATGCTCCGCTTCTTTTCTTCTAAACAGTACCTTGTATAAACATGAAACTTTGAACAAAGATTAACCCTTATCCAACATCTTCAAAAGTGGCCATCGCTTGAACGAAGTCTTGAACAAAATAAAACTCATGTTGATATTTTGTAATCAGATAGACCATTAATTGACAAACAATATTGAAGTACATGAAGTTACTTGACCTTTACTTTAATACGGGGCTTACAAAAAGTGAATGGTGTTGTCATCGCCTGAAAGAGCCCCCCCCCCCCCCGACTTTTTAAAAACCATTCATCAACATTTTTCCAAACTTACCCTTGGAACTTCTGCGGAAAAAATGTAATTAACAGTTTTTGGGGAAAGCTAACAACATTCTACATGTTTTCATGGATTTTGATGAAACTTAGATGCAGTGACCCTTGGGTGCATGAAAAGACACAATTTTTCATGGAATTACTGAGGTCAAAGGTCATCTAGGGCTCATTAGAGGTCATTGTTCAAATATGCTTCAAATGTTTCTTTGTCTACAGAATTTGATGGATCAGTTTAATGTCACTTAGAAGTTGGATGGAGTGCTCCTTGGGTTGGGGTTCATCACAACTCTTCCAAAATTGGAGGTCAAAAGTCATGTAGGGGTCATTTGAGGTCGTTGTTTAAAACACAATGTCAAGAACATTTTTTTAAGAACACAAAATATATAGGCGACACATGCGATAAGTCTTGTATTAATTCGTATTAAGTGGCAATGTTTTGGGCACAAATAATAACACAAATAATGTTATCAACTACATTGTTGCTGTGATGTAAAGATATTGTGCTTTCAATACATACATTTATTCCTTCCTGCATGTACTTTGTATATTTTGGAATTGTTTATCAAAGTGCAAGCATATTTTTTAAGAAGCTACATAATTTCTCAAAAATTGTAATCCCACCTTTTCAAACATTAAGATATTACTTTCCATGCAAGTCCAAACATCCATATAATATAAATTCAGTAGAACACACTGCAAGGAATTGACGCATACTCTGCGCACATTTTTTTTTTTTCATGTTTACATGCCCACATAAAAAGCACTTGCAAGAATAGGTGAAGTCCACCGTTGCCCCCCCCCCCCCGTGATGCTGGTAGTGTTTACAAACAAGGAAATGCCGCAGCTGCTGTAACCTATGTTACTTGTAGCCAATCACACTAATTAAAATAAGAAATATTTAATCTTCTAGAATATTCAACCCCCTACTTTAAATTGTAGCTCCACCCCTAAAAAGGCAAAATCCTTGCAACCTTTTTAAATTTATATTTACTGTGTATGGTAAAACATAGTTAACCAATGCAGATGTTGTGTTTTTACCAGCAAAAGTGATGATTTTCCCTCGTTTGAATCAAGCTGCTCCAATGTGCGGCCTTCTTTTCATATTTAGGCCACGCCCACAAAAGGGTAAAAATAACAAGTGTTTGAAAGTTGGAATTTTTTTTTATCATGCCTCTGTTTATTTAAAAGCATGAAGAACAAAGGAAAATGGATGTTAAATACCATTTTTCTAAATTTTGCACTCCCCTTTTTAACCGATCAAGCTCCGCCCCCAAAATGGGCAAGATCCAAGATGGATTTTCAGCCCATTTTGACTAAACATGCCAATTTTCAAGATTTTACCACCCAACTGAATGGTATTTTCCATATTTGAACCAAACTCCTAATATATACCGCCTCTTTTACACGTTTAGGCCACGCCCACAAAATGGGTGGAAAGTAACAGGCGCTAAAATGCTAGAATGTCTTATTTTATGTTTAAGGTTATTTTCAAAGCATTGAAAAAACTCCAAAATGGATGTTAAATACAGTTTTTATGAGTTTTTATTGTTTGCACCCCCTTTTTCAAAAAATAAAGCTCCGCCCCAAAAATGGGCAAAATCCTGGATGGGTCCCGATCTTAAAATGATTTCTAGCCCATCTTGACCCCACATGCCAAATTTCATGCTTTTACCCCAAAGTGCACGATTTTTCGCTTAGCAGCTCCACTAATATACGTCTTGTACACAGAGCAGAATTACCATTCGTACTATGTATAATTAATAAGCCATAATTCCAAACCCTAAGACCTATAGTCATTAACATTTCTTGGGTGTGTTCATTATGAGTTGCTCTATGCATGTACTGAGTTTCAAAAAATTTCGTCACTCGATGGCTGAGATCTGGGGGGGGGGGCGAAATCCGCCCCACCCCCACCCCGGCTGAGAGATGGTCAAAATAACCCGGCCCTTTTAGGGTTAAGGGCTCCGAATTTTTTTTATTCTAGATGCTCTGTGGTGCGATCTATGACTCGGGGTAGATGCGCTCAGCTAGCTTTTGAAGCCGAATCGAGACGACACGTGCAAAGAGTTTCCCAATGATGCTCAGGAGGGAGATGCCCCTGTAGTTATTGCAATCGCTTTTGTTACCCTTGTTCGTGTACAGGGTGACAATCTTGGCGTTTCGCATGTGCTGTGGTGTGAATCCCTCTCTCCAGCACTGGCAGAGGATGTCATGTAGGGGGTGCAGAAGTGTACTTTTGCCGCGGCCACACTTGACCACGTCTAGTGGAGTCCCATCGTTACCAGGAGCATCGTTCCTGAAGCCAAGTTGTCAATGGCCTTGCTGAGATCCTCCACGGTCGGCTCCGCGTCTAGTTCATCCACGGTGGGAAGGCAACCGATGGCATCAAGGTCTGAGTAGGCGACAGTGTTCTCTCTGGAGCAGAGCTCGGAGTAGTGTTCTACCCCTCTCTCCATCTGTTTGCCTCTGTCGGTAATCAATTTCCCACTGAAGGATTTCAGGGGTGCCGTCTTGCTCTGCACAGGATCATTGGCTTTCTTAATGCCAACATAATTATATTCCTCTGATGTTTCCCGTTGCAGCTACAGCCTGGATGTCATTGTTGAGCTGAGCTGAAGCCAGTACTGGTTTGCACACCGCCTGGGGGTCTGCTAAACCCTGCTCCTTGTAGCTCTGAGAGCCTGAAAAAAGCCTTCTCGTTTGGTGAATGTTTGTATTCTGCGAGGGCAGCGCGCTTTGCTTCAAAGACAGGAGTCATCTCGCTGGACTTGGCTTCAAACCAGTCATTACTCTTAGCGGTCTTCCTCCCAAAGATAGCAAAGGCAGTGCTGTACACAGTCTTTCGCAGGTGCTCCCATTTCTCAGTGGCAGAATCTCCAGTTTGGGCAGTTTTAAGCCTGATCCTGCAGCATACAAGCGAGTGATCAGTTTCACAGTCGAGAAGAACAAACTTGAGGCAGGTGCGTCTGATGATAATCATGTCCAGCGGGTGCCAGTGCTTCGATCTAGGGTGTCTCCGTGGGGTGATGTGGTCCAATGGTTACGGTGTTCGACTCGTGTGCCGTGGTACACGGGTTCGAATCCTGGCCGTGGGAACATGGTGCTTGTGCTCTTGAGCAAGGCACTTTACCACTATTGCTTCATCCTTCGGTTGGGACGTAAAGCCGTAGGTCCCGTGTGTTGTGTAATGCACGTTAAAGAACCCAGTAACACTTGTCGCTAGGAGAAGGGGTTCGCCCCGGTGTTTCTGGCAGTGGCCGCAGCACCTTGTAAACCCTGGTGCCACACCTCCAGTTTAAATTCCCTAGATGGAATATTTCGGAGGACCACCAACCAAGCACCAAGTAAGTACCAAGTACGTGAAGCCTTGTGCTGAGGTTATGTGTCTGAAAGTAGGAATTGGTCACACAGAGGCTGTGGTAGAGAGCTCAAGAAGTCGCTGTCATTCTCGTTGATCTTGCCAATACCAAAACGGCCCAAACAGGACGGCCAGGAGTCATGATCGGCACTACTCTGGCACCTAGAAGATCTATTTGTTTCCGACTGGGGATATCCCCGATGTCACAAGGTTCCCGTAGAACTCATCCTTTGTCTTGGGATTACTAGGAGTGGAGTAGAGGGTAGGGACATATACACGCTGACTTGGCCTTCAGAAGTGTGGAGGCGGAGCCGCTAAAATCAATGTCACCTAGTTCAACCATCTTAAGCAATGAATTCCTTACTGCAAAGCCTCCCTCGTGTATGTTCTCTGGGGTACGTACGTCGGGGCCTTTTCCTTGCAGATGACACTCACAGCTTTGTTTAGAATGCCTTATCCCCGTTACAGAATTTTTAGAGTTGCCGCGCGATTTCGAAGAAATTCGCACAAATTACTTTTCAAAATGGCGGGCGGAGGTGATTCAATGACTGTTTTGTGACCGAAAAGAATTCAGACACAAACAGCCGTCGTAACTGCAGTTATTAATCTTCCTCATACATGTTTGCATTATTTACAAAGTTGCGCAAAGACAGCTACACCAAGTTTCGTGAAATCGATCGTACTTTATTGCGCAACAAATTTGTTGGTTGGCGTAAGCCTAGTTTCCATATCAAGCTAAGAAACGCAGAGAGCAACGCAAACTACAACCAAATTGCAACGCAGACATTACGGTGGAAATATTTCATCGGGATTTGTCACCGACAACCCGGACAGACGCAAACTATCTCGCAGACGATCAGCAAAGTTGAACCCAGTTCCAGTTTCCCGACGGTTCCCCACACTGTCTGTGCAGTCTGCTTAATGTCGATATGGAAACTAGGCTTTTATACTCAGTTTCTTGGGTACGTAGGAGTGTCTTTTTTCACAGGAGCTATCGCGGCGAGAAAACACGCCGTGGCCCCGAGCTCACTATTCACAATGCATTTCGGATATGCAAGACGAACAAACCAGGCAATAATTATGTACATAAACTTGTGGGGCTGTGAACCAGTTACAATTCCTCCACATTATATTACAAGAATGAAGTGATCAATTTTCCACATATTGATAAACCTGTAATCAAAAAATATTAGGCCCTATATTATTACACAAATAATTCTGTATTTAAAGCTAATCTGAATCGAAAGTTAATTATCATGAATATGCATAATAACGCTACTATAGTGGCCAATCACAATCAGAATTTCTAGCTCACGCCTCCAACATTGATAACTCACAATCGTTCCTTAGGGACTGATGACTGGTACCTTGAAAAAAAATCAAGATTATTTTGAAAGTTTGAAATCTAAATTTGATTTCATATTCTATCCATGAATAGGTGAGGATCAGTTAATTTTGGAAAATAATTTAAAGTTTGACTGGTTCACTGCCACCATAGTTGTGCGCATAAACAGCATTGCTTGTTTGTCATCCAAACCCATGGTGCAATGTGAACATCGAAAAAGGCGTTGATTATTAAATGGTCCATATCCCTTAAACTCACCCCCGAACTGAGTTGCCGCCACGGACATTTCATTCCGAAGTCCAATATCGGATCGGACCAGCTGGTTTAATGATGTTTGAATACACAGTTTATTGAGTCCAAGTGACAATCTGCTCTAAAGAATAGTCACTGCACTTAATGCGCTTGTGTCAATATTACCTACTCACATTAGTTCATTGAAGAGAAGTGAAAATTCTTACACAGAAATGCAGCACCTAACCATTGTAACTTACCCTGGAACTGAATTGGTTTCGATCCTCGTGAAGCGATGACCCAGGTCATGCTTTCCCTCGTTATAGCAGCTGTGACACAAGTCGAAGTCATGACACTCCAGACATTTCCAGCGTATTCCTACGACACCGCGCTCTTGGCAACAGTCGCACTCCACATTCGGATGCTTCACTCCTATTCCAAGATTGAATCATTATATTTTATACACATATACTATTTTCATAGTGAAAATTCACCCTAAAGACGAAACCCAAATCAGCATTGAACCCATGCAGGCTCTCAGTGCTGAGCCACTGTATGAATGCATGGGGGAATACAGCACTGATGCCCTCGATAACTTCAGAGCCAATTTGATTGAAGGTGCAAAACAATTTACAGTGAAACCCATTCATTCATCCGAACAAGATCGTGTTGCAGTTGAGTTTCGACTTTTTTTCTCAATTTTTTTAAATCTCAAATTAGAGTGATTTTCACTCTCAGTCGTCTATTCCCTATAATTTCACGCATTAGAAATTAGACAGCATCAAAGATATCATATTTCAGAGGAAAAGTGGCACACTATAATTACCTGAAAAAAACCGCCCATTACACATGCTTTGAAAACTTCTCAAAATCACACAATTTTTACAACAATGGGTTTGCCACCGACAGGCAATACGGTTGCTGACCCTTAGTTTTCTTCTTCTTTCTTCTTCTTTCATAATGGATACAATACTTGCTACGAAATACTTATTTAACGATGGTTCCAATTATAAGGATCACGGATCCTCCGATTGAACGTATATATATTATTATACAGGGTGAGTTAAAAAAAAAAGGCGGAACCCAATCCCCCAAAATTATATTTCATATTTAAAAAAATAAGTAGCACCAAACATAATAATGACTGGAAACATGGGCGTCGCGGGGGGGGGGGCAATGGGGGGGTGGAAGCGCCATCCCCCCAGAAAAGCAAAAAAGAAAAAAAAAGAAAAAAAAAGAAAAGAAAAAGAGGTGCGAAGTCATAGTGGTGTAAATTTAATGAGTTGGGGGGGGCAAAATGTCCCTGCCCCCTTCTAAAACTGAGAAATCGAGAATATGTTGAGAAATACAGGATTTTGGGGTGAAAAATATGTTATACCCCCTCTAGAAAAAATCCTGGCGACTGGAAAGCCAATTTCATAAGCTACTTTTAGGTGAAAAAAATTACTGAAATTGCTCAATCCGTTCACAGAATATCAGCATTTAAACGCAATGACCCTAAAACTCGTTTCGTAAAAAAAAACCATTTCTTGGGTGTTCTTACTGTTTGGAACAACAAAGAAAATGGAAAACTACACAGAATACTTGTTTCAACAACTGTCAACAACTGTAGTACACAATATCTTTCTTAACAACCCTGGTTAGGCAAACAATATGATTTAAAATACACTTTTTTGAAAGACAGGCCTTCAAAAGGACTTTGTTGAATATGTTTAACTTTTAAACTGAGGATTTATCGCTGGTGATGTTTGAAGACAATTGTGACGACGATTCTTGAAATCACATTTTTGGACGAAAGAGGTTTTAGGTTCATTGTGTTTAAATGGTGATATTCTTGGAATGGATTGAGCAATTTCAGTAATTTTTTCATCTAAAAGTAGCTTATGAAATTGGCTTTCAGTCTTCATCGTTTTTGGTGCTACATATTTTTTATTAATATGAAATATAATTTTTGGGGTTTGGGTTCCGCTTGTTTTTGACTCACCCTGTATACATTAACAAAGAAGCGTATATACATAAATGTTTCGAGGCGCGATGCTGGATTAGTCTGCACGCCTACGGAGTGAAAAAAACCAGAGGTAAAAACTCTTTGTGAGAAAATACTCTGGAAAACCCCGTCAAACGTACACACAGACGAACAAGACTAAGGATTTTGGCTTTAGGAATTTCGTTGTTCAATATGTTTTTCATATTGAGAGTGGGAACATTGCACATCTATACGATCCTTTGTGCCTAAGTTAAGAACCTACAGACGCGGATCCGGAGGGAGGGGTGTCAAAAACCCAGCTCTGTCAAAAGAAAAATTCCCATACAAATTCATAAAAAATAATGCTAACCCCCCGCCCCCCCCCCCCCCCCCCCGAGATCCAAAAACAATTATACTGGTATTAATCGCCTGTGCCCAAAATACGGACAAGCCTGCTTATTAGGGGGGTTATTTGTACTCATCCTGTAATATAATGTTAATAATCGGCGGATTTGAACAGCGTTAATAATATAGTGTTAATAATCGTCGGATTTGAACAGCGCCCCCATTGCGGAGCCAAGTGTCCGGACAAAAAAAACCCTATGGGTGCACACCGGTAAATCGATCCGCCAAGCTCATGAATAAAAGTTATACCCTCAAAATCTATATATATAAGAGAGAGTTTAACTCGGCCTCCGAGACGATGTTTGCTCATGAAAGGATCCGAGACCGCGGGCTCCCGCGGCGCCAAAATTGCTCCACGTCCGTAGAAAAATGCGGAGGGTGTCTTCCGGCGGGTCGGACACTTCGGGTCGTCCTGATTTTCCCGTACGGACCGGCGATCCTTTTCGTCTATTTTTCGTGACTGCATTTTGCGCAGGAATTTGCCGTCGTGTGCGCTTTCACGTTGACTGCCTGGCCGCCCCCTGTCCTGGCTTTTCTGCGTGTCTAGACTGTGCGAGGTCAGCGGCTTCGACGTAGGGGTTCCGTTTACGTGTTCTACTCGGCCGTTCTGCAAAAGCGTTCACCAAATTGTGGTATGGGGTGACCTTGGTAAAATATTTTTTCTCCATGGTGCGTGGCCACCAAGTGCCCCTATTCTTTCATAATGCTTCGCTTGCCGCCCCTGCGCCGAGTGCAACGAATACTCAGAAGGACTACACATTAAGTATGCCTTGCGCGGTCTGACCAATCGAAAGTCTACACTGCGTAGTATTTCCGGGCTATGCAAAACCGTCGATGGCAACGCGTACTGCAGCCTGCTCCACACCCTGGAAACGAGGTTGGGTCTACGGTGCTCGCTATTTGAAGCGCAAGCATGTGACGTCGCGTGATAGAGTGCTGTTGCTTCCATAATGTGTTTACAGCTCCATGCTTCCACCATTGAAGGCTGAGCGTTGTGAGTTCGCTGCCCGCCACGTATAATTCAGTGTCGTGTTATAATTTCGGGGGCCTGTTTGGGGTCAACGAAGGATCGATGCATTGCTTCAAACTCGCGATCTTAAACGCAGTCACAAAAAAATCGACGAAAAAGTGTCCGACCCGGCGGAAGACACCCTCATTTTTCCACGGACGTGAAGCCGCGGTCTCGGATCCTTTCAGGAGCAAACATTTCTTTCAAATGACACCTTCACGTTTTATTGCATTATGATTTAAACCAGCCTTCGCCTGTGTACTACAGTAACCTTTTCACTACGTTTTCCAAATTCGACTGCCTCACAAAAAGCCAATTTAACAGACCAACGGCAACATTTACAGACAGTTGCCACGGTACATAATTATCATGTGCGTAAATCGACGGGGGACAGGGGAACCCCCCCCCATCCCCCCCCCCCCCCCCCCCCCCCCCCCCCCCCCCCCCACACACACACACACACACACACACACACATTTTGAGGCGGGGGGCATTTTTTGGTGTCCCCCCCCCCCCACTTTTTCTTCCCCGAATAAAAATATTGTAGCCTACAATAATGATTCTATTGCTCAGAATACATGTAGCTGATTCAATTACTCCAAACTCAAAAGATGATCTTTGGTTTTAGTGGTCAGAAATTGCCTCATCACACCACAGAAATTGCTTTTCTATAACTGCATGTCTCCCCAACTATATCCCCCATTTACATTTAATTCCCCACATTTTCATCCCCAACACTACGCCCTACCCGATCTATGATCGGGTAAATCAGCTTGTATTCTATATTAGAGAGTTCTGAGCGCCGTAAAATTGGGGAATTGAAGAGATATGGTAATGAACCTCTGGCCCGGACTTGGGGCTTCCAATTCTGAGCATTTTGGATGCTATTGGGCTCGAAAGTGGCGCTATATTGCCATGTTGTGGAGGGATCGTTTTTCAAGATGGCTACTTTTCCGCTTTGGGGGAAATAGGGGTCGTCTTCTTTGCGTGAAAATATCTCGAAAAGTCAATGGTCAACCCACCAAAAATCGAAAAGAAAATGAAAGATGACACATTGATCATCATTTTTCTGTGCAGCTTGAATACCTGTGGGAGTTTTGAGTATTTTTAAAATAATTTTGAAGTATGGGCATTTAGCACTAGTGTCTATGGGAGTTTATTTGCAGGTATGCACCCTATAAAGAATCACAAAGATGGCCGTTTCGCGCATGCGCTGTGCCGCAGCAGTGGTCTTTTCAGTGGGCGGAACCTACGGGGAGGGGGAAAAAGTGTTTTAAAGGTATCAACAAGGGTTTTTTTCCGTAACGGATGCTTCCGAATCATAAGGGAGCAGTAGGCTATCACCCGATTACAACAATTGATAGTTGAAAAGGGGGGGGGCATTTTGAGCTTAAAAGTAGTTGAAACTCAATTTATTGTCGCTGGGGGCGCTCTACAGCTTAGCAGGGGCAAAACAATCACTATTTTCGGGCTCAATATCGACCTCGGATAATATTTTTCTTTCATTTTTTTCTTCAAAATATTGACTTTGGAGATATTCTGCTTGTCCTGAATGTGGTTTTGTGTTAAAATTTAAAAGTTGCCTGCTATTATAGGGTGCACACCGGTAAATCGATCCGCCAAGCTCATGAATAAAAGTTATACCCTCAAAATATTCTATATTAGAGAGTTCTGAGCGCCGTAAAATTGGGGAATTGAAGAGATATGGTAATGAACCTCTGGCCCGGACTTGGGGCTTCCAATTCTGAGCATTTTGGATGCTATTGGGCTCGAAAGTGGCGCTATATTGCCATGTTGTGGAGGGATCGTTTTTCAAGATGGCTACTTTTCCGCTTTGGGGGAAATAGGGGTCGTCTTCTTTGCGTGAAAATATCTCGAAAAGTCAATGGTCAACCCACCAAAAATCGAAAAGAAAATGAAAGATGACACATTGATCTTCATTTTTCTGTGCAGCTTGAATACCTGTGAGAGTTTTGAGTATTTTTTAAATAATTTTGAAGTATGGGCATTTAGCACTAGTGTCTATGGGAGTTTATTTGCAGGTATGCACCCCTATCTACATTGTAGTCTGGTTCCCAGACCTGACAATTATACCCGACGCTCATGTCTTAAATTGTAGGTCAGGCAGCCTCCGTGGCTAAAAATAAACATGACGACATTAATGGCCCTTTTTCAAAGCGCGGCTTCGTTTCCGATTTCGCTTTATCACTTGTAGCTTTTAATGTTCTGATCAAATCTTTAAATAAATCACTTGCTTCGTAATATCACACAGTTATGATAAAACAGTTTGATGTTTTGGTAAGATAACATTGAGTAATGTTGATCTGGAATCTTCAAAATTAGGGAACCAAATAGCACTGTTAGCAGGCGGAGCCGAATGAAGACCGAGTTTTGGAAATTCTCGGTAACGGTCGTCAAATTCAAAATTGTACATGACGCAGCAAAAAGTTCGCCCGCACGATCCGAGTATATTTGATGCACAAAATCGTCGTTGAATTTCAAGTTTTCTAAATGAAAACAATGAATATTAACTATCAACTCATTTATAATAAAATAAATTTAATAAGCAATTAGCAGTTAATTAAACCTATATTATATACTCGGAAATACTCGGGCGCTATCCGATTGTCGACGAAACGACTTCGGCAAACTTCGGAAATTTTCGGAAAAAGGAGGAATTCCTCCCGTTTTAGTCACGTGACGTAAATTGTAATACATTGTATTACCGGAGGCTACCGGACCTAAGATTCATCAGGAATAGTCGGAATCTTTTGGTCTGGGAACCAGACTATCTACATTGTAGCATCATTTGCTGATGAACCCCCCCCCCCCCTTGCAAACATTCCTGGGTCCGCCCCTGACCTATGATATTAATGTTATATGTATGTAATAATTATTAAAATTAATGGCGTCAAGCCTGTCGGTGCGCAGATGGCCCGTACGTGCTGCCCAGACACCTCCTTTTATTCTACCCATTCACTGCTATCTTCATCTGCGCAGCGGAGTGATATAGCTACACTTATTGATATGAGAACTACATTTCGTTCTAATTCACCCAGTTCAACCGAACGAAATAACATGTTTAGGTGATTTTCATCACAAACGTCGTCTAATAATGTGAAAAATATATATATTTCCCATGTTTCAAATGAAACCACGCCTGACATGCTGACAGCCTGACATGACATGGGGAAAACACTAATGTCTGCAGTCGACATGTAAAGTGAACAGTTCTAGGCATCATGTAATGGCATGTTATAGTCCACAATTGAAACATTTTATGGAGTGAATGCTGAAACTTAGACTCTTGTATCGCGCACATTGAAGTAAAGATAAACGGGATGTTATACAGGTCGACGTACTGTGAGGGTTGAGTAAGGTCAAAGAGACCAGAAGTCCTAGGAGTCCAAATTCCATACGACACCAAAACCAGGTGCTCGGCTGGGGTTTTCCCAGGTCAACAGGTGAGTGAGGTACAATGTGTGTTCAAGTTGATATTTACACGGTTGGCTGTGCATTGTTCCATTGTGAACAAATAAACATAACAATATAATAGCCTGATCACGTGATTATTATGTCCCCTGGGGATTTCACTGTGTGGGTCTTAATGAAAAAAAAAACACCCATGCTTGTCGTGCGGGGCTATTTGTAAACAACCATGATAAGGCCAAAAAAAAGTCTCCGGTTTCTGGTATGGAGCTTGCCCAAAAAGTGGTGCGGCGACGCGGCTTTTTTTTTTTACCTGATTTTTTTTTTGCCTCAAATGTCGGCTGATGACTGCAAATGGTGCCCTACTAAACTTAGTGCAAATATATGGGAGTCCAGAGAGGCAACATAAAGCTTATTCTTATAAGCTTATAACCCCATCCAAAACACGTTAAAAATTGTGCAGCAGCAGGATTCCAGTCAAACCAGTGAGTTTGGCGGTTTTGAGACATCATCTTTCATTGAAAAAAAGAACTTTTTCATTTTGCTGACGCGCATGGCTTCGGCAACGCGAGCGCATACCAGAAACCGGAGACTTTTTTTGGCCTAAATACCAGTATATTTTTGGCACCCATTTATACATTACATGTTCATGTATTTCTGTGTGCTACTGCCTAATGCTGGGAATTAAAGGCTTCAACTCTGTAGTTGACTATTACTTTAGTTAATTATTCCTGGCTAATAAATTATTATAGTAGGTGATGGTCAGAATTCTCATATACATAAATATCTACAAATCTGAACTTTAACCAGTACATGTATTTGAATGAGTCTCATCTGCAACTGTGTAATTCACTATCAAGATTAAACGATTTTCACTTCGGGATAAAAACGGTATAAAATATGTACAAGTCTGAAGGAGGAAACATGATAACTGGGTCTGCGATGTTGTACTTGTAACAACAACAAATATTAGACTGATACTGTAAAACATTATGGCTTACGACACAGTGTACATGCGTCACTGTAACAAGACCCGTTTTGTTGATGGGTTGAAACGGAAAAACCTTGAAGGAAAATTAAAGTCGGTGGTACTGGAATTTGGGATTGTGGAGAGCGTGTGTAGCCTAATGAGCGAAAAGAACCATTCTGGGAATTATTAAATATACTACACCCTTTAAGGCCACTTTTCTTTTTACAGTGATGATGTTATTACTGACTGACTGGCTGTTCTGTTCTAAAAACACACAGAACAGAACTGGCAACAGAATTGACAACATAATACAGTTCTAACAAATGTTTCAATGCTCATAAAGCAGCGGAAATGCAACTTCTGCATGTATGACATCCCTGTTGCCCGAGCATATGAAAATGATCATTGGCATTACAACAAAAAATTTTAAAAACACCTGCATTTCAGTCATTTCATTCTACAGATCCGGGATTTTCTGAAGGGTTGGCTGAGATGTTGAAGTATATATATATTTATTTTTATTTTTATTTATTATTTTTTTGGGGGGGGAATATGACGAGGCGTTGAATAAATTAACCGTAGCATAAATAAACCTCAAAAAAGCTTCTAGACACTCATTGAATAGGCGATCCAACGAATGAAAATAAATGCTGCATTAATTTTGATGCAACTAGGGGATTCGAATATTACAATGTACATTACTGCAAGGGTTCATTGCTATAAACATGGAAATTGGTTAACTTTCCAGCTTGGCTGACCCCCTGGGCTCCCGTACTAGGGGTATTTTCAAACAGATCTGCGCTTACCTAGTTGGGCGTTATCGTAAATCCGCAGATCGTACTTGCCGCTTGCTCCACCAGCGCGGTAGTTTGCAGCTTGCCCGGAGTCCCATCGCACCCAGACACCCGTCACTAAAACAAGATCACAGGTAGAAGTATAAACTCTCAAGTCCAGTTTAAATTGAGTGTGCAGTTTTTCAACATGAGGGGCTAGTACATGATATACATGTATTACTCGAACCATCTCCCCACTCCTTTTCGTTCTTTCTTGTGTTCTTGTTATGTCTTGTTGATGTTTGATTGTCTTTGTCCCTTGCTTTTCTTTGTAAAACAACAACGGAATTTCTGCAAAAGTCTTTTGGTCTTTTGCGATTCTTTCATTTCAGCCTCCATTTTATTTTCAGGTCAATCTTGTAAATTCTTCCCCTGAATATATCTCTGTATAATTATCATGTATATTCACTGTTGTGTATTAATTTTGCTATTGGCCTGGAAATAAATGTATGTTTGAATTCAATTGGTTCATTTCAGTGACGCACCCAAGGGGGGAGTGGGCCTCACGGGGGCTTGAGCCCCATTACTAAATCAGTTCGCGCAAGGATGGGCTGGTTCCCACCTTCATTAAGAATTGTTTAAGTGCCCATGACATCGCATTTTACTTCCGGACACTATTTTGCTGTGCATCTTTCTTGACATTCCTTTTGTATAATCTTATTGAAAAGGGCACTTCTTTAAACAATCAAAAATTCTCATGCTTTTCCGGACAATTAAGGGAACTGCTGATGTACTACGAAGATGTCACTTCTGAAGACACTACGTTCAGCGGGAGGGGCTTTCTGTTCAAACTATTAGGCCAGACTTTTCTCATTGAAAACATTTTCAAAATTCATTAAGAGCGAGAAAAAAACCCGAAAAAAACAACAACAAAAATTGAAGAGCAAGTAGCCCAGGCATAAGTCCGAGTAACTAGGACTCTACGAATCGCCTTTTTTTAACATTTGGACATGGTCGGGCGAAAGTAGAGTCCTAGGTACATATAGCATTATTGCGTTACTTTTTTACTTTTTTGACCATTTTCACTCGTACCCCCAACCCAAATCTTTAGATTTTACCCCCAAACAGTCTTCAAACTGCCTTTTGCGACCCCGTATGCTTCAGTGAGAATTGGAAATACAAATGGTGGTGGTCATAAGTTTACATACCTTGTTTGAGGCTGCTATTTTGAATTCAGGAAAAGCTTCAGACAGCCTTCAGAGGACACTTTGATTGTTGATCACTGGTCACCTGGATTGTGACCAATCAAAGTGCGCTGTGATTGGTCCGTCTGATGCCTGCAAGGAAACAGTCTACTTTTTCTGAATTCAAAATGACAGCCTCAAACAAGGCATATGTGACAAGGATGTTTCCCGAATTGAAGGTGAAATATCTCTTTTCTTCCAAAAGGTATGTAAACCTAACCACCACCAGTTGTATTTCCAATTCCCACTGAAGCCTACAGGGTCGCATAAGGTAGTTTGAAGACTGTTTGGGCCGGGGGGGTAAAATTTGAAGATTTGATTGTGGTACGAGTGAAAATGGTCCAAAAAGGTTAATAGTAATGCAATAAGGTTATTAGACCCGTGAACGTGGCGTTGTATACAACGCCACGCGCTTCCCCGGTAAATACAAGCGACAGCATTCTATCTTTTGATACGCTACACGTAACCATGTATAATTTTGCCCATAATAGGTGCATCACTTACTTATTGGGCTTCCTGTGAATTTCCGCGAGTGTTGGATTTGTCATTGCCAAGAAATTTGACCTAAAGTACGGCACAACTTTGTCACTGAATGTTCTCAAAATAATCAGAAAATCAAAGCCAGGCATGACACTCTGGTACCCTGACTTCTGCATGCGCAAAACGGTAGGAGTATCACCAGTTGCTACCCGACTAAATTACAGATGACCGTAATACCATGTAAAATTCTGCTAAATCCACTTCGAAAGTCTGGCAGACTTTATATTGCTGTTCCATTGTGCAAGGGTTTGTTTTAAAGCTATAGTCCATCATTTGTAATTTGTGCATTTTGTTCGTTTGAAGCAACAAAAGGGTTCAAAATCTAATGAAGGATACTGAACAACTAACCCGATGAAGTTTCAGCTAAGCTTCAGCTGAACATTCCGAGAAAAACAGCATTCTAAGATCTCAATTTCAAATCAAAAGTCACTGAATCATGTTTTGAATTGTTTTGAATTGCAGCTATACGCGACGTAGCGCACTGATCCGACGAATTATAACAACCGCGCGCACGTGTGCGTCGTTCCAATACTTGTGCGCGCTGCGCTGAATATTAACAAAACGAACTACTAATTTAAATTTTCCTACGGTGCTTCTTAAGAATCACCGTTGGAAATGCCTTCTTTCGTTGATTACTTCAAAATGACACTTCCCAGAAGGAATAATTTCACAGGGAGTTTAGTTCCCTTACTATCTTTCAACCAAGTATGTTTTTCAACAATAATTACGCCAGTTATGGACTATAGCTTTAAGGATCTTTCAAAAAACGAAGGTTTTTCAAACCAAATGTGCCATATTTCTTTCCAATCTTTTTCATTTTCCTTCATCTTCATAATTCTGCCGAAAAAGATATTCTGCTGATTTTCTGTACAACTCATTTTTGTTTGCAAATATTCTGTCAAATGTAGCCGAAAATCGGCTAGAACGGTCACTTCATTTTAGTAACCGCGATCACAATAGAGGGTTTTTACTATAGACTAAAGCGTGGCTACGTACAGTATATAGCCACGTTCATGGGTCTATAAGGTTATGTACCTAGGACTCTACTATCGCCCGGCGATTCGTACTGTCCTAGTTTACTTGGACTACCCAGGCATATATTTTGAATGATGTATACTTACCGCTGTCCTTAGCTTGTGCAGGCACCACGGTGCCTACGCAGCCCTTCCCCCCGTCCTGGTCGCCCCATTTCCAGTCAGGACCTCGTACAACTCGCACCCCTATGAACATGACGGTTTCGCTCCGTATGTTCTTATTAAGTTTACCGATCACAAAACTCGCCTTAAAACCCCAATCCAAATGCAATTCTCAGTCTTTCAACGTTATTTCCTTGTAAGAGTAGGCGCGCCTACGGGTTGTGGGTCCAATGTTCAAAGTATGTAGGTCGACTAGGACAGTGGACTATGCAGTTTGCGCCAAAATAACAACAAAACATAGAATGCATTTACAGCCAACAGAATCTGAAAATGGTTTGCATGCATTTTGTCGATGTTCCTTTAGTTGGTCGGCCGGGCCGTGCTATACGCCGCGCTGGGTACCAGTGAACTATCTAGGGGAATTCCCCAGCTGACACGTCGTCCGTCGCACACTACGCAACGCGGGAAATTCCAGTGCAGCGTGAATATATTGCGCATGCGTAGGTATGATAATTACAATAGTGACATGTCACGTGCAAGGGATTAACCAGTAAGGCCAAAAAAAAAAATCCCCGGTTTCTGGTATGCGCGCGCGTCGCCGTAGCCATGCGCGTCGGCAAAATGAAAAAGGTTTTTTTTCAATGAAAGATGATGTCTCAAAAACCGCCTGCTGCTGCACAATTTTAACGTGTTTTTAGATTGGGTTATGGTCGAGAATAAGCTTTATGTGGCCTCTCTGGACTCCCATATATTTGCACTAAGTTTATTCGGGCACCATTTGCAGCAAGGGCGGATCCAGAACACAATTTTTTGGGGGGCCAAAAAAAATTTTGGTCCCCCAAAAAAATGGGTCAAAAAAAATTACGGCGTGGGGTGCGGGGCCCGCTTAAGGGGCCCGAAAATTTGTTGGATTGTAGATGCTCTGTGGTGCGATCTGAGGCAATTTCTGACCACTTTAACCAATGTTTTTTGGAGGAAAAGATGGTGGTGTACTCATTGCCTGCCTTTATTGCGATGTCACATAAAAAAAAAAAAAATTGGTTTTGTTTTTGGGGGGGCCATGGCCCCCTTTGCCCCCCCCCCCCCCCCCCTCTGGATCCGCCCTTGATTTGCAGTCATCAGCCGACATTTGAAGCAAACAAATCAGGTAAAAAAAAAAAAAAGCCGCGTCGCCGCACCACAATTTGGGCAAGCTCCATACCAGAAACCGGAGAATTTTTTTTTTTGGCCTAATAGGGAAATAGAGCCTGGTTTTCACAGAATTCTAAATTTAGCCTTTATTATTGTATGTCAACTCCAGGTGCTTTCCAGTTTTGGGTCATGCAATACAAAACAAACGTGCATAGTGGTGGTGTTCTATTTTTATGTTGGATGCATTTTGCAGATTTCCCTTTCAAAATGTGTGCATAGGCTAGGCCTACATGCATGAACATTTTGTTGTGTATGTTTTACACTACATGAACAACTAAATGATTTGGATTTTTTGCCGGCTTGTTATGTAGTCGCTGATTTTTGATTTTAATTTTTATACCGGTAAGCTTTTGTAACCGGGGAGAGCGGAATTTATTAGTTACAAATGTGGCACTCTCCTTTTAACCGAGGGGTTTCACTAAAAAAAAATGATTTGAGTTGGGTTTTCTGTAGTCTCAATAATATGAAATGTTTTATTTATAATACAAATTTGAGACAATAATTTTATATACAAATGATCAAGTACAGTATATACAAAAAGAATTATATTAGGAACTTTGGTGAGTATATAAAAACAGAACTCTGTTGGGTCTATAAAAACGACAGTCAAAAAGGGACAATAGGGTGGTGAACTGTCACTCCAAGGATGGTATCACGCCCATCGCATAGTTGAGCATGCGAGTTTTGCATTCCACCGCGCTTTGTTTAAGAGGAATAGTTGACATTCGGGGCGTTTCGGTATATTTTTCTTGTAGGGCTAGGTCCAAAATATTGTTGATTCCGTTCCAACTCTGCTTTGGGTTGACATCTATCTGCCTGGTTCTGCTCCTGCTTTGCGACCAGCATTTACAGCGAGCATTGCACACTCCACTTTTTCTGCTAGATTTGGGTGCGGCTCCCCGATAGCAGCAATATAATTTTATATCCGGCGTTGCCGGCATTGCATTTTACAATATTGTTGCTGCTTCTACATCGATTTTAACATCGGACACGGAGTAGGCATGAGCGTAGACCATCCCAAGTGATACCATCCTTGGAGTGACAGTTCACCACCCTATTGTCCCTTTTTGACTGTCGTTTTTATAGACCCAACAGAGTTCTGTTTTTATATACTCACCAAAGTTCCTAATATAATTCTTTTTGTATATACTGTACTTGATCATTTGTATATAAAATTATTGTCTCAAATTTGTATTATAAATAAAACATTTCATATTATTGAGACTACAGAAAACATTCGCTCTACCCAAATCATTTTTTTTTTAGTGAAACCCCTCGGTTAAAAGGAGAGTGCCACATTTGTAACTAATAAATTCCGCTCTCCCCGGTTACACTTGGCGTAGTCGGCAGGATAGCTTTGCTATCCACTTTATTTTAGATTTGGGAGCGAAATTGGATAAATTAAAGCAGGGCTAAACGGCAGTCAAATATATAGGGAATTCGCCTGGCACTGATGAGACCGGGAGTTCTGTGGCGTCGTTCTGCCCATGACGATTGGGTACCAGACCAGGTAGACTAAGGAGGGGTGTACCGGCCCAGGTTCCTGCCGCCTTCCTTCCTTGGTGCCATCTTGAAAGAAGAACTGCCAGCTGAGAACCACTGACTGACCTCCAGAGTGAGCTGAAGGAGAGTGCCACATTTGTAACTAATAAATTCCGCTCTCCCCGGTTACACTATCCGTTTGGATATGGTGTTCCATTGTTTGTGGTCGGTATATCTGCAGCAATCGACATCAGCAGCTACGGAACTGACAAATATTGCTGGTTGGAAGTGGAGAATAACTTCATCTGGGCCTTTGTTGCGCCGGTTATCGTCATCATCGTGGTGAACACCATGTTCCTCTCCATGGCGATATTCATCATGTGTCGCCATAGCCCCATGCAGACCAATCAGAAAGAGAAGTCCAACAAAGAGAAAGTAACGTTATTCGTGTATTGACACCTGCCGGGGTGACCAACGATCGTGCCATTCCACTCTTCACTCTGCTACATTGACTGTCGTCAGTGGACTTATGCCTCTGCAGTGCACTTGTTGACGTACCGCTCACTGCTACTCGTTGCTTGACTGCGTATGCGCGTCTTCAGCTAAACCCAAACATTTTTGTACATGTTTTTACTTTTTTTTAATCGTCCCATTGCCAGTATAGGATTCTTTTTGTAGCAATATATTGAAATCGTACTAAGCTGCAAGAAGTAAATATTTTGCAAAGGATTTAATTAGCGCTTTAGGCGAATAAACCTTTTACATCTTTAATCTATGATAAATCTTAAAAGCAGACGCCATATCCTTTATTTCACATTGTACATGTAGATTCCATTATATCTGTATTGATAGTAAAGCCAGTATTTGGTAAATTTTATTCTCTCATTATCCTTATTTCGTTTTAACCACTGTTGGGATTAGCTAACCCAACTAGGATAAATAGACATGTTTAGGTTGGGGTTGAAAGACGCCCTGTAAATAGATGTTGAGGATTTTGTTTTTTTTAATGCATTAAGTGTAGCCAGATACTAGGGTTTTTATAGTAAGATTAGTGTAGTATGATTATATATTGAGAATTAGGTTATTGGGTCCATTGGAGATAATCTCTATTTCTCTAGCGACATGCTAGAGGTGGACCATATTTTTGCCATTTTTTCTCTATCCCGTCATTCAACACTATCTTGCAATTTTAATTAATACTGATATTGTGGATGTTTTTTAGGGATTTTTTATTTGTAGAAACTCATAGCCAAATCTTCATTTTTTTTTACGCGGACTTTCATATGTCTAATTATGGCCAAATTGGGAGTTTTAGATTTAAGGTCCATAATGAGGTAATCTCTAATTCACTAGTCAAATACTAGTGGTGGACAATCTTTTATCGCGCTCTCGACCATTTGAACATATTAGTATTGTCCAAGTTTATTTCGAGGAGCTGGTGTAGTAGTTTTTTATAAATAGGATATTCCTTTTAACCGTTAGTTACTATGAAATTCCCTTCTATAACAATTCTTTTTTCTTTAAAATTAGGGGGTGAGTGTAACCAGGTCGGGTTGCAGTACTTACTTTTCCCCGACTGGTTCCTTACTCCAGCATTATTTCATAACTTTTGTAACTTCGTGTTTGTGTCGATTCACATGTGAGCAGCCATTGCAATCATGCTTTTTGCCTAGGGCCCTCTCGCGGCCAACTAAACTTTTTTTTAACAGCGCGCGCCGCCTAGAATTTTGCTAAACTATGCGATGGGCGTAGCGAGCGTGCAAGTTTTGCATTCCAACGCGCTTTGTTTTAAGCGGAATAGTTGACATTCCGGGCGTTTCGGTATAGTTATCTTGTAGGGCCTGCTGCGGAATATTGTTGATTTCGATCCAACACATCGTTGCATTCAGACCATCTTTTACGAGCGCTTACACTCTTCACTTGTATTACAATTTTGAGAGAGGCTCCCTATACTAGCAGTAAAATATTTACATCTACATTGTATTTTCACTGCTGATCGTCGATTTTCACATCGGAGTAGGCATGAACGTAGATCCTCCCAAGTGATAATATCCTTGGAGCTACTTCATTAGCCCATTCCCTTTTGACTGTCGTTTTTATAGACCCAAAGTTCATATATATACTGTAATTCTTTTTTGTAAATACTGTACCTGATCATTTGTATATAAAATTATTGTCTCAAATTTGTATTATAAATAAAACATTTCATATTATTGAGACTACAGAAACTTCGCTCTTCCCAAATCATTTTTTAGTGGAACCCCTCGGACATAAGGAGAGTGCCCCATTTTAAAACTAATTCCACTCTCCCCGGTTACACTTTTTTCATGTAATTATACAAAATTGTTATCTTTTACAATAATTATTTGTGTATCCATTAAGTTCTTTGACAATTATATGCGTCAACAACTGAAAGAAATAAGATAGACACAGGCAAATGAAATGCATACTTTCATGCAAGAAATAAGTAGGCCTATAATAAGAATGTACTACGGAAAAGCAAAATGCATTCATATTTTCACATCTTTCGGAAACAGTCAATTCAGTTCTTGTACGGTCCTTTGGATTGGTTGTTAAACCTTCAATTTCTCGTCTTACAATACACCATGCAAAATACGTCTGTGCATGATTGTGCCAGCGTACGCGTTTGTCTGATGCATTGGATCGAAATTGTAAACGATTGAACAAAGATGAATTCAATCTGACGCTTATTAGCACTATATCACAGATTAATGTACATATAAATTGGGTAAAGTGGTCATAAATTGCCTCAGAGAGAATCGAAACTGTTCGGGCCGTATAGCTTAAGCGTGCCCGAACCCCACGCCGTAACTTCGCATTGGTCAAGTTATGCCCCACCACTTTAGAGAAGCCGCAAGCGATTGACGCCCTTGCAAATTTAAGACTGCCGATTCTTTCGTGAGGATTCAAACGTTCTTTCTGCAGTCGACTCCCATTGATGGAATTCACATTGAAACTTTAAAAGCCAAGGCTAACCGTTGGACCACGCGGTCTCGTCTCTGGCAGTGTATTTTTTCCCTTCGTAAGAACTCGGTAGATTACATTTTCAAGACTTCGATTCAAATCTATTTTGATGTGGTCATTTTCTAGTCTGAAAAAAATCGATAAATTGGTAAATAACTACATGTCATATCTGCAGCATGCATAATTTGACTGAATAAACGCATTGGCTAATCGGTTGTTACGTCATCACGTCAGTTTGATCCATCGATTGATTCATTGACCAGGATCAAGCAAAACGCTCATACATTGCCCCTCTAGCTCTTTCTGCAATGGGTAATTTTTACTCAACATGCACATCTACGAAAAAGAATCACAGGACATACCGTTTGTTCACTAAATCATGTATTTATTTACAGATGTATCAGAGTAATTAGAATTTTAACATGATTACCAAGAAAACAATCAGAATGTTATTTACATACATAACTAAAGATTTTTTTTTATTAATCTTGACCAAAAGATATATTTTATAATTAAAAATTTTACCTGATAGGTATAATTTGAACCAAATTATACCTATCAGGTAAAATTTGTGAATGGGTGACGGACATTACTTCAAAAGCTAGCCGGCGAATGTACATGCTCCGACTTCTAAAACATTTTGCATTGCCTTCGAAGGACCTGCTAACCATCTACATTGGGTACATCAGACCAATACTGGAATACGCAGTTCCGGTATGGTCATCTGGACTGACCCAGCAACAGAGTGACACCCTGGAACAAACCCAGGAAAGAGCCTGCAGAGTCATCCTTGGTTCCCAGTACAAGGGATATGAACAATCATCAACAGATCTCAGTCTCTGCACTCTTGCTAAGAGAAGAGAGGACATCTGTTACAAATATGTGTGTAACCTACTTAAAGATGACAAGTTTAGTAGCTGGTTACCTGTGCACAGATACAACTCACATAATTACCAATTACGTAACAGTAGCCACCTCTCTATCCCTAACTGCAGAACAAATCGGTACAAAAACAGCCCTGTACCCTACCTTGTGAGGCTATGGAACTCCAAAAACAAGTAAACCATTTTTTAAGTGCCTCCTTATAATTAATCACGTTTTTTTTTATTATTGACATCCATGTCTAATGGTTTTATTGGAATAATAATCCGTTTTAATCCTGGGAATTTGTGTTATCTCTCCCCGCCCACACCCTCCTCCCTTAACTTCCCACATAGCTTTTTTGTCGTATTGTGAACTTTTTAAGCCTAGAAACTTTTTACCCATAAACCTTTTATCAATTCTCTCTCATCCATTTGTATGTAATGTAATGCAAATCTTTTTATGTCTAGTCTTCTGATGATTATATTCAATTCCATGTTTATCCAGTCGTTGGTCTTGAAATGATGTAATTCTATGTTTGTTCATATTCCTTGTCTTACCCCTCCCCTCTCATCCCCTCCCCTTCCCACCCTCTCCATTTCATGGTTTTTTTTATTAATTTTTTTTTTATATATATATATATACTATTTTAGTCTTTCGCTACTCATGTAAAGTAAAGTTTTGTTTTTAATGATTAAACATTGTAAATGTTCTTTACAATTCCGCAGCTGGCGGCGAAAAAAGACATAATAATAAACCAATTAATAATAAAAACAATGTTCTATCCAAAAACGGGAATTCGCAATATGGGAAATCATTATGAGGTATTTCACTCATAAATTAAAGCTTTAAGGCATGGCAACCTTTACAAATACAATTTCAAATTGAAATGCTAGTTTTTATCATGATATGAGTTTTCAAACGAAACAAGTTGGCCGAGGCAACTCATTGAACAAGTTTGAAAAGTTTGAAACGAATCAGGAACGTTTTCCTTTTCATTGCAAGAGACAAAAGTACATACTTTTATTGCTTGAAAAAAACATATTATTGGAAGACGAAATAGAGTGAAAAATGTAATTGTTTTCTTTTAAATACTTTTCCTCCACAACTCCGCAAGTGAAAGTCTAGTTCACGGAATTTTTGGACCGGCTTTGGACTGGATTTAAAGGCAATGGAATTATTTCTTCATCCAATTCAACCTTCCTTATATTCCCACCAAATTCATAAAATTAAACTTATTAACTACAATACAACTTACACGAGTAATCCTGCAGCTATTATGGATAGTGGATAGCAATAATCCAGCACAGCTTGAACGTACGTGCATTGGCGTTCTTTTTTATTTATTATTAATTTCTTTCTTATTGTAACTGGGTAGCCCATTCAGTGGAATCCACTGATCTCCTATGGGTCCCAGTAAAGAGAAGACAATGTGAAGAAATTACAGTTTTAGAGGTGGGAGGAAAACCCCAGAACACTTATCCGAGGAAAAACCACGGAATCAGGTAGGGACTAAAAACCCAATCCACATATTGGCCCAGGCAGGATTCAAACCCAGGTCACAGCGGTGGAAGGCGAGGAAAGTACCGCTGCACCAACAGATTCCCCAACGTACACCAACCTAAATGTATGTAAGTGTGAACAGGACTCTTTGCCAACCAATGATCAATCGGACCCAGTGTCGCTCACAGAGGACCAGTGTTGATTTCACCACAGGTAGGCAGAGGACAGTGTGAAAAGGCCTTGTGTGAGAGTGCTTCCTAGGTTAGCCCGACTCCTCTTGGATTCATCTACAATTTGGAAGCAGGAATTTGCATCCCGCAGTGACTTAGCGCCTCCTTCAGAGCAATCAGTACTTTCTCCACGTTGTAAGGCTGGCAGTTGTGTCCCAGCAGACCAATCCGCCAAATCTGACGAGATATGAAATTTAAAAACAAATTATATAAAGGGGCCAATTCTCCAATTATCTTATTTGTGTCATTCAGGAACTGCAGAGGGTAATGTTCACTGATGACACGGGCATACACGAAGTGTTTAATTCAAGCCAAGCGTTCAGTTTTCAATTTCCAAATGAATGACAACAAAATTGTCATACATGTTCAGTTTCATCAGGAATGCAACTGGGAATTCAGGAAAAAAACAAAGAAACTCCAAACCAAATAACGGCATTCGTGTCAAGTAAAAAAACGAGGAAATCAGCAAATCCGAGGAAAAGTTGCATGCCTTTTTCATAGTTGCATGCCTTTTTCATAGGAATAGTCAAAGTTTCATTGGAAAAGGCCTCAAATTGTTTTATATATCATGTATATACATGTTTACAAATACTACATCAGTAGTTTGTATTGGTCCCAGGCATACAATAATTACATACCTTTCCTGCCAGTGCCCCTAGGCCTCCAGAGATCTCAATCTTGTATCTGCAAAAGTATACAAAATAAAGATGTTTTTAATTTCCACATACAAGATACCGATTCCTTTTATCAAATTACGTAACTCTATACCACTGTCAATAAGCCTCTGTACTGATGACGTCACACTTTGTTTATGCGTGTGCTTTCTAGCCTGCTGGGGATGACGGTTTCGTAGCCCGACAGAAAAGCGCACACGTAAGCAAAGTGTTGTCATCAGTACAGAGGCTTCTTCCAGTGCACTCATCCTACAAAGAAGGGATCTTGCTAATAACTTGTGCAAAATGTTCAACCCCTGCAAAAGGTGAGGGAACACCAATTTCAACACATGTGACTCAACTGTACAAAATACCATAAGCGTGAATTTGCCAAAGCTTTGGAAATCAGAAGGCATCAATAGATTTGGGGGGGGGGGGAGGGGGGGTGCTCGTACCATATTTTCAATGGGGAGCGCTGATCAATTCCTACAATCATGCACACTATATTACCTAGTACTAGTGTTGAAATGCCCCCTTCTCACACCTCTGGTGGACATGTACGTTATTATTATCAGTACAATTTTGAAAACGTTTTCAACAGGGGCGGAGGGAGGGAGGCTTCGACACAAAAAGCAACCCCCTCAGATCCGCGCATGGCCGGCTTTAGCAAATATTTTTAGGGGTAGACTGCTTGCATGTGACGTCACCTTCTAACATTCGATACCGCTATTTCATTTTTTTGGGGGGGGAGGCCATTTGTTTGGTTTTTTTGGGGGGAGGGGGCTTAACACAAGTTATGGGGGGCTCAAGCCCCCCTAGCCCACCTGTAGTACTGCGTCTGGTTACTGCATATGGAATATGAATCAGTAGACAAAAGCGTATTTAAGATACATTTGTGGGACCCTGACACACATTAGAAAGAAAACAAAAGTTGGCCACGTTAACAGAATCTCAGTAGAAACTAACTTGTCCATCATGTACTGTGTAACCTCCTTCCAGGCCACGCCCTGAGGCACCATCACTCCAGTCACAGTGGGTAGGCGGGCTGACCTGTCTGTCACCAGTAACTTCAGGCCTAGCTTCTCAAGCCCCGCCCACAGCATCTCAGCGCACTGCCTGTGCCGCACCCAACAGTTCTCCAGGCCTTCCTCAGCCAGCATGGCTAGGCCTTCTCTCAGCGCGTAGACAGAGTGTATCATTCCAGTATGATGATACCTGCGACAAAAACCAAGAAAAGATAGAAACTACTGCATACAAATCTTTCAACCAATCACTCTTCTTAAATCAAGGTTTCTCAAAGGAAGAAGTCATACAGAACCTTCTATTGGTTGGTCACAAAGTTTGAAGGAAAAACAAGCTGGGAAGAAGACAGCAGAATAAAAATCATCAAAAATCAGTGTTCTCTCCCAGATTTGTATTCAGGGGAAATTAAAAATTTCAGCTTTAATCATGTTAATATAATTTGGGTTAGAAAAAAATTTCCTGTCATGACATTAGGATCACTTCTTTAACTGTTAATTACCTTCTTGGACTCTCATCACATCCCCAATAGTTCCCAAGCTCAACCATGTCCAGGTAGAAGGAAGGCACTCTAGTTTTCCGGCGCGCCATCTTCTCTCTGAAAGGATAGAGAAATTACAAAGTCTTTAAAAACGTGGCAATGCTTTTGTAAGCTTTTGATACAGAGCATTCAGAAACTGAATGACTGAGATAACACATGGCCCTTCAAACTCTTTTATGCGAGTTGCACACAACTTTTACTTTCAATAAGGATCCTTTGTGGTTTATTTGAAAAGTGTGTAATAAAAAGCTGTATCCTCTCTGAGTGATTCCCGTTTGTTTTCCCAGGTTTGCAGCATTGCTAATGTTGCTAGCATCGTGACTTTGGGCATGATCCCTGGCTACATGGTATATATATGGGTTTATGGCTTCTGACTAGCGCCCCTTAAACAAAGACATTGACAAAATGGGGAACCACCAACATAGGGCTGGATAGCTCAGTTGGTAGAGCACCGGAACGGCAATCCAGAGGTCGCAAGCTCAACCCCGCTCCAGCCAAGAATGACGCCAGACAGAGTTTAGGCACAAGGTACTATAGTGTATACAATTTCTCAGATAAAGAACAGGCCAGCCAGCACTCCAAGACTGATGACTCCTGATGATGCAGAGTACATTTGGCTATAGTATAAATGGCCATGCATTACTCATTTTATTCAGCAACCAATGAAATCTCAGGATCTTTGAATGAGTTGCCTTTCTTGATTGACGAGGTCACAGTCTAACATGTCTGAATCTGTCTTTGTTCTAACAGTGCTTATCAAACCATATTGAGGTTTTTGATGATGTAATTGCCTCACATTCTACCAATCTCAAAGCATCAGAGCTACAATCTAACCACAAAAACACAAATCATTTTCTACATACTTATGGTAGACAAGCTGATTATTTCTTTGCAGTGAAAACAATTGCATAAAATAATGATACAGTGATAATATCTTTGGCATGTGGATGGAAGTACACAATCTCATATCTTGGAGCAACTCAACTCCTATGACTTTATTCTATGTACTGTGTACATCATCTCCATTTTATGTAAATGCAACTGACTTATATTAGCAAATCTGTTTTGAACAGTTGTGGCTCCAAATGATAGCTGACCCCAATGAGTGTAATTGGCAAATTTGATGCTGACCTTGCTTTCATACTGAAAGAGATGGGAGCCGTGCCGGGCGGGGCACCAAGGACCTTCTGAGAACCACTGTAAATCACGTCAATACCTGAAAATAGCCAAAGACAATGTGTACAATTTGGAATTCCATGGAGTTAACGACAGTCTGCAAACGGCAACCAATGCTATTACTGAAGCCTTAAGGGCCAATGCTGCCTAAACTAATGCATGCTGTCAGGTCTCCAGTTTAATGGAAGCCATACCTGGCCTACAAATATCTGGTCTTATAGCCTTTAGTGCCATGGAGATATTCCTCAGGACACTTTAATATTAATGGAATTGCATTGTCGTACGATCAATGGACGCCATATACGAACAGCCGATGACGTTTTGTTATCACTCATCACAAACTAACTCTAGTGTGCAGGACACACAAATTGCCCCATGCACAGTCTGGTTTGTGCATATAATGTTTGTTATACCATGGTATTTAAGATTGTGAAATTAAATTGGCTGAGAACCGTTCATACAGCATACTGGATGACAATCTAATGGACTCTGTGGAGTACATCACCTTTCATCGCTATCGACGACTTTTGATTATACAAGTATTTGTCCCGCTGCTACTGAACTCTCAGGCCTATTTAACTCTCTTCCAAAAGTCACCGACGAGGAGGTTTTTGTGCCTGGAGTGCTTATGACCTGTACATTCAAGAACTCATTTCTATAGGCAACACAGTGTTGCCTCTGTTTGTGGTGCAGTGTGTTTAAGATCTTTCTCAAAATTGAAAACCAAAACAATAATCAAATCTTACCCCATTCATCCACAAGGAGTGGCACCCCTCCCAAGGATGCAACCGTGTCAACAAACAATAGGCAGTTGTACCTGATATATAGTGGGTAAACATTCAAACCATTTCAAAAGGGAAAAGTATTACACAGATCACAGCACAACAGTAATTCACTGCCCCACATGCCTCTTAGAAAATGACACTGAAACTGGGCAATTCCAATGCATGTACATGTAGTTAATTATCCCACTTCTGACACCATTATTCCCTTCCTTGTCTTTTGCTAGTGAGTGAATACTGCTAATAAAGGTGCACAAATTCTGCTCTGATCAAAATGATGAACTGTTACTTTTGAAATTAATTTTACAGTAGCAGCATGTAAAAAATCTCTTTTGTGAGTTTGGGAGGTTCTGAAAAGAACTGGGGAAACTCAACGTTTCTGAAAGTAGCCTAAGCTTCGTCGATCATCAAGAAGGCATCTTCTGACGACAGGCACAACATTCTATTGGAAACATTGAGCTTTGGATGGCATAGGTGGCTTGTGCGTAAAGCGCTCGCCTCTCACCAAGGTGACCACGGTTCGAATCGCATGTGAGTAGAGTTGATGTGCATTGGTTCTCTCCTGTGCCATGTGGGTTTTTCTCCAGGCCCTCCGGTTTTCCTCCCTCCGGAAAAATCAAACACTTTCGATCTCAGGCTGTGCTCCATGGTCATATATGGGTCGATGTGGCCGGCAGCCATAGGCGCCTTTACGTGCCAGCGGCCCGACCACGTTGTAGCCGCGTCCTTCGCAATTCAGCATACCAGCTGCGAGTAAGGATGATTAGCCTCCCAAATTATTATTATTATTATTATTAGCTTCCCCTACTCTTTCCAGAACCTCGCAAACTCACAAAAGAGATTTCTTACATGGTGCTACCGTAAACTTGATCCTACTTCTATCATCACCATGCAAACATTCACATCATATCAAACTCTAACTTCCTGGACATTTCTGGCACGCCCCCGTTCAAAAATCGCTGCCTCCGTCACCAACCCCCGCCACCTGGAATTTTGTAAGTTGTATAAGTGACCATGGTTAACAGGTTTAACAGAAATTAGGCACCCCTTCCCCCCTCTAACATTCAGCCCCCCCCCCCCCCCCCACCTTGGTGATAACATTGGCTATGCCACTTATCGAATGTAAGAGTACAAAAAGGACTGTGCCACAATTTTGAAGGACATGAGAAGGGCTACTCCTGTAGTAACTCTTGCAAGTACATTGACATTTACCTGTGACAAAGTTCCCCAACACCTTCAAGTGGCTGAAGTGCAGTGCCTGAGGACTCCCCTTGTGTGATGAAGAATACTGATGGATTGTACCTCCTGAGCCCCTTTAAATGTGTTAGAAACAAAAGAAGAGGTTCATATTTGGACCTCAAATAAAACTATGGCCTCTGTGCACAAGTACTTCTTCAACGGCCAGAAAATGAGAGTTGGGGCAGACCTAGACTAGCCTTTAGTCAAGTCCCACGCGCTTATCCGGACACGTGACGCACCCCGGATGCTGACACGTAAAAAGACTAGCACGAGCGGCGAAGCAGCGAGGGCCTTTACCATCTCGTGGAGAGTGCTTATGTTTTTCCTTTACATTTGTCTACCAATTTGGTAGACAAATTTTCACGCCGTAGTGCATGACATGTTGTGAATGCGTGCGCATCTTGTTTTTTTAGAACGCGTGTGGCGCGCGCGCTCGAAGGCGCGCGCGTGTCATCACCTCAAAAATGGCTTGTTGGTGGTGATTTGTTCATATATATCGGCATACATGTATGATTCAGTTTACTTGAAAAAATGAATAATGATTAGCTCCAAGAGATGGTAACGGCGCTCGTGGCTTCGCCACTCCAATGGTCTTTTTTCATGCCAGAATCTGAGGCACCATGCGTCCAGGTAGACATCCATCCACTGCGTATTTCGAATGACTCAAAGTTACTGTGGGCGAGGGTTAGTCTGGGAGACCATCGCAAGATAAATTTGAACGTATTCACTCACTTGAAGATGCTGTCATGGCTGTGGCTAAATAGCTTCAAATGGCACATTCAGAAGTCGTGCGTACTTCGAGTGCGAACCTGTGTGTCCCGTCCGTAGGGCTCTCAAAAGTGGTAAAAAGGCGCCCTCTTTTGATGGCGCATGGAGCCCATAAGCCAATAATTTGATATCTTATATGCACAAATTTGACAAATTTCACCTCAGGATAAAGTCAGCAGACAAATGCACTCTCTATGGGACGTGGTCACCAAATTCACATTCTGCAATTTTTCACGCAATAAAAATAAGATGAAAATTTTGATTGGTTGTAAAAGAAGAAGAAAATATAGCTCATGGGGAGAGCCTTTTTTTAATCTAAAACCCTGTGTATTTCTAATCTGGTTGCCATCTTCAAAAGGGTCTTTGTCCGACCCCCCCCCCCCCCTTCGTATTTGCTAGATTCTAAGTTAAGCTCGTGGGTTAACAATTTGCAAGTACATGTAGGGCCAGATGATTTGTTCCTAACCGATTTTTCTTGAAAGAAACTTTTTAGAAACTTACATTTTCTATTTCAAGAAGTGAGAACACTTGTCCCATCGGCTTTTTGATGATTTTAACGTTTGCTCCTGAAAATGATTGGAATTATTCAAAACCATGGATTAAACAGCAGCAATTGCGACACATACATTTTGTATCTGATACTCAAACAGGACACAAAAAGGAAAGAGTTCCATACCTGGACATCACTTGACACTCTGTGCACAAACCCTATGAGACTGGTCTGAAAAATTGCAAGTGTTTTCTCAGTAAATGTTTCAATATTTTTTCTTCAAAATTTGACTTTTAGAACATGCTATCGCTTTCTGATAGCTGATAGGACACTGGAGGGAAAAATTAGTAATGTCCATGTATGGAATTCTTCCCCACAAAAATTGTGATGATATGGAGAAAATAATCTGTAAAATATAGAACATTTGTTTGATCTGGGATTTTTTTTAATAGAGTTTGATTTGAACTTGTGAATTTCACTTGTCATTTCAAATCAACACACTAAACTCTCAAGTCTCAACTCTCAAGCATTTTTGCAAGATCTTTCCCAGTCAAGCCCCAATTAAAATAAGGGAATAAATGTGTGCTTCGGAGGTTTTTATCACTCTGTTTAAGACCACTTAGAGTCTGGGTGCTGATAATTACCCGAGCCGGAGGCGAGGGTAATTATCAGCAGACAGACTCTAAGTGGTCTTAAACAGAGTGATAAATACCGACGGAGCACATATTTATTCCCATTCATAAATACCTTTTCGGTAAAAAAAAAATCATATAATTCGTTCAAAAAATCCCGATTTTGTTCAACAAATTCACTTTATGCTTTTTGAAACATCCCTCTTGCAAAATAATGGAGTGTTCAGCTGGCGAGTAAGACGTAAACAACCCTTTTATGGAGATTGACGCGCGCGTATCATGTTCTGCGCGATGTCGCGCAGAACGCACCTGGCGCGTTGCGTTTTGAATTTAGAACTATAAAATTCTGACTCCCTGATAGTGTAGCGCATGCCTACGTAAGGATTGTGAACGTTCAACCAATGAAACGATAAGAGGCACTGGATTTTTAGGAGTCCACATTTTATTGTGACACTGGAAAAGTGTTTAAGACCAGCTAGCCATGTCTTTATCATCCGTTTAAGAATGGCCATGTGACGGGCTCTCGACCAATAGGAATGCGTAAACTGTCTTAGGTGTTTATGAATAACGGTTTCAGGGCCTTGCACTGAACTTTTCATTTATGAAAAGTCATGCCCAACTGGTACTTGTACATGTAGTTGGATTTTAGAGAAATTTGGTTGTTACAGGCTAATGCAAAAGAAAAGTACAAGACCCTACTAATTAGGACTTGCACTTAATTAAATATGCCATATTCGGTTTTCTTCTGGAGATTTTTTTTTTTTAAAGAAACGTTCCAAGTTATTTTGAGCAAAGACCTGTGTCAAGTAGAGTGTACAATAATTTACCATTTCTGTTGCCCAAGTCTGCAAGCCGTTTTCCCCAGAGTCCTTTCTCAGCGACAAGAATGGTGTCTCCTGGCTCAAGGATGTTCATGGTCGCTGCCTCCATGCCTGCATGGCCGGTTCCACTCACAGCCAACGTCAGCTCGTTTCTGGTCTGAAAGGCATACTGGATACCAGCCTTCACATCATCCATTACCTGTGCAATGAAGATTTGCCTTTCATTATGCTGTAAACTAAACAGCTTCTACTAAATGCATATCATTATGGTAACGGCGATCGTGAAGTGTAGGGCCCCTGTTAAGTTTCGATAAATTAAGAATCAAGGGTGATTCTTATAATAACTCAAAAATGACTTTTTCAACGTAGCTCAGACATCTCTTAATATAAAGACACGTTTTTGTAATTTTTGAACAGTTTCACTGCGTCAAAAGTATGGAAAAAATTTTGCAACCTGACACCACTTCTGCGATTGTGTACAAAGTCTATGGAGAGTCGAGAACATTTTCTAAGTATTTCCTAACAAAATCGGAATTTTTTTCAGTCCCAGATTCATGTCTTATCATTTTTGCAATGAATGACCTTCATTGAGATATTAAGAAGTGGCGTCAGGTTGCAACATTTTTCCCAAAATTACAATTTTCCTGCGCAGTTTACAGTTGGTGCCGCGTGATTCAGCGCACCATTGTGCACCTTGCATATGTTGACATGGTTGAAGGTACATCGTGCGGTGCACGCCATCTTTGTTTTCGTGTTTGCGTTTTGCGTGCTGTCATCATCATTTTACCCCCAATCTTAATCATGTCGCCAACTAGTTATAATGGTAGGTCAAATACATGTAAATTGTTAGCTGGAGTTACCTCAGCCCCAAATTTTATCATTGAGTTGCCTAAATCATGACAACCCAATGATAAAATTTAGGGCTGAGGTAGCTCCAGCTAGAAATTGTAATTTAAAAGTGGATTTTGTTCCCTTATATTTAGGAACCGGGCTCGTCGATACACGATCGCCCTATTTTGGAATGCCATGTAATTGGAAGTAGAACTAGTAGTAGTCCTAGTAGTAGGCCATTTGGGTTCTTTGGCCCCAAGGGTTTGCCTTTCATTATACATTGTACTAGCTCTACTGAGTGGAGCGTTGAATTACGGGTACCCCTCCATACCAACGCTCCACCGATTCGCCATACTTTGGTGGCACCGTCACAGTAGCATAGTCACAAACCCACGCGAGGACAAAAAGACCCCAAAAAACCGGTAAAGAGATTACAAATGAGAGAGACAGTTATCCTGGATTGATCTATACATTCTTGACATTCCATGAGACCCCTTATATTGTTCCCAAACAGCGAACATTTTGGGAAAAAAACAGCAAAATAGTCTGAAAACTTACAGCTCAATGTGTTTGCATGGAGGCTCAGTTCTTGAATTGACTGTCGAATGAGGGCGTCTGACGTGACGTCACCGTCGTTGCTCGATCGCGAAGAAAAACAAGTCGCGCTTTATCAACGACTGTTTCGTGTAATGATATGTGCTCCGATCCGCGCCGTACGACAGTATGGGCTTTGAACACACCCAGGGTGGAGACGTCATTAATTTATTTAGAACATGTACGTTTCAGCCGTCTCCACCTTGGGTGTGTTCAAAGCCCACGTATCATTACACGAAACAGTCGTTGATAAAGTGCGACTTGTTTTTCTTCGCGATCGAGCAACGACGGTGACATCACGTCAGACGCCCTCATTCGACAGTCAATTCAAGAACTGAGCCTCCATGCAAACACATTGAGCTGTAAGTTTTCAGACTATTTTGCTGTTTTTTTCCAAAATGTTCGCTGTTTGGGAACAATATAAGGGGTCTCATGGAATGTCAAGAATGTATAGATCAATCTAGTCCGAGTAACTTGGACCCAACTTATCGCCTTTTTTAACATTTGGACATGGTCTGGCGATAGTAAGCATGGTAAGCCAGACCATGTCCAAATGTTAAAAAAGGCGATAAGTTGGGTCCAAGTTACTCGGAAGATCAATCCAGGATAACTGTCTCTCTCATTTGTATTCTCTTTACCGGTTTTTTGGGGTCTTTTTGTCCTCGCGTGGGTTTGTGACTATGCTACTGTGACGGTGCCACCAAAGTATGGCGAATCGGTGGAGCGTTGGTATGCCACGCCAACTCGGACCCACGCCAACTCGGACCCACTACCATCTCGGACCCACTACCAACTCGGACCCAAGACCAACTCGGACCCACTACCAACTCGGACCCAAGCACGACCAACTCGGACCCAACAATGACTTAATCATTAGTTTCAGAGATTATATTTATAGGTCATCTTTATGTTACAGTGCTTATATAGTGAAGATATTTTGTAAATTTATATTGGTCAGAATGGGGCTTTTAGTTTTGTTGTTTGATTATACATGTACTACATTGATTTTGCTCTCTTATTACTCATTCACGTGAAGAAATGGATATCTATGTGCAATGTTTTCCTTTTTCATCTGTTTTGTGTGTGTGTGCCAAATAATAAACCAAATTAAATCACACTCAATGAAGGATTTTAATATGTCACAAAAATTTTGTTCAGTGAGGAAGTTATTAATTTGAAATAGGCCTTTCATTTCATGTAATTGTTAGTTTTTTAATTGTTTTTTTTTTACGAATCTGTTTAACTTTTTATACTTTTTTGATTAACTTTTTTTCCCCAATGGAACATCATAGTGGAACATACAGGCAGCTACCTGTAAGGCCTTGAAGGATAATCTTCCCAGAGCTCCAATACTCCTTTTTGATGATTGACATTTCATAATTGTAGGGTTTTTAATAAGTTGATCTTTTTTTTAGTTCACATGCTGGCTTTGAATTTTGTGGTTTTTTTACGAATCTGTGTAACTTTTTATACTTTTTTGATCAACTTTTTTGTTCAATATGGAACCTTCGTTTTTCTTGCAGTGTATGCAATGGTGTTTATGTGGTTATTTTTTTTAAATACATGTACATGTAGAGATTAGAATAGACTTCGTTTTTATACCTTATTTATTTTATTTAATGACTTATAATGTTTACTTATATTTATTGAATTAATAATGTCATGTTTGGAAGTGTTTATGTTTCAATGTCATACTTTCCAATTTTATTTTTCTATGAAGATCTGTTTTGAATTTATGTGGTTTGAATTAAAAATGAAATGTTAAATTGAGCAAGATGGCGTGAACGATGTCAAATATGAAAATGAATAATTGGTTAAACTTTAATTTTAATTACTTTTGGTTAAAGCGCAATATGTTTCAATGGAAACAAATAATAAAAATAAATAATTAGTTACACTTTTAAAGCGCATTTCAAAATAGCATTTCAATGCGCTTTACGACGACAAGCTGCTGCAATACAGATATTTTACCTGACAACTACAATGACAATGTATACTTAACAGCATAACTGTATTAACACATGATAAGTGGACAAACTTTATGAAATTGTCGAATGATTGAAAACGCTGTCAAATGATTGTAAACGATGGGTCCGAGTTGGTTGTGGATCCGAGTTGGTAGTGGGTCCGAGTTGACGTGGGTCCGAGTTGGTAGTGGGTCCGAGTTGGCATGGGTCCGAGTTGGCTTGGGTCCGACTTGGTTTGGGTCCGAGTTGGATTGAAACCGGGGTACCCGTAATTCAACGCTCCACTCAGTAGAGCTAACATTGTACATGATTGTGATGTAACCAGTCAGTACAGTAGGCGCGGCCTACATGGCCTACACACAAAATAAATTACCTTCACAAATTCCGGGTGCATATGACCCAACATAGGCAGTGCCCCGGCAGCAAGAATCCTCGGTGGAGCATTGGATGGTCCAGGTCCCATCAGCAACTTCTGAGGGACATTTATGGGCATCAAAAGCTCCTTTGAAGGAGAAATTTGAAGCTTTCGTTGCATCGTGATTCAACAAAAAAGTTGTCGGATCGTGTTTACCAAAGATCTTTGCGCCGCAAGGAACCTAGACGGACTCGACAACAGGTTCTTCAACAGGTCATTTTGGTGGTTCTCCATAAGTGCTTGGTAAGCACTTTTGTACATTCATGATTTGGCGTACATATAGTGCGCCCTCAATAGTGCGCTCTTCTGCCGCCCCGCCCCTTGGCTCCGCCCATCGTTCAACATAATGATAATTGTTTATTTGTCTAATAATTTTATTTTCTGTTTTATTCATACAGAAGCAAACTACTTTTCCCCTCTGAAAATATGTTTTTGTTTTTGGTTGTTGTTGCGCCGGCCGTACGTCTGAATTGTTGGGGCGAAAATGAATCTAAATTTGTATTTCAGTAATTATTAAAATCGCAAAAAAAAGAGCAGTGCGAAAAACAATTACACATTTTTCGGGATGAGAATAAAAAAAAAGCACGGGGGAGAAACTTTAAATGCCATTGGTCCCTGCAGTTCATTCTCGCTTAAACAAAATGGGGAAAATAATTTCAATGCCCAACTCTTACCGAACAGACACGCTTAGGTGTTGCTTTTTTTTATTATTTCAGAGAGTTTTCTTGGCTGTGCAGATCCTTTCCCCAAAAAATAGCAATCCGTAGGGGCCTAAATAATAAACAACAGGTTAACGAATTTGCAAATTAAGTCCGATTCTAGTTCTCAAAGTTTCAAAGTGGTGAGAACATAATATTAATACAAGAAACGCACGCTCTTCCTTTAAAAGTGAGGCAGGACGAAATAAACATCACCCGGTATGAAACTATTATTTTGTAACATGCAGTCAGTCCTATTCACTCCGGTCCGGTCCAATTTGCGGGTGGGCACTAATTTTGATGGGGCACTCAATGCGTTTGCAACGACTCTCCCCAAATTTTGAGTTGGGGTGAATGGGGAGAGGGGAAGGGGGAGAGGGGAAGGGGGAGAGGGGAAGGGGGGAGTGGGAGGGGGCGGCAACAACCGCTGGTTTAGTTACGCTGCTGGTAACCTGTGAAAAAGTGGAAATGGTTTAAAAGTCAAATTGTGATTTTACGGTCTTTTGTCCTTAACACCTATTGTTACCATATGCATATATGCACTTAATAATTATTTTTAAACAAAATAATTTATGCAATTGTCAATGAATTTCACTCCAGTGATAATTGGTCAGTATAATGAACCTGCAAAATCTTTATTCAACTTGCTTTCAAAAATCATTTCGGCAATTAACCCAAGCCAGACTACCAGCATAGTTTAAACTTCACAACCACCACATGTCACTTTGGGAACAATATAAAATATACGTTGAAATTATAAAATACGTTGAAATTGGTCAATGCTTTTCTAAGAGTAAAGACATTTTACCTCATACACACCAGAAAACTCGGACCAACTTTCTGATATCCCCACCCCGACATGTACACAGACAAGTGCGCAGTAACACAACTTTAGGCAACCACAGCCATTTTAATGACTAGTATGCCCTTATAAAGAATTTGATGGATCGTTTTTCGATTTTGCAATGGCTGTACAGAAGTTTCCAATTTTGGCAACACTAACGTGGTATTTGCTGACTAGAAAATGTTATTGAAATTAATGATATTTTTAATTTGACAGCTACCTCAATACTGTTTCTGTATAATAAGTGGTTTTGTCATAACTCTAATCATTGGCAAATCAGATTTTCGATTTTTTGTTGTATTAATTGATCTTAATAAAGGCCAACGACATGAAAATACATGCATGACACATTGCATCAACAGCTAAATCCAAAATTGCAGTAAAAGTGTACAAATGTAACTGTTTCAATTTGAGATGAACCGAAAATCCACTTGCACTTTTTTTTCTCATCTACTTGTTCTGCTTGCCTGCTTTTCTGCTATCTGAAAAGCACATATTACTTTCATCCAAAGCCAAGCACCAAGCCCCTTCTTTGGTGTTTTAACCAATCACAATTGTGATTAAAGGTAAATAGGATCATTTGCATTTATCCCAAAGTAACCTTCCAGATTATTATCAAACATATTACTTGGATTAAAGATCGTACTGGTACTAAACACCCTGTGAAATTATTCCATCTGGCTTGCTGTCATTTAGAAGAAATCAAGAAACGAAGGTGATTTCCTCTATAATATCAGTCAATTAACTGATTTTAAGAAATAGAGAGTGCTAAATGAAATTGTGTGTTGTGATCAAAAGGTTGTGCATGGATTTCACTGTTTTCTCGAAAAGTAAAATATCCACTGAGCTGAAACTTCACCAGATTTAAGTTCTGAATGTTCTTCTTTGGAGTTTGATTAGTGTGAATTTTGGGACACTAACAAAATGCATCCTACATGTATGCCTTTAATGTCTAACATACTGATGTCCAACATACACAAAAGTCTGCATGAGTTTGTTTTTGTATTCAATAGGGGACATTGAACAATACAGGACAATAGGGTCCCCAATTCGGCGATGTGTACAAAACGTATGGGAGGTCTTCCTAAAACTGCAGGCAAATACACACTTGGGTGCGTGTTCTACATAACCCCGAGGACCGACACACAAAGGGAGAACAACAGATCCTTTCAGTCCTCAGGAGTTGGGTCTTTTGTTGAAAACGGTCCTCAATCGTACGGTTATGTGCTTAGTCTGTGGAAGAGTGTTACATTACGGGGACAAAGGGAAACACAAAGCAATGTCCTCGAGACTATCGTAAAACACGACTGTGTGCTCTCTGGAGAAGCACACGCATTGTTGCCCATGTTTGCAGTGGGCAGATTCTAATGGATTGGTTTATCACAATTATTCAATAAACCTCTCCCTGTCTCTGCTAGCAGAACACTTTCCCACGGATCAGTACATGGTCTTTGGGAAGCACATAAGATGATAAACCAGTAAACCCCATGTGATATGTTCCTAGATAATCAATAGGCAGAATGTATGTTGAGGTGTAGTCAATGTTATACACAAATGGGCTTGTCTGCTTCCAAGAAAGAATGGTTCTATACATGCACATCTAAGCGAGACACTGGTGTTAAAATATGACAGTTAAAGGGGCATTATGGCCTGAAATCCCTGACAATTATATGCTTTGGATTATTTACTTATACTATTTTAAAGGTCTGGTTGAAAGGAAACAAACCTGTCTTAATTACCATTCTCGAGAAAAGACGAAAAAATATGCTTGTTTACCTTGAACGCGACGGCCTACATGTTCGTATTTCAAGTCATGTCTATTCAATGTATCATACATGTTGTGTGTGTGATACATAATACACACAGCACCAATACACAAATGTTGTTTCTTACACGTCCGCAGAATGCAGTTCACTGTGTTTCTGGATTCACAACTAGCACTCAACAGCTCAATTTTTCGGGGACAAAATTTTGACCCCCGAAACTCGTTCTCGCATGGTTCTTGCAAGAATAACACAAAAACGCCTAGTTTTTAAAGGATGGTTGTGTGGACATTTAATTCTACTTTTAAAGCGCTTTCCATTTAAGATCATTTTGTTTAAAATGCGTTTTGTAGCCCAATTGGATGCATTCCAGCCTGTAATGTCCCTTTAAGTGTTATCCTACTCAGTGACAACACCAAACTTACAAACGAGAACTTTTGAAAGTCTCATGGTCACAAGACCTACTGAACACTTATTGGTCAAGGCAATGCATTATTAAGATTGGTGTTTGCATGGTGTCATACAGTTGACATTTTTATAGACGTTGATAGAAGTACAAGTAGCCAAGGTCCTTAGGGGGATGCGCAGACATTGCAACTTTACGATCATTGTAGATGACCCATCTGCAAAAGATTTTAAAAAATGAAAGGCTTTGTGTCCAGGAAACTGTACAAGGAAATTATCACAAATCAAATGGTAAAAATCAAGTGGTAACAATGCAAATGACATGTACTTCCCTTGTAAGCAACTAAATGTTAATGGTGCCATATTGCCAACATAATGGAGGTCAAGTAACTATAAGATTTTACAATAGCAAGTACACCTAGGATCAAAAATGCGTAACTGGCAGCAAATGTTTAACTGCTTGTTTATTGTTTGCAATGCCAAACTTCTGGTTTCGGCACCTTCGCAAGGTGTAGAAAGGCTTGGAAAAACTCTTTATTTCAAACGTAAATTAAAAGCTAGAATTTAATCACAACGTTCTATTAGAAGTCAACTTATCTCCTACCATCGTAGATGTGAGAAGATTATCTCATTAAATAAAAGTTGTTTGTTTTACTGGGGAGTGCGGTCTAGTGGTTGGTGACACATGATCAGAGGGTCTGGGTTCAAATCCAGCTGCTGGTCGTATGTTGTGTCCTTGGGCAAGCCACTTTACCCCAACTTGCCACTCTCCACCCAGGAGTATAAATGGGTACCGGCATTAGCTTGGGAGTAACCTGCGATGGACCAGCATCCCATCCAGGGGAATAGAAATATTCTCAGTCATGTCATGCCAAGGAAATCGGAGATAAACGCTGGCCTGATGGGCCATATTGACTCGTAACTTTACTGATACAAGTACTAATGGATGGACTTGCAAATGACTTTCCCTTACCCTCAGTGCGTGATTAAACAGCGCCCTCATTGTTCATGCATCAAGCCAATAACACAACCGACATCTTCAAAATCCCATTCTCAGATTTGATTTTTATATGAGCTTGTTCCAGTCTTGCTTACCTGCCATCTTTGAAGATGTGACAGACGTAGTGGCCACAGGAGGTGGATGTTCCCATGTGACTGATGAAGGCCATCAACCGATACTCTGAAATGCAACAAATTAAGATTAAAAAACATAAGTTACAAATAACAGCTACAACAAAATCCCATCAACTTCAAATTAATGTTAAACAAGAAAAAAAAAACTGTACCACACAAAACCCTATTAGGAGTCTACCAAACAAGGACAACATAACATTAAGGCCATGCATCAGAGCTGTGTACCCGAGTACCTGACCGTTGATGTCAGGAACCGGTTCCAGATTATGGGATCGGGTACCAGTAACCAACTTAACAAATTACTTAGTTACTTCTCAGACAATGAAAATGAAAGATTTTGAATGTCACTTGTGGGGATTTTCAAAATGAAAACCAGGCTACATGGAAAACAAAATATATTTCACATTCATGACGCTCGCGAAAGTTGCAGTTTAATACACCGTAAAGCTATCAAGCTCACTGATACATACTTGTATCTTGCTGTATTGGTGCACTGATGTATTAGTATTATCATGCAGACCTTTATGAACAATCTGAACAGCACTTCCAAGACTTGAATTTTGGGGTTGGGGTTTTTTTTACGTGTAACTTGGCACCCGTGTTATTTTTCAGTTGGTTACCCGGTTCCCATACTACCTGTAAATGCACACCCCTAGATAAGATAAGCAAATCAAAATAAAGCTTTAGACAAAGTTAACTGTCAGGGAACGTTCCAGGTAAGGTCGGGCAAGTTAAAAGATTCGATGTGCTCTTCAGCATGCCACTGCTCATTTCAGCGTGGCGATGAGCTTTTCAGCATGGCACACCACTGTGTTCATTCAGTGTGATGGAAGTGTCTAATTTCCAAGATAGTGTGATGAGAGTAACATTACTGTTTAAACCACAACTACCTCAGAAGATATGGTACTTCATAACGTTTATTCTTTATCAAGTTGGAATGATATACATGTACTTACTTCCGTTCCCGTCGCGGCATCGTTGGACAGCAGGCTGGGCTTCAGCTTGGCCTGTTTCCATGGCGACTGGATCATCCAGGTGACTGAATATCCAATCAGCTGCTCGCTCTATGTTGTTATCCTGAAGCATTGCCAAAATACATTTTTTTTTCATTTTGGTTTACAGAGGATGGCAGTTTATGTTTAAAGTTGGACAGTCCTAGAAAATTGTTTTAAAATACTTGGTACTTTGTCAAGTATCAGTTTCAGAAACTGAAGGAATATTCCTTCCCATTATCCTTTCCTAATTTTAGCTCCATGCATTGCCACGTGGTGAAAAAAACAAGTACGATAAAATAAGATGGTATAGATTGATCTGTTGTACACAGTAATATGCAGTTACTGAGATAGAACCACAACTACACACATCGCACACTTTTTCTAAGTTAAGATAAGTACATATTTCAACAACTTTGAAGGTCAAGAGTATTCATAATAAATTGGCAATCTGCCATTAAATTGCGAGTTTCCAACAAAAAAAGTAGGCAAGGTGCCGTGTGAAGTTTAAAAGCTACGGCTAAAAGTTGGCAAAGTTCCAAGCGACTAGTGATTACATGCATCTTTGGCTTACCGTTGCTTTGAGTGCTCTGATGGCTTGATCTCTGCCAAATCCCATGCTCAAGATCATCGCTATGCTGTCTTCGTTCACGACAAACTCTGGCGCTTTCTTGGGCCCTGCTAGCTGCAATGGCTCTGCGAAATCTGAAGGATCACAAAGTGAAATTCGCTTCAATCAATTACTGGACAAAATCTCTGTTACTCAAGCAGTCTCAACTCCATAACTGACAAGCCCGGTTCATACTCGGCGCGAAAGCGAAAGCGAAAGCGAACGCGAATTTGTGACGACATGGCAAGTATTCGCGCTGCGAATTCATGAAAGTTGAACATATTTCAACTCGGGTGAATTTCGCAGCGAATGTTTCATGACGTCGAATTCGCTTCGCATTCGCGTGAAGTATGAACCGGGCTTCATTTAGAGAATCGCAATGCCATACTGCAGTAACAATCTGAGATGTGCATTACTACTCCCGTTACGGCAAACTGTCTTGTGTTCTGCAAAGAAGTTAAGAAATGCATGTGAAGCAAAACCGAAATGCAACAGTCAGATGCCACTGTTACGATTCATGAATAATATGATTTGCATGTCAAACCATCCCTCCTAAACACAAGACACTGTCACTTACGTTGTCTGTGTAAAGCCGGAACGTTGTGAAGAATACAGACAGTCTTATTTGTATACAAAAATCCCGCAGGATTCCAAAGAAGTTACTACGTAAATAGGATAGTCAATGCGAAGGTGCACCAGTTAAAAACTAATCCAGTGGCTTGGCAGTCCTTTATCGATCATTCATAAATACCTAAGACAGTTTACCCCTTCCCATTGGTCGAGAGCTCGAGTGGTTTTAAACGGTTGATAAAACACCTGCTGCTTTTAAACACTTATACAGTTGTCACGTGAAATTTTGACTCCTATGAAATCTGGTCCCTTTTAACCTTTTATTGGTTGAATGTTCACAATCTTCACTTCAATGTGTCCGTATTTCGCCGTCCTAAATTCACACTACACCAGCACTTTCAAGTTCTGAGCCACATTGCGCAGTACGTGGCAAATAAGGAGATGTTTACAACTGCTTGCGAGAGGCACATTACATAACATAGCTAGAGGGGTATTTAAGAAAACATGAAGTAAAACTGTTGAACAAAATCTTTGGAAATTTTTAGTTTTTGACTTGTTTTGACTTTTTGACTTAGAGGTATTTATGAATGGGAATAAATATGTGATTGGCCAGTATTAAACAAGTACATTTTCGCCCAGCGTGACTGATTGCCATCAATCAGCGTCCAGACCCCCGAGCCGGTTTTAAACGTACTTGTTTAAAACTGGCAAAGCACATATTTATTCCCTTATTAACGTTTTGACCAGTAACCACGACCTTAAAATGCCTTGGTTAATGTGCACTGTTGTTTGACCTTTGACCTACCTGCATCAGACATATGTTGGAAGACCCAGTTCATGGCAGCATCCACCCCAGAGTTCTTGGTGTGGTAGACAGCCTTCTTGCATCCCTCCCTGGCAAAACCCATGTCCATCAATTGCTGCACCGTCTCCTCACTAATCTCTGGCTCTGCATTCAAAAACACACAAACAGTAGAAAATATTCAGTGTTAAAGGGAAGATACAACATTTGCAAACAACAAAAAAAACGACATGATCAAATTATTACGAAAAACCTTACTTTTTTTCAAAACCTCTGAATTTTTCATATTTAGTTATTCCACATTTTCTTTGCAATTGATTACACACCTGTGAAGGGGTGCAAGCCTGCTAGACTGATTCTCTGACCTTACAATTCTCTAAGGTCTATGAATTGCTTTGTTTCATCTCAAGTGAGGTCAGGGAACCAGACTACAAGAACATGTTTTGTTTTCTTGGTTTTTCCAGCATCTACAAACCCAAAATGTGAAACGGGCCAGTTTAACAATATTTGCTATATCACACTAATCCTCCAAATCCATTTATTTCAGGAAATTGTAGCAAAAGCAAATGTTGTACATTCCCTTAAGAAAGTGTCATTGTTTTGATCCCCACACTGTTTTATGCCCATCGCAATAAGCACAGGTACAAGCTTTTAGCTTTCATAATAGACTCAGATGTGGTGGGTTCATTCATACTCGAAATAAAATTATTTGTGCGTAATTTGTGTCATGTCTGCTATACACACACAATCAAGTGTGCAAACGTGGCAGGGCTCACAAAATCGGCTGCCCGACGTCCCGGGACAACCAAAATATTTTGTCGGACAACCAAAAGTTCCAGGTTGCCAGCCCAATGGGCAACCACTATTTTTACCAATACTCACAATTTTACACTTTATTTTAGTCCATGGGATTTTCGAAAGTTCAAGAATCCTATACACGTACACAGCATTGAACAATAATATTGACATTTTGTGCTCAGCTGCTGCGCTATCGCCATTTTGCAAGCATGCGTGGTCGGCCATGGCTGCATGCATGTGTCTCCCTTAATGAGGCACCATCTACTGTTGATGTATAGAGTCTGTATCACGATTGCGATGCGTCAGAGAAAGTGTTAGTTAATTACCCTTTAATTGATGGCTCCGTAACTACTCAATTGGGGGAGGTATAAACAATAGACATGTCACATGTATTGAAGTACATTTGCAGGTTTAGTATCTTTATTTCAAGTTGATTGTAATAAATATAGTTATATCATGCACTTGGATACTGTTATTTCATTGGTCTAGAGCGGCCATGTGTCCACTCTAAAAAAAAATGCATATCACACTTTGTTCAATACGCCTCAAAATAGCGCCATTCTGTGCCCTCACAAAAATATGGCATGTTGAAGTATGATAAGTTCTAAACGCAAGCCCACCATTAAGCCAGACACTACCTCTAGCTGTATTGCCTCACCTGGTTCTGGGGGGCTGTCTCCCTCAGGTAACTCCACCTCCCCTGGTTGGAGTCCACTGCCCCTGTAAGCAGTCAAGTCTAACTCATCTTTACCCTACCTATAGGTCAGACACTACCTCTAGCTGTATTGCTTCACCTGGTTCTGGGGGGCTGTCTCCCTCAGGTAACTCCACCTCCCCTGGTTGGAGTCCGCTGCCCCTGTAAGCAGTCAAGTCTAACTCATCTTTACCCTACCTATAGGTCAGACACTACCTAGCTGTATTGCTTCACCTGGTTCTGGGGGGCTGTCTCCCTCAGGTAACTCCATCTCCCCTGGTTGGAGTCCGCTGCCCCTGTAAGCAGTCAAGTCTAACTCATCTGGCATGTCAACTGCAACATCTAGGAGACACAGAGAAACACAACCAATATACCTCTTGCTTCACAAATAATTTTAAAGTAAGGATTGTACTTGGCAGTTGGCAGACTTCCACTCATCTTCTTGCATCAGTACATGTGAAGTAGCAGATCCAGATAAAAAGGTACACAATAGAAATGGAATTTTTCATCCCTCTTGTGTATAGTCTGCCTGCTCAATTATCAATCTGGCTATGCCTGTGATGTCTATGTTTGTAAGTTGTGAACGTGGCGCTTTTTTGTGATTGGTGGCCATATGTGATGCGAACAAGCTAAATGATTCGTTTGTCGGGAACTTTCATTTGGAGATTCAGGCCAAAATAGGGCCACTTCATCACATCACTTCATCACATCTCTAAGTGTTCCGACTTCCATAATTTTTGAACTAAAGATGGTACCAGCATGCGGTTTTCACAGCAGTAATGCTGAGATTGTGCTTTTTTCAAAACTGTAAGAAAAAACAAAATTGACCAGGGTCTACAAACGACTCATTTAGCTTGATCGCATCACATATGTCTGTCAATACTGCAACATGAGATAAGACATAACAAGATTACATCACAACTCCCAATGGCTGAATGGAAATATCTGTCACTTCTATCCTGCAGGCCCCTTCAATGGCAAAAGCATTGTGCTAGCTATTGCTCAGGTAACAGGCATGCAACTGGGAATTTAGAAGGAAAAAAACGAAGCCATCCCAAACCACACAAGACTTTGTACATTGTTTTTCAATTTGTAATGGCATTCATGAGAAGTAAAAAACGAGGAAATCAGCGGATCTGAGGTAAAGTTGCATGCCTGAGATAATCGGTCACAGGGCAGTTGGTCTGCACAAAAAGGCTCACAATGGTTTCCTCTTTGATGGGGCCCTGTGAGTGTACAGTGATCATATTCCTGGATTTGTCAAGTTGGTCATTAGAAAACTCAGCACACCACAAATAAAACGCTTAGGAGATTTCATCAAAGAGAAACAGAGAAGACCAACTGTAGGACGTAACTTTCTACAAGTGGTAGCCATAACTACCCATGTGTACTGATGTGTGAATGAGACGTTGTTGGGGTTTTATTTTACCATAAACAAGGTTGTGACTTTTTCAGCATAAAGGTCTGCTCTTTTTAAAACTCCCACATTGCTTGTTCTTAAATCCTGCAACAAGAATATCTAGGTCTATGTGGATACATGTGCAGAAAATATGTTGGATATGGAGTCCAACTGTACGTAAAGTATATGAAAGTACATGTATGTACTTGGAACTTAATAATGAATCTTGATCAAGGATAAGGTCTCATTTACAAATTACAACATTTCACTCTGTGTGGCCCATTAACCCCAAATGCCTTGATAAATTTTCATCATTTAGTCCGCCCATAAACTTCCAATGAGTTCTCAATGCACACCAAAAGTCTTTTTAAATGTATCAAGGGTAAAAAAAAAAAACCACACACACGCAAACTCTTCTACTGTGTAATGCTTACCAAGTTTCTTTGGCACCCAGTTTTCAGAGAGGGTGAACTTCTTCAGTTGTATTACCAGGAAATCAGGAAAGGTTGCCAGCTTTGCACTCCTGTAAGAGAACACAAGCAAGTCCAATGAAATTTCTTTCATTTACGGACAACATAATGAATTTTTCCAGACCATCATACCAACACTAGGTTATGTAATTCACAGATCACATTTTCAAACATTTAGGAGTTTGTTACATGTACGCCTGCATCCAACTACTAAAGACACCTTTGTCATGTTTGTACACGCCTACTCAGTGATTAGAGAGGTTTCATATTCGAACGGATTCATGTACGCATACTATCACATGTAACTATCCGTATTAAACCATTCTGTTGTTTCGCATCGCGTAAGCACATGTATATGACAAGTTGTCGGAAACAAGTAGATATCCAAAATGGCAGCCTCCAATGAAAGCCTCGTATTTGTGACTAATCCTTCTTTCAAACACAGACAAATGCCACATGTGTGTAAAGCAATTCATCCTCTTTCGATTAGCAGAAAAGAGGGTGAACTTGACAATTTAAAATTTGTTTCATACTGACGCGTAGCGCAATGGATCCGTGCAATGTACCCAAGTTGCAAATAGTGGCTTGTGTGTGACGTCACAAGACCACAAAACTGATCATCAATCCGGCCTGTTGTCCCTATCCGTTCACTTGTGAAACCTTTAAATTACCTAGTAGCCACGGACTTGGCCTGCAGGGCAGAGCTGAAGAAATCCTCCACAGTCTCTGGGGCCATGAATGCCTCTAGGCAAGCTGAGACAGGGATGCGAGGCCGGACTAGCTCCTTGGGATCGACTGGCTGCTTCTTGGCTTCGAGATCCTTCTTCTTAGCCTCATAGGCTGCAACTTCCTCTGTAGAGATAGACAAGTGCACGGCCAATCAGCCAAATTCTTTCAAACAAGCGCGAGTGCACAATAAGCTCTGGCCCGGTTCTGGAATGTCTCGCATCATATGCAAAATAGATGCGAATGCACATCGATCGAGACAAAGGGGCGTGTTCTGACAACTTTCGCCGAGAGTGCATTTACCTGTTTACCGACGACAACTTGCATTTGGTCAACTTTTGGTCAATTGCTAGTTATATTTTATGGGAAACTTAGGGTGCTCGTTTTTGGTCAATTTTCTGGGAACAGACCTACCGACTGACCGACCGACAGTGAACAGCGAAGTGACATGTTGAACATGTGGATTGACTCAATATGGTAGACCGAGGGCAGTATTTGAAAAAAAGTCAGTTTTTTTTACCAACCCTGGTCGGCCAAACCAGCATTGGAAATTGATACAAAAATACCACTTTTCTTGAAATTGACAGCACACCAGGTGCTGGGATTTTACAGGATGCTATCTTTCACTAACAGTCCAGCAAGGTATATCATAATAATTTGGTATTTGTTTTGTGATGTTTGCAAATGTTGTATATTCCCTTTAGCATTCATAAAGGTGTTTTTTTTAGGTTGGTTTTTTTTTTTTTTTGGTAAGTGGGGGCTTCAGACAGGGTTGGCGGTTATAAAAATGCATTTGTTTCTTGGGTCAGGAGCCCAAAATAGGGTCGGTGGGAAATAAGAACTAAAAAATAAACAAGTGCGAGTGCACAATAAGCTCTGGGCGTGTTGCAAAAAGTCTTGCATTAATCGATCAAAAATATCCCTGCCAGAGCTTAAAAATGCGACGCAGAAAAATGCGACGCCCATGGCACATGTGAAACACCATACTTTTGGTCAATTTTCGGGGACAGACAGACAGATGAACAGACTGACCAACCGACCACCAAGTGACATATAGAAGCTCCTGCCAGAGCTCTAATCATCGCAAGTCTTTGAGGAACATCTACACACCTTTATTGATGGCTGCAGCTAGCGGTATCGGTAATGATAGAAGGAAGTCAGAACGCTTCTTGTAGCGGACTTGGCCTGATTGCACACACTGTATTCTTTCCTCAAGCTCAAACTTGAAACAATCGCACGGGTTGTTACTGCCGACACTATTGCGCTGGAAAACGACACAGAAAAGAGCGAAGGTAAGTTGAAAATCAAAGCAGCAGTTTATTTATTGGAAAAATTCAGATTAAAAAAAAGGTATTTGTGTACATGCACATTATACATAAAATAACATATCAGAAATACAATGCCATATTCAAGGCATTCAGGATCATTTGCTTTTCATGCATTTTGTTCGTTTCCAATAATAACACCACTCAAAATACAAAGAAGAATGTTCAAACCTAGCCTGTTGAAGTTTCAGCTCAGCGGATATTACACTTTTTGAGAAAACTGAGAAAATGCATAGATTTATCTCATTGCAACGCATAGGTTTCTATTGACAGGGTGATGGTTAGGTCCTAACCATCTGAAGGAAATGATGATTCATTCCTTTTTTCCCTTGAAAATGACAGCATACTAGACAAAACCATTTCACAAGATATTTTAACCTGCTATTTACTTACAATCAATGAGGATATTTCATTATATTTTGGCAGTTTCGTTTTTGAATTTTTTACAAATGATCCTTAACGGGTTCATGAAATGAATTTTACAGTGGAGCATATTTGTAGTAAATATCCATTCCTGTGAAATGTATAAAAACTATGAAGAAGTTTCTGCCTTGAATGCAAGCACAGTTTTGCTCATGAATATGGAAATTCACATTAGCATACAAACCAACAAGGCACCAAATGCCCCTAAAATGGCAATTTGAAGATTACAAATAAAATTAAATGGAACACAAAGGTACATTTCAAGGACTGAATTTTCACAAAAAGTTGCAATACATGAGCCCCATAAATAGAGTAAGCTTTTATTCTCATTGGAAGTCACAGACAAAAACACATTTCTTCTTGGCTCCAAAAAATAAACCACTGCTCATATGCAACAAAAAGATATGAGGACTAAAAAGCACAGACTGAAAGCCAAATGTGACCAATAAACAACATGTACCTCAATGATGTTGGAGAGATGAAGTAAGAACTCTTCCGCATCCTGCTGCCGATTGGTGGAGAACTCGGGATGGCCTCGTCCAATCAGAGCCTTGAACATTCGCGGTGTGATGCCTTCCTGACTCTATTCAATTGAAGCCAAGCAATCAATGTACATGTATAAAATCTATGTACAGGCAAACTATAATAAAATGGTTTCCCTTACACTTATGACTTATCCACAATTTACTAAAGCACAGCTTTGTTGAAATTGATTTATTATATCGTGCGCTGGATACTGTGATTTCATTGATGTAGAACTGATCTATAAACATGCATGTCACACACTTGTATCAATTTTTAGCTGGAGATCAGCGATATCGCACTGCGTTCATTGCGCGCGTTGCGCACGCGCATGGAACCTGCCGGTGCGCTAGCTTCAGGCAATGTCAACCGCTCAGTCTCATGTCAGGCAGGACATCAAAACTTTCAGTTATCAAAGGTTACATCACAGTGATTTAATTTATTTCTCACACAGTAAATCAAAACCATTTATCTTTTTGAGTTATTGACACGATATAACAATAAATAATTGTTGACTGCTGTGATGTGGAATATGCCGTTTTTAACCCCCTCGGTGTGGCCCTCCGTGTTGAAAACATCATATCCCACATCAAAGCAGTCAACAATTGTTAACTCTAATTTCAAAGATAATTCTTGAATGAAATATAAGGGTGGGATATCAAACTTCTATCAATATAATCAATTTTTGAAAACCTGAAATTCCAGACAATTTGAAAAATTTTTGTCATGTTGTAAAAGTCTTTGTCATGTTGTAAATTTTTGGAAAGCTTAAAAAAAGTTAGTAATTTCACAGTCTGGCAAAATTATAAGAATTTCTTCAGAAGAAAGATTGATTGTAAACCGCAAAGGGCAAAATTTGAAGGACAAAACAGAGTCGTCCCATTCCCAAGTGGGAACAAAAAAGTTATTATTTTACCAATTCCTGGGGTTCACCACTCTCATCAATACTCTGAGGCTCCTTGGAATACTTGCCCGATTGAAGACCGTGGCCCAACTTGGACCTGCGGAGGTTGAAAGACAAAATTTGAACATTATTTCTCTTTCCATGACTCATTTCTTTTCTAAAATATAAATAGAACTCTCAACAGTTTGAAATGTTGTAAACACTAAAATAAATAACAAAACAAAATCCACAAAGTTTTGGACCTGCTCTGTGAATTTTAGGGCTTTGTAAATTTATTTGAATAAAAAATGTTGTACCAAGTTCACTAAAACAACTTTTTATATGAAATAAGTTCAATGTCTACTGAAAGGTGACGTACATTTGGATGTTGAAGTCTGACGTAGGATCTTGCACTGGGGTTGAGAAGATAACTTCAGTTTGATTTGCATATCTGTGAAATAAAGATAATGTCAAAATGTTTAAAAATCCAAAATTAGCATTCTGCCTTGAAATATAGTTTAGAGCATTAACCTTCCTGCTATCTGAACAGTCACTGACAGTCAATTAATCAATCCTGTTCCCCTGCCATGCCTTTTACACAGGCTAGTCACTAACAGTCAGATCATAGTTCTTGTAGGCACTGTGACTAGTCAAAGTCCATCAACAGACAAAAGCAGGTGACTGGTAGGCACAGCTGGCTTATCAATCTCCTACAGTCAAAGCATATCTATATCAGGTTCCGTAGCAATCACAGCCAGTCAATCCTGCTTTACGAAGGCATCTCCTGCTGGAATTTAGAGGTACATGCCGAAAACAACCCAGTTTTTACTATTTGGTAGGCTTTTTAATATACATGTATATGTGACCTGTTCTGTCAAAAGCAGACGCTTCTGGGCATAGATTGAAATTGAGATAGGGCTTAAAAAATGCTGTGGGGGTGATTTTTTTGCGATTTTCAAATTTGTGCATTTTTGTAATCCTGAACATGTCTAAAATATACTATAAAAGTTTGAAACCCTAAGTTGAACTCTAAATGTAGTATTTTTGACGATTTGTTAAGATATATCAGTTAAAGAAATTACTGTTTTGTGACGTGTGTGGCCATTTTCTCCATTTTCTACTTTTCAACACAATGAACTTCAAAATAGCATAACTTTGCACGGGAATGACCGGATTAAAAAATTAAACCACCTATTAAAAGGAAAAAGAACATATTTTAACAATATGCAAAAAACTCATTTTTGACCATATGCCCAGAAAAGTCTGATTTTGACAGAACAGGTCACATATTTGCCAAAGAGCAAAAAGCCCTTTGGCACATACATGTACATAACCATCAAAATATGCTCTTATTCTTAAAAAAAAATGTAATAGAGCTTGAACTCATGGAAATGTACTAGTAGTCATAACAAAAATGCATCGTTCTTGTTCTCATAGCAATCACTTGTACACAGTACAAAATGTATGTATGTTTTTGAACATGTACTCGTACTGGTACTTGACTACAACTGACAACACTAAGTACTGTGACTAGACAAATTCAATCTCCATAGAGGTATTAAACCAGTACTCAACAGCTATCCATCACCTGCAGTCACAGTATGGATGCATCAAGTACAATAAGCAGTCACAGGCAGTCAATCTTGCTGAGTGTATTCTTTAATGCTTTTTTTCCCCTTCAAATTGTCACTTGATTGATGTTTACTGGAATGACAGCTTGAATGATCCGATTTGTCAGATAGAGGGAGGGGTGAATACGGGTGAATTTACTTACTTTTGAATAAAATCTGGGATTGTGAACACAACTTGCATCACTGAGTTCATGTAGCAACTGTTCAAAAGGAAATGTTACAAAGCGTCGACATGATCAATAAACTAGACATTTCTTAAAACACTCTTGAAGCGCAGTCTGTTTTACTATACTCAAATAATGTTCCCTTTTGTTTGGACTTCCAATTTTCTTGACACGTCCCACAAGGTTTGTACAAACTCCCATTGACTCGGAGTCAGAATCGTAGATTTATTACTATTTCAGGTAAGTCTCTGTGGCGAATTATAAGCTGTACATACAAAGGCTGATAACAATCCAGCACAGATACAGACAAAATGTGCCACCAGCAGGTAAACACCCATACTGAAATTTGTATCCTTGTGGAGACATTTCTTTGTTCTTGTGTAGTCAAGTTTTCGAGTTTGAAATTGTAGTCTCAAAATGCTCTCATTGTAACCAGAATTAATTTCCTTGGCTGAAATTCGGATTAAATATCCCTTTTCTAAAACTCTTCCATTTGCGACATATCAACCCACCTTGGAAATTCCTAGTTTTTTAGTAAAATCCATACATCCATTTCTTGAAAACCTTGCGGAGACGTATTCATCTATAGAAATTGCCCTGTGGAGACGTATACAATCTTTTGTTCCCTATTCTGTGCATGTCTCCAGAGGGCACGGTGTATCAGATCAAAGTGTATAGAGCCAACAAAAAATTGCACACATCATCGTAGGCACTGTGTAGTCGAGTGAAAGCACCTTGATGATGGGTGTACAATGGTACATGCTTGCCAAACCCAAACCAAATGCCAAGAATGGCATTTGTGGCAGATTGCCAATTGAATATGCCTGGCAATTCAAGTGTTATGTAATGTCCGTGACAGAGATTACAATGTAAGAGCTCAATGAATATACCTGAAAATGTATTTTTCAAATCTTGTACATCCATCATCTAGTTATGGTCTTGGAGATTACAGACTAGGAGTTGTGGATCATTTCTCTGAATCATTAATTGGATATCATGGTTAATTGGCTCTGTCACGGACATTACACTTCCTTTAATAATGCAGGAATTACCCCGACTCAGTACATGTAGCCTTAATAATATAATTCACTACCCTATAACCAGATCAAACCATGTGTGCAGGTTCATATGTGACCGGCTCTACAAAAAAGTCACTCTTAGCATTATTGTGTTATGGCCCGCTCAACATTGAGAGGGTGAAAATTTCGTTAAAATGTAGTTTTCATTTTATGTCATGAATGACATCTTGAATACCTACAGTTTCAGGTTTCATTCACAGAAATGTTGGTTTGGATGAACAAAATGGAAAAAAAAAACATTTTGTCATGTTTGTGTGCATTATTCTGTTGTTCTACAACAAAGCCAGCTATTTCAAAGCCTGTTTTCTCAGTTGTGCAATTTGAACTCCAAGGAAGTAATTAATATGCAAATACATCATATATCCAGAACGGGAGGGGCTATGGAGCTCTATTATACACCAAATGAAAGCTTACATTGTGGGCTTTTCAACCATGTATATAACTCCATTTCACCTTTTTGCGACATAATACCCTTTTTTGTGGAGCCGGTCACATATGGCAAGCAGAATACACAACTTAGTTTCACATGGATGAAAATATAAAGGCACAAACTCTCTGGATCTTTGCCTGCTACTTGCATACAGAGTCTAACAGAGCCAAAAGTTATACCACAGGTTACTAACACATGATGGAAAATCATGGCATTGAAATGCCCTCACTTTTTGGTACTGTCACTTTTTTCACCACTAAATTTAGAGGGTTTAAGCATGCATTGAGCCAATGTATGTAGTGTGTACCTATTGCCCAGGTTCCTGATGCCCGTGTAGCCTGATCCATACAGCGGCGTCAGCTTGCTGCCAGCCTCCTGAATCACATCCCACTCAGCCACCTTGGTGTTCAGGTCAATCTCCAGCTCTGTCATGGTCTTATCCGTCTGAAATTCAATTCAACACATTTCTTTTTCAAGATAATACATGATTAACCTGCATCTTGTGATGTGGTCCATGCATGTCAAAACCGGGCACTTTTGGGCAAGAAGTCATTGAGTTATTGCAATATTAGTAAAATACACACCTTGCTCTTTCAAACGTTGCTTTGTTTTTTTAAATTGGATATGCCATATTGGATATGCCAAAGCAAAGTTTTTATTTTGAAATCAGACTGTCCAAAAAGTCACTTTTACAGAGCATTTTAAATGTTAGTTGGCACCACACAAAAAAAACCTCACAATCGCTGAAAATCAACCTATGTCATTTGCTTTTCTTGTTATGCAATTTTTTGATTTGAAGCAACAAAATTCCCCAAATGTTTAACTGCATTACAACTACCGTAATTTTCGGAATATAAGCCGCGCAGCGTATAAGCCGCAGCACGCAAAAATCTGCAAATTAAGATTTGAAGTCGGCGTATAAGCCGCACCGGCGTATAAGCCGCACCGACCGCTGTGGTTTCAATTTTGTAAGGCCTCCAAATTCTAGTCAAAATGCTCTGAACCAGTTCCATTTACACTACAGAAGCTATTAAAAGGGCCAAAAAAGTTATATCAAATCATTTACAATCAATACTTTTACAAACAAATGGGGAATTGATGAGAAATAAACACCGGGAACTGCTGCCGGCTGCCCCGTCATAGCCCGGCAGCCTGCTCCACGCACGCCGGTGAATGACAACATTTTCCCGCAGCACGTGAGAGAGTATGAAACCCACCGTGTGTTGTCTGACTGGAGCGCTACAAATCTTGCTTTGTGGCAACAGATGCTGATTTGTTTTGTCCTAAGAATAAACAGGTCCGTTTTTACCTCAAAACTTATCAAATTGTTGCGATTACTAACGAGTAGTTGCGATAAAAATTCAAGTTTCGATTGTAACTTTCTTCGGAATAGTCAAAACGAAGCGGACATTTTAATAGACGAATCGATTAATTTTGTAAGGGGTGATTTAGTCCCTCTTTTCAGTTTTACATCGTTTCTTGAATACATTTCAAGAAAACAAAATATATTGTGACGTTGAACAACTGATTATGTAATAAAAAATGTTTCGAACGCCATAAAAATTTTATTCGTCTTTTTTCTTCTCTTTTTAACAGCGGAAATATTGGTAATTATTGTTCCCAAGAAAGAACACCCCTTTATTACCACAAATGGTGTGGTCCGCTGGGGGAAAGCATGCTGCATATCGCTGCTGCACTGTAACCAGTATCACGTACGGCTGGTGGCAAGTGTCGAAGACAGCTTTCATCACCGTACTTTTTACCGCTCGGTACCTTTACGTGAGACGTGGTTTCGGTTTGTTAATGACTTTCTTAAGTTATAATTCATTTCAGCAACACATCTCTTCTTGTACCAGTATATTAAATACACATGTGAATCTTTTTTTTATTCTTCAAGGCTCGGCGTATAAGCCGCCCTGTGTATAAGCCGCAGTAAACATTTTCATGGGCAAATTCAACGTATAAGCCGCGGCTTATATTCCGAAAATTATGGTACACGTATTAACCGTTGACATTGTAGCTCAGTAGATACAATACATTTTGAGAAAACAGAGAAAACGTCAGCACTTTTTTTTTATCTCAGAACTGGATTCCATTGCAACCTGTAACTGTATATTAAAAAGTGTGCCAATAGGCACCACCTTCAATGTTGGTTTTCTTCAAAACGATACCATTTCAAGCGGCGTATTTTCACAGGGTATTTGCCACAAGTTCTGTCTTCACTTTGAGCAAGGTTACTGTATTTAAATTGGTAGCCATTTCTCCAGGTTATTGCAAATGATCCTACGTGGCTTTAACCCTAACCCACCTCACTCCTCCAAAATCCTCCTGGCGGTTTTGGAGGATTCTAGAGGATTGAGGATGAATGGTGATTGAATCAAATGAGGATTCTGGAGGATTGAGGATGAATGGTGATTGAAGCACATGAGGATTTTGGAGGATTGAGGATGAATGGTGATTGAAGCACAAGAGGATTTTGGAGGATTGAGGATGAATGCATTTTGAGGCAGGACTGTCTGATGATTTTGAAGGATTTGGCGTTGGTTATCCTTCATTTAAATACGAGTGCAAAATTTTGGGACGAGGAGGATTTTGGAGGATTGAGGATGAATGCATTTTGAGGCAGGACTGTCTGACAATTTTGAAAAATTTAGGCGGAGTTGCAAAATTTTGGAGGATTTTGGAGGATTGAGGATGGTTGTAAGCAACAAGGGCCTAGGGGGTTAGGGTTAACCAGTTTGGTCGGAGGACACGATAACACTCACTGGCTGTTTTTATACATAGGCCCGGCATTAAGACGTCAAGATTGCCTGGACTCGCCTCCGGGTGATGTCTAACCACGCTAAATCCCTCATGCCTTTTGTACACACACACAAAGTTCGTGAAGTCTGTGGAGGCAGACCGTGTGTTGATCTTGAATTGGCCATTGTGCAAGGCCTATTGTACAATTTACGCTCCAGTGCACACCCCAGAGTATTGAAACATATGAGGTTTCGGCAAGAAATATCATACAAATACTGTTGAAATGACTCTTGCGAATCAGTATTTGTGGTGTTTGGCTGTATATCTGAAGTTGGCTGGAAAGTTTTGCCTTTTGCGAAAATCTGAATTTTTGGCAAAAACAATCCCGGATTGAAGTGGTTAACTGGCCTACCTTTTCCATGATCATCATGTTGATTCCAAAATGAGCCAAGTGCTGGGCTAGCTTGGGATCCTCCACCATGTCATCCTCATCGTAGGAAAACACATCTACATAGGCAATCCAGGGTCAACATCAATAAGTTGTGTGGAAATAAATGCAGGAATCATAATAAAAACATTTAGAAATTTATTAAACTTGTTGCTTTTTCAAAACCGTTTTAAACATGGGTATTTTTCAAACTCCGAATACTGAATTTTCATCTGCCCAACTAAACTTGTGCATCTTGTCAATTTGACCACGCCAAACCAAACGTTACAGATATAAACCGAATCCGAACCAAAGCCGATGTGAAGCCCAAACCCAATCTGGCCAAAACAAATTAGGCAAAAACTGACCCGAAACTGAACCAAAAACTCCAACATCTGGCTCGGGCAACTGTGTACACATTTTGTGCCTGAACTTGAAAATCGTTGTCCGTCAGTATTGGAATCATACTGTACGGTACGGTGAAGGCTCATAACTTTACCTACTGGTGGGCCTACACCTTATAGACTGTGCGTGATAGACCACAAACCACATGCACCTTCATGCTGTGGGTTGACGTTGGTCGTAACAGGTACAGAACTCGGCAATAATATTGTACCGCGTGAATTTCCAAACTGTTTCTTCTTTTTTTTCCAGTTTGCAAAGTCGGTTTCAGGTTGGGTCTGTTTCATTTTCAGGTCGATTTGCACAACATTATCCGAGACACAATTTCCATCATATGAACAGTTTGGTAGTGGTACTCACTGCTGTAACAGATTCGAACCAGCCAGACGACCCTAGCAAGCTCGGTGGTTGAGTGGTAAGACGTCTGCACAGGTAAGCTGGAGGTCATGGGTTCGAGTCCCAATCAAGTAAGCTTGTGATTTTTTTTTTTTGCAAGCCCTTGAACAACACTGAGTATACAGTGTTTATGAAAGTACACTGGTGATGGGGAAGCAAACTAATACTGAACATTTACATGATTTATTGTGCCAGCTTTATTACCTGCACCGTTTGCAGTGATGGTACCCAACTTGACCGCCAGTGGATACTTCAATTCTCCAAAATGCTCCAAGGCATGGTTATTGCCCCCCGATCCATCAAAGTAGCGCCGTCCACACAGGATAGCCCCGTCCGTCAGGTTCATCCAGAGATTGTCAGTCAAGTCACACCGGCTACACTTCCAGCCTCTAGGGGGCACCTTGACCCCATTGTCCAACTGCAGTAGGTTTTCTGCATGTCTTAAGATTGCAAAAATAAAACAAAGCTAATAAAAGAGCAAAGCTAATAACAGAAAATACAGTTTTGCCTTTGATAAAGATCCTGTCACTGTCAAATCGTTAAGCCCTCTTACTTTTTTGGTTTGTATATATTTCAACTCAATCTACTAAGTAAGCAGTTTGCAGCAGTCTTATTAGGGCATTAATGTGTGCATGGCCAGTTTTAAACACTATGCTTAACCAGTTTGCGTTGGAGGACGCGATAACACGCACTGGCTGTTTTTATACACAGCCACGGCTGATGGGTTAAGACGTCAAAATTGCCTCAATTCCCCTCCGGGTGACGTCTGAACATGCTAATCCCTCTTGTCCTTTGAACACACACACAAAGTCTGTGAAGTCTGTGGAGGCCGTTGTGCACGGCCTATTGTTGTACAATTTACGCTCCAGTGCACATCCTGGAGTATTGAAACATATGAGGTTTTGGCAAGAAATATCATACAAATACTGCTGAAATGACTCTTGCAAATCGGTATTTGTGGCCTTTGGCTGTATATCAGAACATTTTGCCTTTTGCAAAAATCTAAATTTTCAGCAAAAAAATCCTGGCGCGAAGTGGTCAAGACCGGTTGGAGTCTGGATGCTGATAAGTGCCTGATACTAAGGCAAGGGTAATTATCAGTATCCACTCATTCTTCAACATAGTGTTTAATACCGGCAAAGTACATATTTATTCCTTTTCATGAATACCTTTTCAGTCAAAAAATCTCAACTTTCGGTCCAAAAGTCAAAACAAGTGAAAAATTATAAATTTCCAACAATTTTCTTTTTTTGAAACACCCCTCTAGCTATATCACGGTATGGCCCTCTCGCAAAAAAAACCTCCAACAACTTGACTTCCCATATTATGGAGATTGGTGCGCGCGTTGCACGTACTGCGTGATGTGGCGCAGAACGCAGCTGTGCCGGTGTAGTGTTAATTTAGGAATATGAAGTACTGACTCACTGGTAGTATTGCGCATGCTTATGTGAGGATTGTGAATGTTCAACAAATAAAACGGTACTGGAACCACATTTCATAGGAGTCACAGAAATTTCATGTGACACTGGAGAAGTGTTTAAGACCAGCTAACCATGTCTTTATCAACTGTTTAAAACAGGCCACGTCACCGGCTCTGGACCAATAGGAATGGGTAGACTGTCGTAGGCATTTATATACATGTATCATATTTCATGTCAACAATTTTTGGTTATAGATATAGTTTTGGAATGTAGTAGAGTTGAGACAAGTCGGGCAAGTCAACCTACAGGTTCATTTAATTTAGCCCTAACCCTGCTGAATCCAACAGGATCTAACTATATCATAATCCTGTTGGAACCTGATGGATTGAGCAGTAAACCCCTGGTACAAATGTACATATTCAGAGACGGATTCTGTTGGGTACTGATAAATAACGCCAAGTTGGACTCTGTTTGATCCAGCAGACAACTAACAATTTGGCACAGTTGGATTCTGTTGGATTGAGCAGGAAGTAACCGTTGGACTGTTGGACTAGTAGGGTAGACCCAAGCCTTAGGGGGTTAGGGTCAAATTTTGCAATAAAAAAAAATCCATTAAAAAAAATCAGAACAAAATAAAACAATGTCTTTTTTTCAACTTACTTTGAGACCTTACGTGCCTCTCCATCCCAAGCAGCAACTTGCTCCTGCCTAGAAGCCGACTCAGCGGCAAGGATCCCAGTCACGGCCTGCTGCACCTGAACAAAACAAACCAAATCCTTTGTGAATTGTCAGTATGGCTGTGAATCTTAGGATAATGGGGAATAGTCAATGGATGAGCCATTGGAAGAGGCACCGAGCACAACAAGATACCGCTGAGCTGAGGGCACTGATGCTGGACCGGGATGCATGGAATGCGACCGTCAGAGTCTCCTGAGAAGGCGTCGTTTGAAGACAACCTCTCGCATGATGATGATGATGGTTGCTAAACATCTGATACTAGAATGTGAAGTTGAACTGCTTCAGAAATGTCCATAAGTTTTTCGTAATTTCATGTGAGATCGCCAAATAGCGCCGTTCAACGAGGTAATAAAGCCCGAAGGTTCACCCCTGGTGGAGCACTTCCAGGACTCTTAAATAGGAAAATTAACATGTAAACATTCAAGAATTGCAATTATTTTTGGTTCACTGGTTTCTTAAGAAAATCATACCCGAAAAAGGCCTTTGTAAAATTGTAACTGGCATGTCCATATATGGCAACTGATAAACTGCCTGACTTGAGGAGAAATATCGTGCTAGAAATTGGCATCTCACTTCCAAAAATCTAAATTAGGTGCGGGTTAGTGCCACTTACGGATGCGCGCCCCTAAAATGTATTCCATTTGTGATGATCATTCATACGTTGAAAATTGAAGTAAAAAAGAAGACCAAGATGTCGTATTTTCAAGCTGTGGGAATAAACTTAAAGGACTTATTATTGCATGTATTTAAGACCCCAAAAAATAAAAGTTGACCACAGGCTTGCAGCCATGATCTGCTCAAGCCAACCCCTCTCAATTTAGAACCCATCGCCTGAAGGTACAAATGTAGGTATGAAATTCCCTGGATTGTATCATGTGTATACCTTGAGAGGAATGTCTTGGTCAGGCAGTGGAACCACCAAGTAGTCTGGCAAGATGACCACCGAGTTGTGCTCTTCATATTCATACTGGTTCTGATCCTCCACATCAAAGCCACCCTCCACACCTGACATCAAGACAACGATAGACAACAAACTAAGTAGTAGTGGTAGGATTTGGGAGGGGGGTTGGTAATATACAGCAAATATTGTTACACTGACTTTTTTTGATGTTTTGGGTTCGTAGATGCTATAAAAACCAAGAAAAACAATCATTTTCCTGTAGTCTGGTTTTTTTACTCCATTTAAGATGAAACGGAGCAATTTATAGACATTGGGGAATTGTTAGGTCAGGGAACCAGTCTAGCTGGCTTGTACCCATTCATAGGTGTGTAATCGATTGCAAACAAATGCAGACTAACTAAATATGGTCAATTGGGGCCAGTATTTGAAAAAAAGCCAGTTTTTTACAACACTGGTCGACCGACCAGCATTGGAAATTGATACAAAAATACCACTTTTCTTGAAAATGACAGCACACCAGGTGCCATGATTTTACAGGATGCTTTACACTGTCATTCACAAACAGTCCAGCAAGGTATTTCAAAATATTTTGGTATTATATTTTGATGTTTGCAAATGTTGCATTTTCCCTTTAATATCTGGATTGTTAAAAATTAGGTTTGAATTCCGCTATTCGGCTTGGATATTGGAAACTGTACATTCAAAACCAACTGTAAAAAGTAAGCATTCCATTTTTTGTGACACAGGCTAAAGAAAACAACTGGAACATCCCGCAATTTGCTCATTGGTCTGTGATTGTGAATTTGTGACCATATTCAGTCGCTACTGGTCTTCTTGTTTCATGAATAGCCTGCCCAGTTGACTGATCAGAGTTCCCACCCATTTTTCTTTCACTATTACATCTCTGGAGGGCATTCAATGCAGATCTCACTCGCGCTTGTTACTTTTTGTTGGCTTGACTCTGAGCTGAACGGGAGCTTCTCGCCATTATTCGGTTTGAAAAAACAAAACAGGATAACTGGATTTTGAAATTTCCAATTTTTCCCACTAAGTACTGTAGTAGTATACAAATACAGCATGGTTTGAGGGACAGTAGTGGGAATTACTGGTCCCTCGGTGTAGGTCAGCTTGACTACCTCCCAACGCGAAGTGGAGGGAGGTAGTCAAGCTGACCTACACCGAGGGACCAGTAATTCCAACTATTTCCCAGAAATGCTTTTTATTTGTTGTACTACACCTCATAAATATTTAGTAGCCTCACTGTCTTTTTAGTAGCCTCACTGCCTTGTCGATAACGGCCTTCGTAGAGTTTGCATCTTTATTCAGCACAAGATATTCAAGTTCTTCGACAGTCGATGAAATAGTCTGGTGACAACTCTTTAATATGCCTTGTAGTTACAAGGACTACAGTATAACAATAGACTGGTTCCATAAAGATTACATGCCACAGACTACATGCCTACAGGACAGACAGACCGACCAACCGACCCACCAACCACCAAGAGACATGTAGAAGCTCCTGCAAGAGCTTAAAAACAAACAAACACAAAAGAGTTTTATTCTTACCTATTGCTAATCTAGTAGGTTTGGGCTTTTCTTCCTCCTCCTGTGTCTTGGGCTTCTGCAGACAAAAGGTATTTCTTCAAATGTTCAGTCTCACTTGATATTTCTTGACATTTACCAAGATTTCTTATATTTTCCAAGATTAATCTTAGGCCCGTTCTACATGTAGATGCCGTGCTACTGCAGGGCCAGACTTAATTGAAATGAGTGCAGCAATAGCTTGTCTACAGCACGGTACATGTAGTTGCTCTAAACACCAAACTTAATGTTGAACCTTAATGCATCCGGAGTAACGGGCCAGGTTAAAGCAGTTTACCTTCTTTTTGACTGTCTTGAGATGGAGGTAGACTTTGTTTCCTGTGTGGTGGAAGTGCCTCAGAACGTGCTCCTTGCCAAAGCCGAGAAATGTCTTCATGCAGACATAGAGACCTGTGTCACTCTCCTATAAAAAAAAAATCAAATGTGCCTAAAATCACTACTCTTGTTGACAAAAGTATTTGGCAATTGTGATGTGAAGGGCCCCTTGAAACACCAATGCAGTGTTCTCAAACTTGAAAAATTAAAGGTTGGTGCGCCGTCAAAAAGCAGAAGGGGGCCCGCTATAACTATATTAGGAGCGCTATTTGCAGTCATACATTTCTTTATGCTAGGGGCACTATTTGCAGATGAACATGTAATTTATGTGCGGATAACAGCTTTTAGGCCATTTCTAACACAGTAACACTAACAATTAAGTACATTACTGGCTCAGCATCATCTTTTTTTAACACATCAGTGACCAGGGACTCTGAGGCAGTTTGACATTGAGACTTTTGACCTGATTGATTGCTACAATGGGCAGGCTTGTCCTTTTGACAAGTGTTGCATGTTACAATGTACTGCTTTTGACAGAGTTTCTGGCCAAAATATACCCTGGAGGCTAATGGTAGTGGCACTAGTTTGTCTTTTTATTATTTTTTCCTTTTTTTAAGCATGGTGGGTAACTTTTTAAGCTTGGCGGTAGCTTTTGAAGCTTGGCGGGTGCCTCAGAAAGCTTGGGGGGGGGACCAGGAGAACACTGCAATGTACCCATAAGTACATGTACATGTAGCATTAATACACATGTATTTTAGCTTTTCGGATCAGGAACCAGTGTGGACATAAAACTAACTCCCGCCTACCGACCCACACGAACATTCTGAATGCATCAAATGATAGCTGAATGCATCAAAGTGCACCAGACTTCTCCACCTCATGCACTGTGTTGCGTTCATCTGGCAGGGTTGGGATTATGATACATGTACGTATACTCACTGTGAAAGCTATTACATGTACTTCCTATTTTTCATCTGTTGAATATGAATCATTGATTGTTTCTCAAATATAATCATACTAGCATTTTACGATGGAGTGAGCATGTCATTAACAAACAGGAATGCAATCAGTACATGTACTTGCACTAACCTTAACATCGTTGTTAATCTGTGGATAAATAATTTAAAAAAATTCCCCCCTCATAAAAACTAAATTAAAAAGTTTAAATACACAAATTTAACGAATACAAAAATAAAAACGAAACAGCACAATTCTGTCTCCAAAACTATTTAAAAAAGAAAAAGAAAAAAAGCAACAAACCAACTTCAGCAAAACCATTAAAAAAAACAATCCCCCACCACAATTGTCTATCAATTTACACAGAGGGTGGGCTGGGGAAGAGTTCCGTATACAGACGCCACTTATCTGCCGCCAAACACATAATTTCACCTCACCTTGTGATTTCATTGAAGACAAATCCAGGAGGCTCCACAAAACTGAAAACAACTCAGGAAACAGGTGCTTTTACTTAAAAGTTCAATTTGGGTGAACATTTATTGAAAAAAGTGGCGTCCCTATACGGAAATCTTTCCACGGGCTGAAACATAACCCTGTATTCTTTACTTTAGCCCCATAAATGTGGCCTATTTACTGGACTGCCTCCGTAAACATAGGCCACACATCCACATGTACAAAAATCGTGTCGACTTTGCCAAATTTTGATTTTCACATTTAGGCTTAGTTTGTAGGGTTTTTTTGCTTTAGAAGCATACTCACCCTCTTTTATAGGCTAATCAGAAAGTGCTGCCTTTTTCAGATGTGTATTTTTTGTGAAATTTCCAGATTCATTTTTACACGTTTGCGTATCAAAATTTCAACATGAAATTTCACAAAAATTAGACATCTGAAAAAGGCAGCACTTTCTGACTAGCCTATAAAGAGGGTGAGTATGCTTCTAAAGCAAAAAAATCCAACAAACTAAGCCTAAATGTGAAAATCAAAATTTGGCAAAATCGACACGATTTTTGTACATGTGCCATGTGGATGTGTGGCCTATGTTTACGGAGGCAGTCATGGCAGTCCAGTAAATAGGCCACATTTATGGGGCTATCTTTACTTCAGCTCAAAACCAAAGTTCCCCTGTAAGACTGTAGCACCACCACGTCATTCATATCATTACGTTTCCATCCAATATCCCCCAATACAAATGATTGTACCACCTGGCCTCACTTTGACATTAAAAAATTCACATCATCATGGTGTGGTAACACCGTCGATAACGGAACTTTAAATTCCAATTTTCGATGACCTGGTGACCGAATTTCTAAATCCGGTGGATAACATAACATTAACAAGTTTCGTTACAACCATTACAACATTCTTTGTCATGTTTGTAATTGTATGTATGGCCATGTTTACTACGGATCTATCAAAGTATCATCAGACATGGTGTCCGAATATTGGGCATGTTTGGCAGTCATGGCAGTTGTCATGGTTGTGGCAGTGCCAGTGGAATAATTCGGCCAAAAAATTCAATAATTGGTAACAGAAGCTTGTTGATGGGAAGTTTTTCTTAAAATATGTACATAAACTCACGGGGTTGTCAAAGGAAAAGGCACATTCATCTTTAAAGATTTTGTCTCCACCAAGCGGAACTCGAACTTCGTTGATGAAATCGTGCAACATGAGCGCAGCCATCTTGCTTTAACTCACGCGAAATCCCGCGTGAAAATGAGTCTGTCGAGCGCAATTTGAGTCCCCCAGGCAAGTTTAAACTTGCGCGAGCAAGTTTAAACCTGCGCGTACGTAAGTTTAAACTTGCGCGTGCATTAATTTCCTTGCTACAAATTGCGCACGCAAGTTTAAACTTGCGCATTACATAGATTTTCCCCATGCATGTGAAGCTAATTTTTCTTTCCGGGTGAACTCATGCAGATATGTAAAATTATTTTTAAGCCAGATTTTTCTCCGATTAATAGCACCACTCTGCTAGTGAGACAATGCCTAAATGCCTTTTTTTTTTTACATTTTATTAACAACTTATTTATTTCCATTTCTCCCTGTGGTAAGTTTCCACAGGGAGAAATGGCTTTAAGGGAAATAAATATGTTATCAGGAGAATCCCTGTACAAGGTCAAGAACATCATAAAGTGTATCGAAATTTTATTAACAGTATTATGCTAGCACCACTCTGCTAGTGAGACAATGACTAAATGCCTTTTTTTTTTACATTTTATTAACAACTTATTTATTTCCCTTAAAGCCATTTCTCCCTGTGGTAAGTTTCCACAGGGAGAAATGGCTTTAAGGGAAATAAATATGTTATCAGGAGAATCCCTATACAAGGTCAAGAACATCATAAAGTGTATCGAAATTTTATTAACAGTATTATGCTAATGAGGTTGACTGTGTAGAGGTTCAGAGACAATGCACTTTGCATCATGAATGATGTTTATTATGGTTTATGGCTCATTAAGATATTGTGTTTAGTAAACAACATATTTATTCATTAAGTCGAATAAATTAATTAAATTAATAAATCAAAATAATTAATTAACACATTAAAACATTTATTTACGATTTTAACTAATTACCTTTTTATATGCATAGCGTTTTTAAGTTAAAGCATGTAAACATTAATATGAATTATTGAGCCTGCAAATAAAACAATTGTTAAAAGTAATAGATTTAATTAATTATTCATAAATACCTCAGACAGTTTAGCCATTCCTATTGGTCGAGAGCCCGTCACGTGGCCGGTATTAAACGGATGATAAAGACATGGCTAGCTGGTCTTAAACACTTTTCCAGTGTCACAATAAAATGTGGACTCCTAAAAATCCAGTGCCTCTTATCGTTTCATTGGTTGAACGTTCACAATCCTCACGTAGGCATGCGCAACACTACCAGGGAGTTAGAATTTTATAGTTCTAAATTCAAAATGCAACGCGCCAGGTGCGTTCTGCGCGACATCGCATAGAACACGATACGCGCGCGTCAATCTCCATAAAAGGGTTGTTTTCATCTTACTCGCCAGCTGAACCCTCCATTATTTTGCAGGAGGGATGATTCAAAAAGCATAAAGTGAATTTGTTGAACAAAATCGGGATGTTTTGAACGAATTGTATGATTTTTTTTTACCGAAAAGGTATTTATGAATGGGAATAAATATGTACTCCGTCGGTATTTATCACTCTGTTTAATACCACTTAGAGTCTGGGTGCTGATAATTACCCTCGCCTCCGGCTCGGGTAATTATCAGCACCCAGACTCCAAGTGGTATTAAACAGAGTGATAAAAACCTCCGGAGCACACATTTATTCCCTTAATTAAATTAGTGATGCATTCATTATTTTTGTTCAAATTATGCAGTTTTGAAGCGTACACACTGAGTGCTCGAAATGTTATGCAAAGACAGTGAGCAAAGTATTTTTTTTAAAACAATGTGAATTATTGTTCATTCGAATTAATTAATTGCTAAATTTATTCATTCAGTATTTTTTTTAGAATAAGGACGTTTTTCATTGTACATTACATGTAATGTAATTTAAAGCATTAAACAATTGAAGGGATAATAATCATTCTTTTACGTTAACAAAAGGTTACACATAGGACATTATGATTAATTTACATTTAAGAATATAAATAAAATGCTAATTTGTTTTACAAGGCAAAAAACTTGAAGCTGGTCTCCGTTATTGAACAACTTCAGGAACTTTGTACACTTTTCAAGCAATTGCCGCTGGTGTGCTTATTGATTGCTTGCCAGGTCCCCTCCCCGCCCCCGCCCCTAAAAAAACTTCTCTGATAAGCACTGCTAAATCTCAATGTTTCTTTTCATTGACGCTAATTGAATTCCCCTTTTTATTTATTTTTTTGTTCATTAATTTATTCCATTAATTTATTCCATAAAATCCCGCCCGCAATTAGGTTCTCAAATTGCGATCGCTTTTGCGCAAGTTATAACTTGCGCACGCAAATGAGAATGGCGCAGTGTAATTTGCGTGCTTCGGGAGTCCCTCGCGCAAGTTGAAATTTGTGCGCACAAGTTTAAACTTGCGCGGGGGACTCAAATTGCGCTCGACAAACACTTGTTCCGACTTACTTCAAGTGACCAATCACGAACAACTTCAGTTCTGAAGTTTGGAAAGGGGGTGTGAAACAAGACTCATGAATGGCTAAATTTTGTTTAAAAACACATCGCTCCAGCTAGCGTCAAGTTGCAGTTGCACATAGTTCATGTAGTTCATTGTAGTTAAGGCAAGGTACGGTGCAGGCATCGCAGGCACAGTTCGCACTCACTCACTGAATTGTTGTGTGGTAAGTACTAGTCTGTACGAAATGATTACACAAATTATCTGGTTATTTACGCGAAGTAATCCTCATTTATCATTCATTAAGTGCAAGGAATAGGTAGGGTTATACTGATAGTTTTATACAGCAAGGTCAAACACTCAGATGAGTGATTAGATTTTTGAATCTTGTTTTGGAAATTTTAATAGGTGCACCTAGCCCCATAAATGTGGCCTATTTACTGGACTGCCTCCGTAAACATAGGCCACACATCCACATGTACAAAAACGTGTCGCACTTTGCCAAATTTTGATTTTCACATTTAGGCTTACTTTGTAGGTTTTTTTTTTTTGCTTTAGAACTACATGTAGAAGCATTCTCACCCTCTTTATAGGCTAATCAGAAAGTGCTGCCTTTTTCAGATGTCTAAATTTTGTGAAATTTCATGTTGAAATTTTGATACGCCATGTACGCAAACGTGTGCAAATGTATCTGGAAATTTCACGAAAAATGGACATCTGAAAAAGGCAGCACTTTCTGATTAGCCTATAAAGAGGGTGAGAATGCTTCTAAAGCTAAAGCAAAAAAAACCCTACAAACTAAGCCATGTAAGCCTAAATGTGAAAATCAAAATTTGGCAAAGTGCGACACGTTTTTGTACATGTGGATGTGTGGCCTATGTTTACGGAGGCAGTCCAGTAAATAGGCCACATTTATGGGGCTAAGGTGCACCTTGACTAGTCCGAGGACCCAACTTATCGCCTTTTTTCTATCGCCAGACCATGTCCAAATGTTAAAAAAGGCGATAAGTTGGGTCAAAGTTACTCAGACTACACCTTGACTAGCTTGAGTAACTCCAGCTGACTTGCTCATATGCTACATGTGAATGAATATGAGCATGTCATTGTCAGCTGGAGTTACTCAAGCTACACCTGCACCTCGACAGAATACGCCTACACTGTACACAATGTAGTCCCCTGGCCTATCATGGGTCTTAATCTTATTAATTTCCCCATTGCTATTGGTTGATGAATACATGCTGGTACTTGATGCCGGTGGTGCAGTTTGTTAGTTCGTGGACCATTTTGTTTGTGTCGAGCGCAACTTGCGCGTGCATTAATTTCCTTGCTACAAATTGTGCTCGCAAGTTTAAACTTGCGCGCTACATAGATTTTTCCCATGCATGCAAAGCCGCCCAACTAATTTTTTTTCCTAGTAAAGTCATGCAGATATGTAACGTTATTTTGAAAAGCAGATTTTTCTCCAATTAATAGCACCACTGTGCTTCGTGAGACAATGCCTTAATGCCTTTTTAGAAACATTTTATTTACAGTATTATGCTAATGAGGTTGACTGTGTGGGTTCAGAGATATAAAAATGCGAACAACTTGCACTTTCATGATGTGTATTATTGTTTATGGCTCATTAGGAGTTTTGTTAAATAAACAACATAGGCCTATTTATTCATCAATGCGAATTAATTAATTAAATTAATCAATTAAATTAATTAATTAAATCTTTAATAAATTTATTTACTTTTTAAAATAATTACCATTTTATATGCATAGGGTTTTTAAGTTAAAGCATGTAAACATTAATATGAATTATTGAGCCTGCAAGTAAAATAATTGTTTAAAGTAATAAATTAAATTAATTAATTACATTAGTTATGAGTTCATTAAAAAAAATTAAAGTAGGGTCCAAGCTAATCATTATATGCCGAGCAACACAATTCTGTCATTGACTCAAAAACCCAACATTGCCCAACAAACACATCAGATTTCACCCTCAAAACGGCCTCCAAATTACTAGATACGCCACCTGAAGTACAAGTAGACATCGATAATTAAGATGGTTGTACTGATGTTTACTTACATGTACGATCCGGATGAAAAGTGAAATTTCCCGTTCAATTCCGAGAGCTGCCCTCGCTATCGTGAACACGATAAATTTCCAACTTGTGTTTGAATTGCGATGTGGTCTTCATGCCCAGTGTTCATTCAATGGTCCCCGTATCCCGAGTGCGATTCCATTACCGAGCGCGCGCGATGCATCGATTATGATAATGAGTAGACTGGATCACGTTTGAAAACACAAATGCATTTCGAACGATAATATTAATAGGGAGTCGGGAACTAGCTTGAACTGGTTTCTGTCCATAAAACCTGCCCTAGTTCCCGACTCCCTATTATCGTTCGAAATGTATTTGTGTTTACAAACATGATCCAGTCTACTCATTATCATAATCGATGCATCGCGCGCGCTCGGTTGCATCGTGCGCGATCGCACTCGGGATACGGGGACCATCGAATGAACGCTGGGCATGAAGACCACATCGCAATTCAAACATGAGTTGGATGAACGTGTTCATGATAGCGAGGGGAGCTCTCGGAATTGAACGGGAAATTTCACCTTTCATCCGGATCGTAAGTAAACTTCAGTACAACTATCTTAATTATCGATGTCTACTTGTACCTCAGGTGGCATATCTAGTAATTTGGAGGCCGTTTTGAGGGTGAAATCTGTGTAACACGCTAATCCCTCATTATTTTCTTTTAAGTCCAAGAAGTCTGTGGAGGCAGACCATGTGTTGACCTTGAACTGGGCCACTGTGCACGGCCTATTCTACAATTTATGCTCCGTAGGCACATGAGTTTTTGGCAAGAAATGTGGTACTGTTGAAATGACTCTTGCGAATCAGTATTTGTGGCGTCTGGCTGTATATCACTGATCTCTATATAAAGACTGGATAGCGGATATGCATACAACATTCACACAGTAGACTTCGCATATTGACCAATTCGCCCCCGGTCTCACGAAGATGGCCGCGTATAATACGAACGTTCTACGCGTAAATACGCGCGCGTTGTATCAACAGTTGACGCGCATTTTGGTCACGTACACATATTATGATGTTCTAAAAGGGACACATTTCCGTAGTGATTATTATTTCAAAACGCCGAAAAAGTTATATTTGCGGCATTTTAGTAACCACGACGTTAGAAAAATTGTAGTTAACCTTGGTCAGTGATGGTGGTCAAAATATAACTCAAGTGAACCGCGACGTTACAAAAGAAATCATGCTGTCTATAAAAACGGCAACTTGTCCTTTGTAGATCACCAGCCGGTCTCACCAATATGGCGTCAAATTCGTACATTGTGCGGCTCTGTATTAGCTATCCAGTCTTTATATAGAGATCAGTGCTGTATATCAGAAGTTAGCTGCTATATTTTACATTTTTCGAAAGTGTTAATTTCGGCAAAAATAATCCCGTCCCAGTCATGCCAGTGGTTAAACCAAATACTGCATTTTGATCAATCGAGGTGGCCTAGATTTAATTTCTGTCTGATTCATGACTCTATCATTGAATAAAGTCTGAGAACCATTTCATTTATGTCTAATGCATGTGAGCAACAATCGACTTGTTTAAAAATAGCAACAGCATTTTATTTTATTTTATTTTTTTTCAGTGTTATCAGTTTTTAATATCAAGCAGCCGTTTACATGTACGAACATCCTGGACATAAAATCATACATGTAGTACAATGTGGATGGGTTAAAAGTCATTGAATAAACAAGCTTGACCATGCGTCATTAGTACCCCCCCCCCCCCAAAAAAACTAAGTTAACTTGCTTAGTTCAAACACATTGTACATTAATGGTACAATGTATATATGTACAGGTACCAAATTTGTAGTCCACTTCTGGCCACATACATGTATACATAAATTTACAAAATGTACATACGTACAAACTGCACATACATTTGTAAATTATGTACATTTTAACACACAGTCATGTATCAACCTCCCACTGTGGACGTCCTATTGTCCTTCTTTTGTTTGTACAATGTACTTTAACTTTTTAGGAAGACTCCCATATATTGTATGTTTTGTACACAAAACGTCCATGTACAATGTACATGTATGCTACTGCTAGGAATTGCGGACGATATTGTTCTCTTTTCTTCTTAGTCATTTTTCGTCCACTTCGTCCACATGCCCATGTACGCATTTCCAACATTTGTGAAACACATGTGAACCTTGGTATTTTGTCACAGTCTACATATTTATTTATAGTACTTTAGTAAGTCACATTAAGCAGTTTGCACATTGATTGAATCACTCTGGGGACTTAACCACACCGGGGATTAAAAGTCAACAAAACTGACAGGAAGTGGTTTCACTTTCCTGTTTCCGATTCTGGAAACTGCACAATAGCAGCATGGTACTGAAGCTCAACAGAAAAATAGCCATTTTCAAGAATAATACTTACATTGTAATTGTGATCATTCAGATTTCTTGATGTGGTCAAACATGTATGTAACATGTACTGTATGTATTGCTAGTGCATGTACATGTATGTACTTGTAGGAACCTTCCTGAAATTTCAAGGAGCGTGTACATTGTAAAATAACAGAAAGAACAAGGCAAGGCTCTACCTTTCTGAAACATACATTAATCAAACCTCTAAGTTGCATTTTGTCATGATTGTGGGACCTACATACATGTACATGTACACTATACGTGATCTGTTACACGGTATCCTGAGGAGACATGGGTATAATAGGGAACAGAAGATACTGAATACATGTACATTGTACACATGTATATACGTCTCCACAGAGCAATTTCTATACGTGAATATGTCTCCACAAGGTTATCATTAAATAGATAAATGGAGTTAAATCCTCAAAACTAGGAATTTCGAAGGTGTGTTGATCCGTCGCAAATTGAAGTACATGTATTTTATGCTATTAAGTCGGGATTTCAGCCCAGGAAATTAATTTTGGTTAAAATTGGAGCATTTTGTAACTATTACACTTTTGAAACATTTTGAAACTATAAAACTCAGGCCTTCATTTTTAGAAATTTGTGGAGCTCAGTTAATCGCTCTCCTGGGAAATCCGAGGAGCTCAATTTGAGCACCCAAAATTGCTCTCCTGGGAAGTCCGAGGAGCTCAATTTGCATGTTTTGTGCTCAAAGTAAAAAATGAATCCAAATCATTTCCTGAAGCCTTTCATATCATGCACACACACTTGCATCAGAACTGAGAAACAGATGCGACTGTTCACTACAAATTTAACTTGAAAACTTTAGTACATGTACACATGTACACGGGAACAAAGAAATGACTCCACAAGCAACAAGGATACAAATTCCAGTATGTGTGTACATGTACATGTACTTGTAGTGTACAGCTACAGGATTCTTGAACTGTTGAAGTGTGAACTTTCATTTGAAATGTATGCACTGACGGTAAATACTCTCATTCCTTCTTACTACATGTATCTAAAAGCCCTGCCAGATAAATGGTTTATATAATGGAGGTTTAACCATTGGTCATGTTGGTGGAATTCTAACTGTTTTTACAGTAACCATGTACATACGTGTACATGTACATGTACATCCATTAAATGGTTACTGTACCAACTTCTGTTGTCATGGTTGTGAGTGTTGTCTTGAATGTGTGGTAAAGTGGACATGTACATGTACACGTATGTACCTTGATGGGTTGGAATGCTCTCAGTCTCACTGTACATGCATGTGTACATTGTACATGTGTACAGTCCGGTAAAGAGCATTGAGCCAGAAAGGTTGAAAAGGAATGGTGGATTTGACTTATAAATACATAGTGTACAAAATGTACATTATATGCTCAAACTTTGGTTGCTTCTTTTGGTTGGTGGGTTGGTGTCTGATGTTCTGCATACATACAAAAATGTAGATGGGGTGTTGCAGTGGGGTGTTTGTTTGTTTGTTTGTTGCTTGTTTTTTGTTAATTTGTCCCATTTTCTTTTCTGTTTGCATCTGATGTACATGTATGTTAGTTATATTGTTTACTATGTCAGTGGTACTGTGTACTGAATTACCATGGCTGTGACCTGAAGGGTTTTGTAGTAGAATGAAAGGAGTGTAGTGGAATCACTGAATATTTGAACTACTTTCCAATTTTCAAATGTGAAGTGGTACTCAGAAAGGCTAATACAGTCCTTTATAATCCACATCTGTAGGTATTTCAGGACACAATGGGAACAACAGACAGCAAAGCTGACCATGACACCACCCACCTTCAAGGCACCCAAGACAAACCCACAGATGAAGCTGATGGCAACCACACCCCGCTCAGTAACCGGCGCCTCGTCAAACTCAGGGATCCCCGCTCACCCACCGATGAAGTCCAACGGACCCCCATCATTGTGCCCAAGCCGGGCGAGGTCGATGACAGCTTTGAGGACCCACGTTCACCGACGACAAAGATTGCCCGGACGCCGATACCTGAGACAGACCCGCGATCCCCCACGGAGGGTGTGTCCAGAACCCCCTGCCCCTTCACCTACCCAGACCCCAGGTCACCCACCGTTAATGTACCCCGGACTCCAATGGTCAAAGAATCTGAGCCAGGTACTGTACTATTGATGTGAGAATTGACACATTGAAAGACAACATGTACATACATGTATATGCAGGTTTCGACCTTAACTTGTTTTTCACTAGCCAGCCATACTGAAACAGACTCTTAACCAACCCGCAGGCATTTTCACTAGCCCGCAGGCATTTTCACTAGCCCACGTGTTTTTTTCATTTATGGAGTGTCCCATTAACAACAATGTGCATACATGTAAAATGTGTATCATGAGGCAATCTTGTCAGTATTTTTAGTAAACAGATCTGATAACTTAACCCTAAACAGTTTATAAAATTAGACACAAATTGATACAAGTTTGCTTTCTGAATTTAACTGTTTATTGCTTCCTGTCCTTTCCTCTTTGCCGAAGCCTAATAATTTGTTACTCGCCAGCCCGCCTACTTGACATGCTTACGGAGCAGTTTGACTAGCCCGCAGCTGTTTTGACTAGCATTTGGCTAGTGGGCTACTTCTAAAGTCGAACCCTGTGTATGTAGAACAGTACATACTATTTGCTTTCGTACAGCCAATTCCTTGGTAATGAAAGTGCACCCTCCAAAAAAACAAAACAATTACAAGAGACGTACCTGTACTTGCACTTCTGGTCAGTATTTCAAAGTTGGGCGTCAAAATTTGGTCTTTAAAAAAACGGAGCATTGTACTGTACATCATAGTGATGGATATACAGTGTATGTATCTCACTTATTTTATAATGGGTTTTTTTTTTTTTCAATTAAACATGTTTGACAATTTATATGAAATTGCTTCATTGATTTGTTTCCTAAAAATCATTTTACAGATAAATTTCAAATGCCTTCTGTTGGCAAACATGAAAGCATAGCCGAAGAGGGGGGAGATGATGACGTGCAAAATGTCTCCAACAACAACAGCAGCGATACAGCTCTGTTAATCCACCGATCTCACACAAGCGAAGAGCCTGAAGCCGCCAGCGTAGCATCAGGGACACACAAGCCGTCCAGGGAGAACATGCCAGACACTGGACACACTGATGAAGGTGACTGTCAGAAGGCCAGCCTAATTGCCTCTGAGAAAGGTAAAATATGCCTCAATTTACTTCTGTAAATTTCCCTTTGCGCTAATGTTTTAACTCTCACATATCGTCAATGACAGATGTTTACTGCTTTATTTGGAGTCCATTGGTAATTTGTGAATAACTACTTAAGTGTACTAACCTTATTGAACAATGTTGAAAAGGTTTGCATATTTAGTTTAAATTATATTCATTGTTATAAGGCCAACTAACGAAAAACATGTTAAGCGTCCCCGCCCGCTTCCTTTTTGGAGGCCGCCTCCTTTTTAAAAAAAAATTAATTGAAAAAAAAAACAAAAAAATGATCAATTTGAAACAATGCTATAATTTTGGCCTCTTTGTCTGTTGCATCTAGCCCATATAAAGCTGGTATATCAGTTCCATTTTTTAAGTACACGCATGGTTTGCACCAGACCGGTACCATATGTGACACGTGTATGTCTGCAATGGGGACCTCTCAACCAGATGTTTTTGACTGATAAGTTTAAGTGAAAACAATAGAACAACAGGTACATATATACATGTTACAAAATAACCTATTTACCAGCAAATCACATTGGATATGTTGGATAAAATTTCCATCACAATTTGAATATACGTCTGTGCATACATGTATGTACATATAAGCGCTGAATCACTATAAGGGCATCTTGAGGTGTGGCACCTTTGACATGTTTGACAGAGGTGAGCATATTTCACTTATGACTTGTTTTGGAGTTCTTGAATGTGTTACCAAGTTGGGACATGGATTACATGTATACTCCATTCCAACCTGGAGTTGGGTCCCCCCCCCCCCCCCCCCCCCCCCCCCCCTAAGCTGCTAAGGGGCTATCGGTGTAGGGTTGAAATAACATTCACTGCTCTTCATTTTATGTTACGCACACTGACTTCCATCTATACACATTAACCCTCAGCCACTCCAAATTCTATCACAGACTAAACGTCTTTTCCTTTCCCTTTTCGTAGCAATGTCAATGCATTATAAGGCGGCATCGGGACTCCAAGGTCATGACCTATTGTTTACTTTTCCTGAAGTAACCCCATCTTAACCTGAAGAAAATTCAAATTACACACAATGTAGGCCTAAGTGTCATATTTCATATTTCGGTGTTTCCCTTATGATAGAGGCACTTGTTGAGGTTTTATGAATGATTTGTCTATATTTGCACCTGTCGTACCAGTACATACATGTATGTGGTTCATACAGTGTAACAAAATACATGTACAATGTATGTCTCATTCTGTAAGTTACACTTGTATACTATGTAAGCAAATGGATTTCGTTGTATGACATACATGTACATGTTCAGGTATGTATACATGTTAATAAGGTACATGTACATCATTACAGGGTGCACACTAGCTTGAGTAACTCCAGCTCCAATGCTTATCATCATGATCACATTAGACATGTTAGAGCTGGAGGCACAACTACGTTACAAGAACTACATGTACAAAATGTAGATCGTAAGAGTCCCGACATCTCGGACCCTATATCCCCAGTGCATTACAAAAATGGTCCATTTTCCCTATGATTATCCCAAACCAGATTCCATAATCCGTACCTCATACGGTGCAGCAGACATCCATGAATCTAATAATCAACTTCAAACAGAACAACAAAGACCAAAATATGAAATTTTTCGATGATTTTGGTAGCAATTCTCCAGAAACCATGAGAAAACGCCGTGCGACACAATTCCGTTGTTGACCCAAAAACCCAACATTGCCCAACAACGACATAAGATTTACCTCAAAACGGCCTCCAAATTACTAGATACGCCACCTAAGGTACCAGTAGAGATGGACGGTCCGGGATGTTGGGACTCTTACATGTACGATCTACATTGTAGTTCTAACGTAGTTGTAGTTGTGCCGCCAGCTCTAATGAGATAAGCATTGGAGCTGGAGTTACTCAAGCTAGGTGCATATGTTTGTAGCATACAAATGCCCATGGGTTTCAGCACTCCTGCACATTTGATACCGTCTCTTGTGTTTGTGTCACTTTGTTCTAGGTCCCAGTGTTTTGGCTGAGGACCCAGCATGACTTGTATGCATCACGTGACCTGTCACAAGGTCTGTGTCTGTTTGTTTGTCTGTGTGTTGGGTTGGCCGGGATTGCACTGTCACCCGTTTGTGGACTGTTGATTTCCGAGTAAAACATGTTGCACTTTGCCAAGGCATGGCACGACATTGTGTTTTTTATACATGAGAAGCATTCAACATGCTGAGTATGAACAAGGGCTAATTGTACGGGGTATCAACTCACAGAAATATGCTGCGGAAAATATGTTAAATATAACCAGCCAAAATGGTGCAATTTGTGTTGCTTGTATCAGATATCTTGGCTGCTTAAAGGTACAGTCCATCATTTTGTAATTTGTGCATTTTGTTCGTTTGAAGCAACAAATATGCTCAAAATCTAATGAAGGGTGCTGAACAACTAACCTGATAAAGTTTCAGCTCAGCTTCAGCTGTATATTCCGAGAAAAACAGCATTCTAGGATCTCGATTTCAAATCAAACGTTGCTGAATCATGTTTTGAATTGGGCCTGAATTCAGCGTCCGAGACACGTTCTCACTGGGCCGATTCCAGCTATGTGATGTCGCGCACTGATCCGACGAATTATAGCAGCCGCCAACCCTTGCATGTGCTTTACCGAATAAAAAAAACGAACTACATGTACTAACAGAAATTAATGCTCCGTTGGAAAGGCCTTCTTTCGTTGATTTCTTCAAAATGACAGCTTGCCAAAAAGAATAATTTCACAGTCCGCTTACTATCTTTCAACCATGTATGTGTTTTTAACAATAATTACGTCAGTTACTTCTTGGATAGCTGCAAATGATGGACTGTATCTTTAAATAATCTTAGCACTGTAAATTACTGTAAGATAGTTCTGCCTGAGCTGCTCCATGACTCAATGCACCTTGAACTTCAGTAAACATGGTAAAGCACATAACACACAATGCTGATGACACAAATGAAATGGCACTCGTGTTGCAACAGTATATGTTTATGTACTTGAAGTTCTCATTTGCAGAGAGCACATTTGATGAGTAAGCTTAACACAAGGTATCCCCAGACTTTGAAAATTTCATAAGTGATTTAAAAAAAAATTGAATGATTGATTTTTTTTTTTTCCAGGACCATCCAAAAAAACAAGGAGACCCAGCTTGACAAAATCTATCAAGGCCAAGATTAATGGTACTCTGCCTGCACCGCCTCGCTCCCCACTATCTACCCGCAACCTAGACAAGGACGCCCCCACAGTCCAAGTACGAATGGGAGACAGCGCCATCACATACAACAAGATGGGATCGCGACGGAGACAGGCTAGCGGCACACCCACCCGACTTGTGGGCAAGTATGAGCCAATGATTGACAAGGAGAACTTCTAGCAAGCAGTGAGAAAATTCAATGTACATTCATGGATGGACCTGGTACATCTTTCCTGTGTCTCGCCGGCATAATTGTCTTACCTACTGAATAAATGAACAACTGAAGTGAATATTTGAAATGGTGTCTTGCATAACGGAAGGAAAATTACACTGCCAGAGAGACTTTTTTTTTTTTCAATTTTACTTTTGAAATAACAACATTTGTACATAGTATTCCTAACCAATTTAGTTAAAGTTTTTTTGTTTGCACACATGCAATGATGTATCCCCCCCCCCCTCTTTTTTTGACTAGATTGTTAGTTTTGATTTCAGAAGATTCATTTTTGAGTAGCCATTGTAAAAAGATTTAATATGTAGCATGTTTGCATCAGAACATCCCTTTTGCATTTGTTTTGTAAGGTGTTCATTTACTTAGACAACAATTTGAACTATCCACTGCATTTTACCCATTCAGTAGATTCATACAAGTTCATTTGCAGTGGGATTCTTTTCAGATGCGTGGTGGCAGCAAACACACTGGTCCTTTTCAATGTTTGCGTCACATTGAACGTAACGTGCGCATGCTCAAAATGACGTAGAAAAGGACATTGCGTTTGCTGCCACCACAGTCTCAAAAGTCTCCCATTCACTACAAACAATCCCACATAGCTACTGACAATAACTACATGGTGTACTTAGAGTGAATGTATTTCTAGTTCCAAACACCTTGTGAAATGATTCAATGATTCGTGTGCTACATTTGTACCTCATCTCACACCAAACTAATAGACAGAATTTTCATGAAATTTTTATGTTAACCTTTGAATGGCATTATTGCAATTGAGTGAACTAAAAGTGATACATGTATATATGCATATTAGGCCTAGATGCAGTTGTTCCATGGATGTGCTTAGAGGGAACTGCGTCCTGGAATGAGCCCAATTGGACTACAAAACCCGCTTTGAACAAAAAGCTGTTAATCAGAAATAACATTTAAAAGTACGATATAAATATCCACAATCCACACAACTACATAATGTAACTCCTTCTTCGGACGTGTGCTGTGTGTAATTTTATGTGACATACATGTACACAACGTGTATCGTACATTGAAAGGACAGGAAAAACTGTACGCGTACTCCATCATGCCCGATGTAAACAACCGGGTTTTTTTCCTCTTTTCTTGGGAACGGTAAGACATTAGGTTGGTTAACTTTCAACCAGATGTTTCAGATAGGATAAGTAAATAATCCAACACATAAAAATTTTGTAGATTTCAGGACGCAGTGCCCCTTTAATGTCACTGTACATGTAAATGTGACGTCACAAAGCTAGGTCTAGCCTGTCTATTGTTCAAAAGGCGGATGAAATCAATGCACATCATAAACAAACTTGATTTAACAAACTTGGCTTCTGAGTCTGATTAGCCCCCCTTGAACAAAGAGATTGACTAATTGGGGAACCGAGGGCGGGATAGCTCAGTTGGTAAGAGCACCGGAACGGCAATCCGGAGGTCGCAGGTTCAAGCCCCGCTCCAGGCATTTCTTTTAAGTTGATTAATACATGTACTTGATAGGTGTAACTTGTAACACTCGGCTCTCATGTAATATAGTGTAAATTTGTTATTCCCAGCACTGATATATGTACATATTTTCATATGAAACCTTGGCTAGCCTCACAAAGAGACTCTATGCACATAAGTGAATTGGAAAGTTCGATGTAACGAAGCAGTTTCAAAATCACGTTGATTTTCCACCGAGAATGTTGACTGCAGTGCCTTGCATAATCTTGTGTGTGTTTTGAAACAGTATGATTCAGTTATTATTGGAAAAGTAAAAATCAAGGAACACAAGTTGAGTTTTATAGTGCTTTTCTTCATTCAGAACGAAGGGCTGATACATGTATGTCAACATTTTGTAAATTTTCAAATCGTTATGATTATTATTTTTGCAATTTGTTACCGTAAAGAATATTTTACCATGTTTACAGGCTGTGCTTCCTGCCATGAAAAAGAAAATCAAGAATTTTAAAGTTACTTTTTTGTTTATTTAAAAACTAATACAATCAGGGAAATGTACACAGGGAAAAGTATGTTTTGTATTAAAGTTAAGTGGTGACTTTTGTGAGTGTGAATATAACATTCCTGCCCCTTGCACTTGGTGAAAGAATTGAAGAGTTTCCAAAACGTGATATATTCATGTAAAAAAGTGCAAAAGTTGCATAGTTGTGATTATATAAAACTTATAGAACACACGTTGCTTGTACAAAATATAGCTGCTTTTTCTCAAGTAGAGTTTTTGCAAGAGTGGACTCTTAAATTTTGTTAACTACATGTATATAGCGTTTCGGTTTGCGGTAACACCAGGTGGTAATAACTACTGATTAGAATGTATTTAGTTCTGAAAAGAACTTGTCCTGCTTGTTATCAACTTTCGCTAAGTAGTTTTTGTTCTGATAAAAACAGTCCCCTGACGATGACTAGAGCAGGCTAGTTGAAACGTTGAGACCAAAGACAAGTTCTCTTAGAATTTAAAGCAGGACTGCTCTTATCAGAACAAAAACTACTTATCGAAAGTTGATAATAAGCAGAACAAGTTCTTTTCAGAACTAAATATCTTCTAAGCAGTAGTTATTACCACATGGTGTTACAGCAAACCGAAACGATACCGATACTCCACCATGCAAAGCCTCAAATCTTATACATGTACATGTATATACATGTAACAAAGCAGTCGAACTGACTTTGTGCAACTACATGTACATGCGCATGTACCGGTGGGAGAGGGCGAGATTCTACATGTAGAAGGTACATGTACATTGTACATGTACCAAAATGGCATTTATCACATTTTGGACACAAACTCTTCAATTGCAGACAAAGTGAGGTTCCAGTTATTTTCAGGTACATGTAAATGTACATTGTAATCAAACAACACCTACATAACTATGCACTTCCACTTACAATGTAGTACTACATGTAACATCCTGTCAGACTATAGGTTTTCCCGGACAATTTTGGAAAATATGCATTTGAATTTGTAAAACATAAATTCAATTTGGCGCTGATTTTGAGAACAGCCTATATCCTGGTTTCATTTTCGCAATAACTAGCATTCGAATTCATTTTGCATCATGCAAATAAATGAATGTGCATAACGTTTCATTTAAAGGATTGCGAAAACGTGATTAGGCTTTCGGTTTGACGGATGTGTTGCGATTATAACGAATAAATTATTCGTGCAATCCAATTCGCAGAACATCAATGTTTTATTGTGACACAGGCTGAATTGAACATTCGTTTTCATTTGTTACAATTTAAATTCGCATATTCTGCATTCAATTTATTTAAAAATATACAGGTCTATACAAATCATGATACAGCTTTAATTGATTCATTAATTAATAAATGTATTGTTGGCCTAATTAATCATTAATGTGTTTCATCTTATATACACAAAGGCCTATTTGGAATAGGCAAATGAAATGTTAAAAAGGTATAAATCTTACCCAAATAAAATCAATCAAAATGATCTTGTAGGCATATTATTGGGACGGTAAAGGGAAACATCACGTGTCATGTCACAGGGGATATCTGGGAACCTTTTATTGGTGGTTCTTTGTCTTAATTGTATTTTAATGTCTTTCTGTATTTCTTAAAGTTCTCTCTCATTCTATCAGTTCGATTGCTTGGTTATAAATTATGATGCGATTGTGGCAAATGCTGAGCAAAAAAGGACAATTGTCTTCAGCTTTGAATTTTATGAAGGATTTATTACAATAGCCGGTATGTTCCAAAAGCTACACCACTTGGTTTAGTACAATCATCATGAATTATCAAAAATTCAATCAAACATTCTTCAGATACTTTTGTTAACACATAAATGAATTCCAATGCTTAACCAGGCATACGTTAAGCAACACTGCGCAGGAAATCGGCTGCACATTTAGCAAAATAGATTGATGATAAATTAAAAGGAATACAGGATTGCGGATGTGCCTTCGATTTCGCGCTAAAATAAAATGTCAATTATACTAAATTCAGTGCACATTCGGGAAATCGTACGCTGATTTGTTACGACTGAATGCACCTTCATGGAAATAGAATTATCATTTGTTAAATAGAAACAGGGATTTTGAACGTTCATTTTATTTCGCACGAAAACGAACGCTTTTACAAATTCATGTACACATTTTCCAAAATTGTCCGGGAAAACCTATATTGAATTGCGGTCACAATCAAAGAAATACAAATATGAGTTTTCTCACTGCCATCTGATGAAGTAACAAGAACTTGGACTCTCGTGGCCTGTCTTCTAATTTGTAATTCAAATAAGGTATTATTGTCCAATTATATTTCCAACTGCCATCTTAGGTGCCCATGTAAATACTGAAAATTGAAATGAAAATGATTAAATTGAATGTACATGTAGGCATTCCATACTGAATTTGCAAAGTTGATAGAGTGCTGTACTTTTTTGAACTGTAACATTAATGCTTTAAATAAAAACTTCTTAAAACACTGACTGATATGTTATGCACACAGTTTTGTGTTGCTTTATTGGATGTGTACTTATGCAAAAAAAAAAATCTTCACTATGCACAAGTGAAATGATACAAGTTTGTATGAAAATTTTGTCCTACTTTTGTATAAATTTCAAACATTATTTTGTTTGCTAACTTTCGGTCAGAACTAAGTTGAAGAATACACACCTCGAACTAATTGTCAGTACCCCATCTGGTTATTTTATGGACAAAATTCCTAATAATAGTTGTGTAACCTAAATTCGTGCATAAATGTAGAACTAACAAAACTAACTGGTTCATATAATTTAACTTTTGCGGGGGCTGGGGGTTCCTCAAATTCTCAAAATAAAGGGTACCATTTTCCATCTAATTTAACTTTTTCTCAAGGAGTACTTAAAGGGAAAATACAACATTTGCTTTTGCTGTAAAATGGATGTCTTTGGGAGTTAATATTTTAAAACACATATTGTTACACTGACTTGTTTGAAGTTTTGTGTTTGTAGATGCTGGAAAAAAACAGGGGCCCAAAACAATAATATACCTGTAGTCTGGTTCCCTGACCCCACTTAAAATGAAACGGAGAAATTTACATACTTCGGGAATAGACGTCGGGAAATTGTAAGCTTAAAACGCTGATCGGCCGACCAGCGTTGGAAATAATAAACCAATACCACTTTTCTGGAAAATGACAGCACACCAGGTGCCATGATTTTACAGGATGCTTTAGACTGTCATTCACTAACTGTCCAGTAAGGTATTTTATAATAATTTGATACTGTAGCAATGTTTCTCGAAGTCTGCAAATGTATGTTCCCTTTGAACATGTTGAAAGGGTTCAATGATGATGTATTATGTATACCACCGGAATGTACATTTTGGGTTGATATTTGATGTATAAAGTAGTACACTGCATAACGTTTACGTGGACTGCACAATGCGTTTTCCTTTTTTTAGGCGCATACTAAGTGCATGTACGTGTACTACGTACTCTACAAAACAGAAGCCCAACAAAAATGGAAAGACGTCATCTACATGTATATATGGTGTTTTTGTTTTGTACCCGTCATTAGTTGACGTCATTAGTTGACATCATTTGTGGCCAACGGATGGGCCCAGTTTGCAAGTCAAAAACGTACATGTAATGTAATACGTGTATTGCAGTTGTGGTTAAAGTCCATTGATTTCATGTGCACTTAGTAACCTCCCGACATCGACAAAGAGATCTTGATAAAATGACTCCAAACTACGCACAGCCTTTGTGCGCAAAAACACCAACCTTTTGATTATTGGACATGTACAATTGTGCTCATAAAAACAGTAAAGAAGAAGAATAAAGTGAGACTTCGCAGTCACACGCACTAATTATGGGTTTGTCCTTGAAGTTGTTTTCTTGCCTGTAATCTTGCTTGTAATTTAGGGTCGAATTGAAGCCTATAGGTATATGACCCATCACATCTTGGTCAAATAAATCTAATCTTAACTTAAAGAGGGCATGTGGTTGCAGAATAGAATCAGTAAAAGAGAAAAGAAGTTGAAGTAATATAGAAATTAATATATTGGGGTGAATTTACAACTGTGGAATGTTTCCCAACATTATTGAGGCTGTTTTTAAAAGAAATGAGAGATGGAGCTTGGACCATTTCCTCTGGCAGACTGTTCCATATGTCGACAACTCGATGTGAAAAACTGTATTTCCGTATATCCAGCCTACATTGTTGTTTATATAATTTATAATTTCTTACCGTGTCATCTAGTTGATTGTGTTGATGCAGGGGATTGCAGGCTTAAACATTTTGTTCCACTTCTACATGATCAAGTCATATATTTTTTAGACATTTTGAGGTTTTCACAGGGCAATAAAATAATCGAACAAAAAAAGATTAACTGTCGGCATAACACCCAAATAGGCAATGGGACCCATAGACCTCAAGCTGCCAATAAAAATATGAAATCACAATAATGGCAATGGAATATCGTTTTGTAAATATTGTTGCTAAGCTACTTTCTTGCATGCAGTATATTTGTTTCTGTATGTTTTGGCAGAGTTGAATTCTTGTCTCCTGAGCCCTTCCTTGGGTCCTGGGCCCGCTTGAGGGCCCTAAAAAATTGGATTCTGGATGTGATGAAATTTTATTTCTATTTTTCTCGACTGTAATTCTCTGCAAGGTTTCTCCTCAATGGTTTATGGTATCAATTTGCAACTTTGAACCATCGGCCCTGACACCAAGTGATGTAAATAACTCGGATATCAAATTACAAGCGATTTCAGTTTTTAAAAAAAAGTTACCAACGTCTTTCACTTATAACTCTTAAACAAAATAATCTTTTTTTGTATTTTGTAATCAGATAGACCATTAATAACTTGACATCTTTTTTGTTATGTCCATGAAGTCCCCTTTTTACTTCTATGAACCTGAAAAAAATCCGTTACGTCATCATGAAATCATCAGGTGTTAAATAACATTTAAGAGATTTTATGTCAACATAAAAAAATACAGAGTATGTAAAAACAGCGGAACCCGCACCCCTAAAAAAAAAGTTCAGAATTGATAAAAAGTATGTAACACCTAAAACAATAATGACTAAAAAGTCAATTTTAGAAAATACATTTTAGATGGAACAAAAGAATCTGAAATTGCTCATCCGTTCAAAGAATATCACCATTAAAACGCAATGACTCGAAAACCTGTTTCGTCCTTTTACAACATTTCGTCCCTGTAGCCGCAAAATGAACCTAGTTTTTGTTAAGTACAGAATGCTGTAGTGACGTCAATAAAACTTTAAAATGAAAAAAAATGTTTAGGGAAAAGGTAAAAGGATTTGCCCCTATTAAAACATCGACTGGAAAAGTGCCTACAATTCCGGGTAAGCATAAACAACTTTGCTACCATTGTCCTATGTTTGAGGTCCATTGCTTATATAGTCAAACATCCATCATGGCGTACCTCCACTGGCACCACAGTTGCGCAAGTTATTATCATGGACATGTCATTAAAACAAAAATACACAGGAATTGGCGTAAAGCATGACAATTTTCACTGAAGCCCGTTGGGGCCAGGTACCTGTTTCTATATAGGCGGTTCGTTTCTCTTTCATGGTAGCTGGCCTCGCTATCATAATGTGTAACTCGCGGCCGCGACTTATTAACTCGCGGCCAGGACGTATTTATCGGATTTTAGAGCCCAATGTAACTCCTCTAGTTCTAAACGACACCTGTACAGAAGAATTCCTACTTTATTGCTTAATAATTAAAGTGTTAAACAGGAACAAACCTGAACGCATGGAAGTTATTGCTTAATATAAAAGTGTTAAACAAGACCAAAATGGAAGTTGTAGAGCATTGTTCGCCAAACTAATTTTGTTTCCATAAGAAACATATGAAAAACAGCGCCCCATAAGGCCAAAAAAAAGTCTCCGGTTTCTGGTATGGAGCTTGCCCAAAAAGTGGTGCGGCGACGCGGCTTTTATTTTTTTTTACCTGATTTTTTTGCTTCAAATGTCGGCTGATGACTGCAAATGGAGCCCGACTAAACTTAGTGCAAATATATGGGAGTCCAGAGAGGTCACATTAAGCTTATTCTCGACCATAACCCAATCTAAAAACACGTTAAAATTGTGCAGCAGCAGGATTCCAGTCAAACCAGTGAGTTTGGCGGTTTGAGACATCATCTTTCATTGAAAAAAAACTTTTTCATTTTGCCGACGCGCATGGCTACGGCGACGCGCGCGCATACCAGAAACCGGAGACTTTTTTTTTTGGCCTAATGACGGAGCGAGAAACATTTTGCACGCGATGAGTGCAAGCTATGATACTTTTTTTATATGCTAGCTTTTTATCATTATTTCTCATCAGGATGCCAAAAGATCTACAGAGCGCGCATTTTGGTCACGTACACGTATTATGGTGTTCTAAAAAGCGGACGCATTTCAGTCGTGGTCATCATGATTTCCAAATACCGCAAAAAAGTGAACTGCGGCATTTAAAAAGTAAACCTCGACGTTAGAGAAATTGTAAACCGTGGTCAGACGAAGGCCCCGACTATTTTGGGGCAAAACTGCTTGACCAGTACAGTGTTGACTGGCTAGCGGCGCACACGATAATCGAGTAATACGCCTCGTACCGTCTGCGACATTACATGCCGAACCGGGTATGGAAGCTTGTAGCGGATTGGCTGATTAAAAGTTACATTTTTGGTTATCGGTGATCTGACTTGTGACTGGACAAAAGTAGCAGAAGAATAAATAAAAGAAATAGCAAAACGTTGACTTGACGCCGAAACGCAAGTTTTAATTTATTTATAAACAAAAGCACAGTTTGTTTGAATTTCTTAACACTTTTATTGTTGATACTTTGCGGATCCAGTACCCTTTGATTATAAGTTTAAGTTTTCGACTTGCTGGGGAGTTTCATTAATATTTTCTCGACACTGACGATCATGGTACATCACAACAAAGTAGGACTTGCTCCATTTGTTATTGAAACTTTAAATCACTTTGCATTCCATTGTCTGATGCCAAAGGTGTATAATCGGATTTGAAGCCGTGTGTATCCTACCAGTTGAAATACCAGAAAACACACGTTGTTGAACAACTTGAAAATTCTGAGAGCTTTGGAATAAATTGGCCTGGAGTTGTATTCTGGTATTGCATCCTTTTGTGTCTTCTATCGGGAGACCGGCAGTATTTTTGTTAGCCCCACTACTATGTAGTACAGCAATATCCGAGCCACACTAGTGGCCTACTTTAGAACTTATTAATGGTAGTAGATTAAACATGTTAACGTTTATTAAAGATCAAACCCCATTGTGTACATGTATATGAATGATTTTACTGCTTGCGAATTTCTCAAATGCATAGGCCTACAGCTGTACACAGACTATTCCTTTTGTATCTCGGTAAAGCTACAGGCAAATATGCCTATACAATCAATATTTACTGATAGATCTTTTCATCCCATTTTTGTCAAATTTAGAAACAGTCCACCAGAATTGACAACTTGTAATAACGATGCAGCGCAGCGTATTCAGCGCGCCAAAAATAATGACGTGCATTGTTGCACGATGCAAAGCATACAATTCCCCCTCCATCCCAAATGGTCGAGTCGAATGTAGAGTTGACCTGCTGAGATATCAGGCGAAGAGATCAGCGCACGCGCAACGTAGGTAAACACGCATGAAGTATGACCCGTGTATTCGTTCGTCGGTAAGTAAAAACTTAGATTTTCCACCCAAAAATTGTCCATGATATAATGTCAATGGTTCCGGAGCAACTGTAGAATGCAGGGCCACGTACAGATAAAGGGGTTTTTTTTGTAGTTAGATGCGATATATGTGCGTTGAAAGGCTATTAGAGAGAATGCTGTTGTTAGTGTGTTTGAGTGGCAGACACTCTCAAAAATTGCTAAGTGCAAAGTGCAGGCGGTTTGGTTTCAGGAAGTAGATTAAGCAGAATGTGTGCGGGGTTTGAGTATAGAAGGGCGGAAGAGGGCGCTATTTTGATAATGTATTCCGTAAACAAGGGAATGAATGACGGTGTCATATGAAAATCCGACTCCTATGAAAATCGGACCCCTTTTCCTTATTATTGGTTAATAATGTTGCAAAGTCTTAGCGACCTGTTCTGTCAAAAATTAGACTTTTCTATTGTTAAAAACTTTCCTTTTTCCTTTTTCGAAAAGTAGAAAACGGAGAAAACGGCAGTTAAAGTTTGAGGTTTATAACCCGTTTTAGTCCGAGAGCCCAGTGAGGTTTAATAAGAATATCGTGCACAAAAGGTTTGATGGTGGCAGCGAGTAGGTGGGGGTGTCCAACCTTCCAAACCGTCATTCTTAAGTGTCACACCCCGTGCGTTTGAGAGGGGGGCACCGCCTAAAGACCCCCAAAATTGACTTAATTAGAATATTGCGCACACGATTCTAACGCGAAAAGGTAATATCCGATTAGCTTATCAATGACCAATAGTTTAAGATGAGAAATCCCGTGCATTCCATGCTTAAGAATGGCCTAATTAGTGCTAATTATTCACCTTTAATTAGAATTTTGAGCACAAGAGCGAAACCTTCACTAAAAGCTAATTAACATGACCAAAATGCAAGATCCGCAACTTAAGAATGGATTTTCCCATGCATTTTGTGCTTAAGAACGAGTTAAAGTTCAATAATTAGCCGCCCGCTAAGGAATTATTTTTTTATGTGTTTAATTAGTATGTTGAGCACAACGATCATTCCAACACGAAACGATAGTATATGAGTCAGCATTTGCAGAATTTCAACTTAAGAATAAAAAAATATCGTGCAAAAATAGTGTAAACGTAAGTGTTATTGCAAAATAACGCGGAACACTTGTAAATAGATAAACTCTTTCGTGAACTGGCGCAATAGGATTTCGGTTGAGGGCCTCCTCTACACTATTACTATACACAGTGACATGTAATAATTATAAGGGTGTTTGGGCGGTATTACAACACTCTGTTTAAGACCGGTTGGAGTCTGGATGGGCGATAATTACCCGAGAGGAAGCCGAGGGTAAAAGCACATATGCCGCCACGTTACCTGATAAACCAATTAAGAAACGCCACCAATCACTTCTAGCCAATCAAATGTGGAGAAACCATAGCAACCATAGACCTATTTAATCCCGGGACATACCGTTATTTCGTTTTACCGTTTTGGATATCCTCAAAAACAAAAACAGTAAACGAACCAATGACCATTTTGTCGTTTTACAGTTTTGTAAAACGGTCAATCGGTATTAAGATAAATACGGTTATTCCGTTTTATCAGTGTAGTAAATTTCATTACAGCATAACGATCAATGATTTTTGTTTTACAGTTTTACACAAATAACTTTGAAAAACAGCAAAACGGTCAGTATTGAATGCAGACTGTTATTTTGTATTTCAGTGTCATAGTTAACAGTCCGTGGTGCATTTTGTGGCGGTAGGCAAGGGGTTGGAGGGGGACCATGCTGTGCCTGAAGAAGTGTTACCTCGGCATAATTAATGCGTGGTGTGATTCCTGGCGCGGACACTGACTCCCATCTATTGCGATTCAGTTGATCGGGCTAAGAGTTGCAAGCAAAAATGGCCCTGGAAATTTTCAAGGAGAAAATTTCACAATGGATACAGGATGGTAAGACGTATGAAGAAGTTGCAGATAGTGAAGGAAATTAGAGTTCGGCGCGGCTCTTCAATAGCCAATATTGACAAATTCTGTCATGAGAATGACGTAATCAGTGTAAGGAGGGCAATGTGGGTCCCTGGCAATGACTGATCCCAAGACCAGGTGCATTGCTTATAATTGCTGAACCTGAATCAAAAAATGGTCGACAAGACTATTGACCGTTTTGTCATTGTCATGTTTTTGTAAAACAACACTCTAAAAATATAGCAACTAACCGTTTATCGCTTTTTACAATTTACAAAAACATTAAAAAGGTAATTGTTTTTGTGACTTAATATCGTTTGACTGTTTTACAAAACTGTAAAACGACAAAACGGTCAATGGTTCGTTCACTGTTTTTATTTTTGAGGAAATCCAAAACGGTAAAACGAAATAACGGTATGTCCCGGGATTCTATTTGCATGTTAATTGGCTTCGGGGATTTCCCTACTCACATTTGCCTTCAGGGTTCAAGGATCAAAGTATTCAACTCCCTCGGCTTAGACTAGTTCGAAATGTCATTCTATCATTGTTTTCTTCAAATGGCAGCATATCGGATCAGAAGGAATAATGTCAAAGACAGTGTGGTGTCTCTAGTGTCTTTACTATCTTTAAACCAAGACAGTATGCTTTTTAACGAAAATGTCCTGTTACTTTTTGGAAAGCAAAAAACGATGTACTCTTACTACCTTTTATTCATTTATCATACAGTTTGTCTTTTTGAGTTATTGGCACGATATAACAAAGGGCGCATAGCGATGGAATAAACGATGGAATAAAGATGTGAGCATTGTGTGCTACATTTATCTTATATTGTCTTATCTTCCATTCATTTCTCCTATCGCCATTCAGTTAGCCTTTGAACCATGTTGACGCAGTCAGTACGCCGAGGTCTGCTGTTGTGCCAGCGATGCCTGCTGGATTCATTGCTGCATCGAGGCAAAGCCACTGCAGCCAAGGCAGCACCAGATGTCAAGGCATTTCACTATCAGGACATCATGAAGCCTGATACACAATTTGATGTACCCTACAAAAAGTTGACTGGTAATTAGTCTGAATTCAAAGTGTTATTTACATAAGGCCAATTAACATTGATTTTAATAAAAAAATAATCCGTCGGGATGGGAATTTACATTTTATATTTTATAAATTCCACTTCTAACGTCAGATTAACTTACAAGAAGGCACAACAAACATGCAAACTGCTTAATATTAAGTACCATTCAACCATTTAATGAACTACGGTTTGTGTCATTAAGAAAGGGTAATGAAACTCCCAGTATTAAACAGACAAGGTTTACAGTTGACTGAGTGTTCAAACAAACAACACAACAATTGGCCTACCCATTGCCAGCCAGATATCAAACTTTGAACTTTAAAAACTTTACGACCACGAGTAATGTATACAAATACGTGCTCACTATTAGGTGCGTAGAGCGTTGTCGTACCAATACCACATCGACTCGACGTCATGGTTCCCGACTATATGATGACATATTCATTAGCATTATAAATTCTGCATGGTGCCAAGAAAGTACATTGTCGTATCAATACCACATCGACTGTCATGGTTCCCGACTGTACGATGACGTATGCATTAGCACTGAATTCGTGCGAGGTGTTCACTATGCCGTGCACAATGTTTGCGTGCAAATTAGTACGACCGTGCCTGTGGGAATCGCCTGTGGATTTATGGAGTAACAAACTAGAGTATTTAGCAGTATGTCACATTTCTTTGTTATTGTTTTCAGGGGACTTTGTGTCAACATTTGAATTTAAGGGCAGAAAGATTCTCCAAGTTGCACCGGAAGCATTGACAGCGTTATCATCACAAGCAATGGTGGACATTGCACACTTGCTCAGACCCAAACATCTACAGGTTGTAACAGTGACTCTCTTTAGGGGGACGCTTTAATCAGTCATCTGACACCCAACGTGAATATGCAAGAAGGCAACATTTGCGTTTGGATGCCCGCACTGAGTTGGAATTTTGCAGGTTATCGAAGGCGACAAAAAATGTCAACTGGGTTTGGGAGTGGGACATTCGCGAGAAAGGTGTTATAGGAGTAGCAAGCCAAACAGCCTCGCTAAATCTAATTAATAACTTTTTGTAAATCTCCTGTTTATTGCGGGTAAGTTACAAGTTTGATAACTTGTTTGATAAAGGTAAACTTTTTCTTATTTCCACTAGCAATTGAGTAGTATCCTGGATGATCCTGAGGCATCTAGAAATGACAAATTTGTAGCTCTGGAACTCCTCAAGAATGCCAACATTGCTGCTGGTATGATTTTACCAGGCTGCCAGGATACAGGCACTGCAATCATTTTAGGTAAATCCAAAATTCAGTTCCAGATGGCATAGGCATTGCAATATGCCCCTCGTTGAAATGAAAGGTTCCACAACACAAATAATCTCAAATGCTATGAATCCTGAGCACATTTACAAATGTAATATTGAGACGGGCACTCACACAGTTCCCCTGCAAAAAGAGAGTTACAATAATAACAATGGAAAACATTTCATTACCACTTATTAATATTTTTATATATGTTTCTTTACCCAGGGTGTGCCCATACAGTTCAAAACGTATTTCCATTTGGGCCCTGCACACGTAACATATTAAGGGAATAACAGTGTGAGGAGCCGGGTCTTCACTGCGTGATAATGACCGGGTTTGGGGGTGACCGCTGTTAATGGACCGAGACGAAGTCGAGATCCATTAACGGCGGTCACCCCCACACCCGGTCATTATCACGCAGTGAAGACCGGATCCTCACACTGTTATTCCCATTAATAAATACCTTTTTAACGAAATAAACAGTTAAAATGCTCCAATTGTGTGACTTTCTTTCGGCGATATTTCCAGACTTTTTTGTGTTCATGTTCATGGGCCATATTTTAACGTATGCGTGGTACCCTGTCTCTTCAATAAGCGTTGTTATATACACCACAGCCGGGCCCAGGCTGCGCGCGCTGGACAACGTCTTCATTGCGTACGCGTACGACGTCCAGGGTTTGGACTTCTGCTGCCGTAGCGAAACAAATTACAACAATTTTCATATTTTTACCTGATGGAGGAAGCTGAAATTTCGTTTACACATTCCTTGTGTCCAGAATTACAAAGATGCTTGGTTAAGGAAAGGTAAATATGTCGATGGGCGACGTGTATAAAGAAAATAAATCGTAGATCTACGCTTTCGTCTTAAACATCCTCAGTATACTGCACTGCTGTACGATGTCGTTTTAAAACTTCCTTACGCGCGCGCACCCATAGCAACTGTGTTGCGTACGCGCGCGTCAGTCTCACGCGAAGGTGGTTGAGCGCATGTGCAGTGCTGTATTGTTACAAGCTGTCGTATGACTGTTGTAAATATGACCAATCATTGCCTTCCATGGGGCTTGATCAATGCTGGTTCAGGGGCCATTTTTTTCGCTTGTTCTTTGAAGCCGGTCTTTATATCACCGTAAATACACCCCCACGTGATCGAGTCTCGACAAATCAGAAACCTCCAAGGTATTTATTAATATTTAATACAGTTAAGCAAAGTAAAATTCACAAGGAAAATGTGCATTTAGTGAAACAGACTACGAACAATAATACTAACAAATAAAGAAATATGGACACAAACGAATACTGTATACACCATCGATCTTCTCGCACTTCCTTCAATAAACTCAAGGCAATCGTAGAGATCTACTTAATATACAATGTATTTTTAAACAGTAGGGTTCTTAGCCATTGGTGTTCACCTCTTGAAATAATGTTTATGAGGGAGGTTTCGTGTGCAGAGTTTTAAAACTTCTCATCATTTTGCAGGCAAGAGGGGACAGAACGTGTGGACAGATGAGAAAGATGATGAGCACTTATCACGGGGCATCTACAATGCATACACACAGACAAACTTACGCTACTCGCAGGTACAGTATTTCAGCATTTGCATATTTTGACAGTTATCCCAAAGTTGTTGTGCAGCAGGTGTTGATTCATGGTCGATCCTTGGTCTTGGAGTGGTGAAGCTTCTTGACACAAATCTCACTGTGCTAGTCACGAGGGAGTGGTCTGTGTCGCAATGTGTGCAGTAGTAACTGTGGATGAGGAGGACACTTCTGAGATATATGCGCCTGGTGATGACAAGGTCTAGCTGCATGGTGCCAGTGGCTGGATTGAGGATGTCTTTATAAGACCTTATGGAGCTCGTTGCACATAGCCAGTGGTAGCAGCACAGCTCTAGCAGGTCTGCCTGTTCTCGTTTATCTTGCCAGTTCCATCGGGACATGATCACTGTTGCATTGAAGTCTCCTGCAGTAGGTACGATTCTTCGGTGCTAGGTATCTATGATTATTGCTTCACTCAGTGCCTCATTGGACAGATTTCTTGCTTCTGGGCTGGAACAGAAGATGGGACCATAGATGCTAAGGAGATTGATGGAGCCTGTTGATGTGGACGGACGGGGAATGAGGACTCTTTCTTTCCCCTCAGAGGTCGGCTCGATAGTGGTAACAAAAGTAATCCTTACAGCAAAGCCAACATATGCTGTCTGAGAAAAGAAGGTATAATTGGACTCTCTGCTGGAACCACTATCTGCTAGTCGAGTCTCTTGGAGGCAGGCAATGTTGATGTTCGGTCTGAAGAGAGCTCTCTAGCTGTCTATGACAGCAATCTTGCAGACGGATGCGGAGTTTCAGCATGCTTGTTGAAATAATTCTCTAAGCTCCATGCACCAGATGAAGCAGGCAAACCGTGGCGAGGCAGTATCGGTGGCTTGGGGCTGCCCAGCCTGAGGCGGGCGGTAGCTGTTCAGTAAGATGCGATGATCTCTTCCACCGCTCGTTTCCTACGCCAAGTGGATCGACGAGCTTAAAACTGCCGCTTTCGTTTTGTGCCGATATCTTGCGACATCACTAGAGTGACCTCTCCACGGTGCTACAAGCCTGAGAGGGTAATATGGAGGTATAAAGTTGCCCAGACGAAAGGACTCCTTCTTGGCCTTGCAGATATAATCCAAAGGAAAGGTACAACCAATACAGTTTGGTTACGTACCAGTGCAGCTGCAGGCGTTGCCAGAAGGTGACGCGGCTCTCTATATCCCTCCGCCTTAGGGACTCGACTCTGGATTTTCTGTCGATACAGTGGCGGGGTTGTTTACCCAAAACTGGGAGACTCTTGGGGGCGGGAATGTCTTATTCCCCGTGCAAGTCCGATGGACTAGCCCACTGCCCATTGTAGCGAGTATTGTCATTCATGAAACCACAGACATGGCTGATTTGTTGGAGCTTTAACTGTTATCCGGTTCTTTTCCCATCCGTCTGCATAACCCAGGTAGCACCCCTGGACATGTTCAAAGAGGTCAACACAGGCACCAACCTGCCAGCCCAGGTAGAGCTGTATGCCACGCCTGGCAATGAGTACAACTTCCTATTCATTGCTAAGGGCGGCGGCTCAGCCAACAAGACGTTCCTGTACCAGCAGACCAAGGCCCTGCTCAACCCTGCCAAGTTGGCCAGCTTTGTGGATGAGAAGATCAAAGTAAGATAGCTCATGATCATTCTAACTTGAGAAATGATGAGGTGGTATAACAATTGTCCCAAATGATCAAATGAAAAAATATAGTATTCAATTTTCAAGTGTGTATAACGGCATTTCATTTTACGTCGCTGATTTATGAATAATGCAATAAACTGTTTACTTAATACTTTATTAAACTTGCGTATATATCCAGGTGTTAGAGATATCACTTTGGAATGCAAAACTGAAATCGGCCTGACAGAGGAGGACAAATCACAAATGGGCACCGAGCCAGTGTCACAAGTGACTGTATAATTTATAATTATTTTTGGTTTTGAGTGTTTGTGTGTACGTGTGTGTGGATTCATTAATAGGTTGGAAGTTCCAGAGATGAATATTCAGTATTATTGAGCAAGTCGTTCATGGTATGTGGGTGGGCGTGCCAAGGATATTGCTTTTGTTACCCGTGTGTGTTATAGTTAGCAGTATGAGTGATCGATAGAATATGAACATTTGCCATATGCCTTCCAAAATTCCTTGCATTAAAGGAGCTTGGGTTTTTTGCCTATGCTAAGCTGCTGCAGACACTTGCTCGCCAGACAAACGAGAGAGAGGACCTATTTTGTCCGTAAACAAAATTATACAGCTAGTCTGATTTATATTGCCAGCTCTAGCCTGAACAGCCAACAACCATGGTTTTGTACTGAAAGTCTGTGGTCTGCAAAAAGCTGACATTGTATGCAACTCCAAGACAGTAACGAAAATGCTAACTGTAAGTTGAAATTAGTTTTTTTGCCCACTTTATTCCTCGTATTTATTTTGTATTAGAATTGAAATTGATTTTATTGTTAGGGCAGTAATTCTAACGTCTTTATATCTTTACTTGCTAAAAATGATGCGGAATCTTAGTTTGAAATTTGGCTTGTAAACTTTCTAATCTCAGATGTCACAAAGAATGGGAAATATTTCTACTGGGTAGAGTGAGCCCCGCACGACCCTGAAGAACTGAAGCTCATGTCGAGGACCCCTAACTCTACCGGACCCTGTGAACCTGAGTGCTGCATAGTCGTTTAGCAGGCTAACAAGGACCTGACGGCAGTCATCTTTAGAATTGTATTCAATAAACTGGCTTAATAACACAAAGTTGATTTGGATTTTGAAAGTGCGATTGTAAATGATGATTAAGCGCAATATTTATTCAGGTTTATGGGCGCGCGGATACCTCGAGAATTTTTTAGAAGATCCTTGATGTTGTTGATTGCGATTACATCACACGCTGAACGCGTGAATAACTGGCGGTCCTTTGTGGAAAGTTCTACCCCGTACATGTAGATAGCACGAAATAACTTTGCGTCGCGTCACTCTCGATTCCACCTCTGACCGGAAAATGGGCACATTTTTGCCGATGAAATTTAACCCACCACCACCCCATCAGCCACCTTTGGTTTTCCCCCTGTTCTTCTCTCTTTTGGGGTTCAGAAGCTCAGCTTTTTGCACTTGTTTGGCGTTTTTTCCCCACACAAACACTGGTTCTATCTGTCTATCACCGCAATTATCTCAGCTTATTCCTGGAAATGTTATATGATTTATCAAACAGTTTTATTTTGTGTTCTGAATTGTTAACAAGGTTATATTTAAATATTTTATATAATATTGTAATTTTTTTCTGGTACTTCAAAGAAAGTTTGTAATTGTTTGTAAACTAAATGGAAACTATATATCTAGTTACATCACAAACGTCTTGAATCTGAGTAGGAAGTAATAATACTGTGTTGATGTTTCATGGCAACTATGCTTTACTTTGAAAAATGTAATATTGTCATGGAAACAAATTCAATCTTTCAAAATAATGAACATTTTCTTGCAATGTATTTTATTTATCTAAATAAAACTTCAAATACTAAATTAAATATAAATTGAGATAATATACAATGATTTAAAATGTAATAAAACATTAAGGACTACTGAACCCCAAAATGGAGAGTGGTTGTTTCGGTTTGATGAGTATTCATTTTGAGTTCGAGTAACTCAAGTCCATAAATAATTTTATAATCAACTAGATTGAAAGAAGGATTAAGATTTATACAGAAAGAAAAGGTTGAACCAAAATTGAAGAGGTGTTATTTAAAGAGTAAATTGTTATTAATATAGAAACAGGAAGGTTTTAACTTAAACAGAAGAGAAAATTGATAAACGTAAAGTGAATTACGATTTCTGAACTTTGAGGTCAAATTGAAGATACAGAAAGTAAATCTAAGAAAGTAATTTTGAATTATTGAGATGTTAAAGAGGTGAAAGTTTGAAATTTCACGGGTTAATTGGTGATTTGAAGATAGGAATTGTTACAAGTTAAGATTTAAGGTAATTGAAATAATTACAGTAGGAAAACTCTTAGTGTCAAACAAGGAGTGTTTGAGTTAAAGATTTACGAAATTTAAAGGAAAGTGCAGATATTGAAATTTGAATACTAATTAAGAGGAGATGTGAGAATTGAAATATTTGAAGAATTGATAGATTTGATTGAAATGATTGACAAATCTGACTTCAGTGATCAACTTAGATTGAAACATGCCATTTTGTAGAATAATTGAATAATTGAATAATTGAGACACGGGTACAACTCATCTGGATATCGTGAGCTATTTTACCAATTAGATTTCTGAATACATTGGTAACTGAAAATTAGATTTTTATTACAGTTTCTATTGCAGCTCATGTAAACTCCTCTTTCTAATTGTGTGGTCCATTTTATAACTTTGGAATTGTAAATTTGGTGACGAGTACTGCATATTTTAAAACTTCTCTGGGCCAAGAATTCCGTAATAAGTTAGAGACCTTTCAAGTCTTTTGTTTGTCTGTGTCACCATGTACTTGACGTGTTCAGTTCCCTCTAACAAATGACCGTAGAAAACCTCTAAGAGGTACTTTTGGGAGTCCTTTTTGTTTGGGAGGATTTGGTTCAGTGGACAAATTCTTAATAAATGGGCATGCAACATCCATTTTGGTTCTTTCTGAAGTGGAAATTTTTGGTAATTGATCTTTTGCATTGATCAGTTCTAGAGTTACTAATAACAGTTTGCACTTTTGTTATAAAGCCCATTTACTGATTGGTCTCCTCCAAGTACGTCGTTACTGCTTCCCAGTATACCATGGCAAGGTTAAGATTTTAGAAACCAATAATGCAATTAAATTTTTATATGATTTTGAATCACACTATTTGAATATTTTCAGACAATTGGTACTGCTGCCTGCCCACCTTATCATCTGGTTTTTGTCATTGGAGGACTATCAGCAGAAATGACCCTCAAGACAGTCAAACTGGCCTCCACCAAGTACCTAGACAACTTGCCAACAACAGGTAGAAACTACTAAGGTTTAGTTTATGATACGAGGTTTTGGATACAAGATTATTAGTAAGGCAAATTTGGGAGGACAAATCATAATTTTCTTGTAGTGGTCACAGATTGTTATTACGTCATCTTGAGACAAGTCATTCATTCTCAAGTCAAGTGACCGTCCTATGTCATTGTGCATCCCTGTCTCATGATTGACTCGATTACACTTGTAATGTGTGGATGGCCATCAGTTGGCATACATTCCAAGAGTGGTTGGCAACAATGTATGCAGTCAGCATTTGAGATTTGTCAGTTATTTATATAGTTTATGTTTATTTAACAAGGGTTCTTTTATTAATGTATAATCATATCCCTTGTAACTTTTCTTAGAGTTTGGCAATAATGGCCCTCCATATATCTACATGTAATTTTAGGCAAAACTTTCAGCTGTTACAAACACCTACATACAAAGCAAATGATCGTATATGCATGTGTTAATGTGGCAACCCTCGAAGAAGCATACGCAACAACCTTTGCACAAGCGTTGAACCTCTTCGGTGATGGCTTTTATTGGTAAAAGTCTATATATCATTTGGACTTGTTTCAAGGTAATGAGCATGGGAGAGCCTTTCGTGATCTGGACATGGAGCAGCAGGTGCTGGATCTGTGTCGGAGTACAGGCATCGGAGCTCAGTTTGGAGGCAAGTACTTCTGCCATGATGTCCGTGTTATCAGGCTGCCTAGGCATGGTGCCTCATGCCCCGTGGGTGTAGGAGTATCCTGCTCTGCCGATAGACAGGTGAGTATCGCGCTGGGGAAAGATTTTAGACTTGAAGACTGGATCGATGTTGATTACATAAGTTGTGTATTGAAGTCATGCCTCTGATGCCTATGTATGGACTGTTTGATTGCAAGTACAGCTGTGTGACCTAGTCGTGAGAGCTCCAGGGTGGACTTCTTGCACAGATCGAGGGAACATATGGTACCCCATATAAGTCGGTAACGGTACCCCAGAAGGGAAACAAGAGAAGTAAGAGTAGAATAATGCAAATACCCATCCATATGATTGGGTACTTGCATATGGTACAAAGTGCACACAACTTTAGTTTCATTTGAATGTGCACAAACATCTTCGGACACTGTATGCATGGCCACCCTCATACACAGCCATTTTCGAAGGAAAATTACAACTGCATATTCAACTGCGTAATTAGGTACGACTGTGCGCACATTTTGTAAAGTGTTGTTCGAAATTTCTTCGGGAATATTGTTGATGTACCCTAACGTGGCGCGGCCCCTTATGTGGCACATTTTTATTCTTTGCTTCTAGTGCCTTGCTAAAGCAAACATTTTTACCTCAAATTTCACAGTAAGTGAAATTTTATCAAGCTGTAGACATTCCCGTTCATAAATCTGGAGTTTTTGGTACCCGCTACAAAGTTCCAGAGAAATTCTACTTTGGCATGATTTTCAGATTTTATTTTGAAGTGCAAAATGAACCCTTTCAAAATGCGCCCAAAAACAAAAAATAATGTTCTGACAAACTTGTAGTTGGGTATTTGATTAGTGAAGATAATACTGATTTATCAGGATCAATTTTAAAGAAATGTGTGGGATTTTCCGTGATTTTGTTGACGTTAGGGAACACTCGGCAGAATGTGTGCCCAATTTCCGGATGCCGCCTTTGTTGAATTTCAAACTAAATATCATGTTGCTGAAATTGTTTACAAAGGTTCAGCAGCAAGCATAATTATGGTAATAGTACTAGTATTAAACTGAATAAATTTGAAGTTTTTCGACAAAGAGGTTTCACAACACTGCATGAGGAAAGTTGAGGAAACGTTGAAGTGCGCCACGATATGGGACTCCACTATAGGGCACTGCCGATGCGCGTCACCAAAAATTGACTCCAACAATGCAGATGCACGTGACAATCTGTAGACAGTGACGTCGTTTGAGAGATATCTATTGCAGTCAAGTGTCCGCCATCTCTCACAATATCAGGGTTGAGAGGGAACTTGTGCATAGAGGCTGTTCAAGAATTAGAGGAGTATTAGATTGTTTTTCTCTTTTTCTTTATAGCAATCATGAATTAGTGTCATTTCAATGATTCATAGCACTTGTAGGCAATTAGAATATCTAGGGTATGAATACATTTAACTATCACATGCTTACTGCAAACAGCTACTCAAATATATTGCAATGTTTGTACATACTTTTCGTTTCAAATTGAACAAAATCAGGTTTTTTTTATAGTTCTCTAAATAAATAGCTTTTGCTATTATCCTTAGTCCATTCTATACCTGACATGATCTAATGCCAAGCAAATTTGACGTCTTAATAATTTCTTGTCTAGCCATGATCTACAACGAAAACATCAAATGATGTCTTCTTTATATCACTCTCAGATTCTTGGCAAAATCAACGAGGAGGGAGTATTCCTAGAACAACTGGAGACAGACCCTGGAAAGTACCTCCCCGAGATACAATTAGAAGATCTAGAAGGAGATGTAGTCAAGGTACTAAACCATCTCACGATTCAGTTGAAACGATCTGGCGCATGATTGGCTGTTTGATGCTATACAAATGCATGGTTTGTGGGGAAATAGTGGAAACTAATGGCCGCATGGTGTTCGCCTCAGGAGATGTAGTCCTAATCATCCAACACCGAGGGATAATTTGTTTTCACAATTTCCCTGCAAAAATATGTTGTATTTGTTTTACTACACCTCATAAATATTTTCAGGCAGCTGCGGTATTTCATTTTGCCCACCATGCTTTGATCATGCAGTATTTTTATTAAGCGGAATATTATTTTCATTTAAAGAGATAAACAGAATAGGAAGTTGATTTCATGTCATTTAACAACTTTAACATTCACCCAAGACACTGGATTTACGTTTATTGTGTACAATTTCACAAAGTTATCCCTCGGTTAAACTCGCAAATCGATCACCACCGGTCGCCATTTTGATGTATGCCGTAATAGACTAGCACAACTGTCCTCACTGGTGATCTCACATGTAAAGCGCATTCGACGTCGGTAAAGAGATAATTAACACAATACTGGAACAAATCTAAGGCTGCGACCCCGGTGTGTGATAGTACTTCCCGTTTTTGCGCATCACAGCAAAGGAGAGAGAAAGAAAGAGAGGAGATGATACATTGGAATTCCATTTCCAACTACTGATAGAAACACTTTTAATGAATAAGATATGTTATTTGTTATTTGTTATGTAACATGTTTTCCTTGGCTGATGACCAGGTTGATCTGAATCAGCCGATGAGCCAGATCCGTCAGACTCTGTCAGCCTACCCAATCAAGACTCGCCTCAGTCTGTCTGGAACGCTAGTAGTGGCTCGGGATATTGCTCATGCTAAGCTACAGGAGAGGCTTGATAGCGGGGAAGGTTTGCCTCAATACATCAAGGATCATCCAGTCTATTATGCAGGGCCTGCCAAGACACCTGAGGTACATTTGATTTTAGTTGTTTTAACATTCCGTAAGTTGAAAATTGCATGAGTGATTTGAACAATCTTGTACCAAAAGAAAGCTTATGAATTCGGCTTTCATATCCTAGATTTTGAAAGTGCTGCATGCAGAACTTCACTGAAACAATTGTCCCGACATTTTGGGATTTGTTTTACTCAACCTGTATATCACATTTCAAACCAGCCAGCCCAGGCTAGCTTGGTGGTCAACTTGTAAGACGTCTGCAGCATGAGGCTGTGGTTCAGTTCCACCCAAGTAAGCTTGTGAATTTTGCTTGTGAATCTAGTGGCCGCAACAGGAAACAGCGCCACCAACCGACTGGTGGTGCTTCGTTCTGAGGATGACTAGTGAAACTAGTCGAACGTAGACGAAACTACGTAAGTAATTGGCCGTGTTCATAGAAAATTCATTTACAATGTCCGCAAGGCAATCAAGTGACCGTGGCGACTAAACAGCTGAAAGCTGTCTTTTCCTGTGCAAGTTTTAGTAGTTCCTCGAGGGGCCGGACACTGGAGACTTCGGACTTCCAGCTCGTGCGAAGCCTCCCTCTGGGTCTCCTCCAGCTAATTGGTGCCTCTCTATCTGAGTGAAGCACCATGCATAGCTTGTTTAAAGTCTCCTCTGTCTGATCCAGGTTGTCAGTGGTGTAGGATTGCCGAACTGGCTGTATACTGGCTGTATAGGTGTGGTTTTATGAGATGGAGAATGACAGAGATGAAAACTTTCCCGGTACCGAGAGAAGGGTTATTGGTCGGTGATTTGATTGTTGGTAGCGGTCCCCTTTATTTTTGTACCCAGACACGATGATACCATCGTGCCAGCACTGGGTCAGTTGGTGAGTTACTGGACCACTGGCTGCCCTCGGCATCTCAGGGGTGATGCCATCTGTGCCCTCAGCCTTAGTCTACGGATGACAATTTAAATCTACTGGATGGTAGGCGGTTCTGTCTCAGTATCCAGTGAGGTTACTCCAGCACTGGCAAACTGCTGCAAATAGTTGTTAATAGGGGCAAAGGGTGTTGAACGCAGCCATGTAATGCTCACGCCATCCCTGTGGCTTGGCCTGGCAATCCGTCAAGACTGCATTATCCGACGAGAGCAGAGGCGAGGAGGAGTGTCTGCTGTCGGTACACAGCTAGGGCACGTTCTGCACTTGTAGGCAGATTTGGTGTCATTAAGATGGAATGCCATATTGTCCCTTCTGATGCTGCGTCGGCGATCAGAGGGCTCTTTACTCTATTAAATGGCCACTGAGTCTAGCGTGGCGTTATGTCTCGACCAGTTCGAGGGAGATTGCTGGTGAGCGCTGCCGACGTTTAACTCTCGGTCCAGCAACTTCCATAGCTCAGTCACCATGGTCTCTTCAAACTGGCCCATGTATTCTGTACTCCATCAACCGCATCCAGAGCAGTAAACCTTTTGCACTGATATGCACTTGTTCTGGTTGGCATACCGCGGGATGCGGAATTTGTCATTGTCAGGGCGAGGTGCTTTTACTGTCGCGATCACAGGCGGTGATCTGTATTACCAAATTTTGCACTCCTGAAGACACGGCAGTCCGACAGGGCCCTCCAGCGTCCACTAAACAGGATGTAGTCAATGGTGGTACGGGTAATGCCATCGGTTGAGTACCAGCTGACCTTGTGAATGTCCTTATGTTGGAACCAGGAGTATGCAATGCACAGATTTGTGGTGGCAGCAAGTTCTAACATGCGACGCCCATTGCCATTTGCTACCCCTGTAGAGAATGGACCCAGTTTGTGCTCATAGCCCGATCTATCGTGAACAACTGGTGAATTAAAGTCGCCAAGGACGATTATTACATCTCGTCTTGAGATGCGCTGTAATTCTAATTGCAACGTCACGAAGAAGGCATCCTTATCACTGTCATCTGCCAAGTTGGTAGGGGCATAACGGCAGAAAACTAAGCTGCACGGGTTTGGAATCAGAGATATGTCCTTCTCCCAGGCGGATCACCGACCAAGGTTAACAAACTGCACCTGCCCGGAGCACCTGTTTATAGTGCCAGGATCTCACTCGCAACCTCTGTCATTCTGTGAGAAAGGGGGTTGGCACGAAAAACCAGACAGTATGATTTGATTTAGGCTAATTGTGAGACGCCCTGCTTTGAAAAGGGTGGAGGTGGAGGAAAGAGTTGCTTAAATTATTCTCCATCCCCACCCAAGCATAATTACCCTATAATAACCCAGTCATGTCAAAGCTACATAACCCAGATTTCCAGGACTGGCTAGCCAGTAGCAGGCGCAACAGGACTGGCTAGCCAGTAGCACTGGCCCAGATTGACCGGCAGCTGGTTGGCCCAATGCAGGCAGATGCCATATTGTGAGATATACCCCAGATTTTACACTCAAACATGACTTCTTTTTTTCCCCTTTCTTTTTACTAGTAGAAAATCGGGATATGGACATTAATTGATATCACAATGTAGTTGTTTCAGTCAATGCATTTTGGGTTCAACTATATTAATTAGTTCTCTCTGCTGTTCTTTTTTAAACTACCTCTGACTCTTTGTTTGCTGTATCAGGGTTATGCTTCAGGTTCGTTCGGTCCGACCTCAGCTGGTAGGATGGACTCGTATGTAGATGCCTTTCAAACAGCTGGTGGACTTATGGTCATGCTAGCCAAGGGGAACAGGAGTAAGCAGGTATGTGTGCATATAGGCGAGTCTGGGCAATAAGTCATCACTGTACACTCACGAGAGACCCCCCTTGTGCATGACCAACTGGCCTGTGATGGATCATTTGAACACTTAGCTTTCACAATGCATTCGCTATTTAAGGGACCTTTGTGATAGAATTGACAGCGTGCCCAGATTTAGGTGTAAGGCAAATTCCATCCAGGGGACAAGTTATGTCTGGAATCGACTCCAAATTTTCCAGGCAACAAAGGGAAAAATCCCAAGTCAGAGTTGTGAATTACAAATGTTGTGCTGTCATCACCAGTATGCTATAAAGCGCAAAGCGTGTATACATGATATGACAGATATAGGGCTCCATACACAAGCAGCCCTTCAACGGAAAGGGAGAGTTGGGGTGGTGCATGACCTAGAGATCGGTTCCCGATCGGTTCCACTGCATATTTCGAATGGTCCAAAGTTATTGGGCGGGGATTAGTCTTGCAGACCATCGACAAGATGAATTTGAGCGTTGTCGCGCGCCAACGACGCCTTACGCTTGAACGCAAAGAGCAGTAACTTAGACTTGGCAAACATTTAGGAAAATGAAGTCGTGTGTACTTGGCGCGCGAGCCAATACAGTACGCAGAAGTGTCTCGTCCAAGGGCTCTCAAAAGTGGTAAAAACGCGCCCTCTTTTGTTGGCGCACGTAGCTCATAGTGAAGCTTTGCCAACATTAAATTTATTAAGTTAGCAGAGGTGCAGTGCAGAAAGATAACGTGTCAAAGTTAAGATCTAATCTAGGCACAATTTTTCAAAAACTGCGCTAAGAAATATGGGGTTTTTTTCAAAAGATAATTGTTGACTAGCACCAAGCCTAGTGGCAGCACTGATCAGAAACTTATATTCGGCTCATTCTCTTCAGGTGACCAAGGCATGCAAGACACATGGCGGCTTTTACTTGGCCTCCATCGGAGGTCCAGCTGCCCTGCTAGCTCAGAACTGCATCAAGAAAGTGGAGGTGCTGGAGTATCCAGAGCTGGGCATGGAGGCTGTGTGGAGGGTGGAAGTAGAAGACTTCCCCGCATTTATTGTTGTTGATGATAAAGGAAATGACTTCTTCAAGGAGTGGCAGATAGATTGAAAATGAACACGAGAGCTGAGCCAGCAAAGGTAGTTGATTAGTGAAGGATCTTTCAAAGCGAGAAATAAAAGACTAAGAGGTGCTGTTGTTAAAAAAATTCTTCTTTTGACCATTCAGCAGTTTACGAGGAACTTGTACAATGTAACCCAACCGTGCAAAATGAATTGGAAGTCGCCAGAGCTCCTTTGAATCACAGGCTCTTCAACAAATCTTGCATGATGGAAAATCTATGTTTGTCACTTGTCAATGTTTCGCCCGCATAATTCTTACCGCAATGTGGCAAAGCGAGGAGCTAATAAGGCTCTTTCTAATACATTTGGAAATTGAGTAAATTGAAAGAAAAAGTTCTTAAGATTTTTTTCGTCGAAATCAGGTGAAATGCAGATAAATAATGCTCATCATTGTTTTGATTTTATGAGTACTGAGGACAATGTTGCACTTGACCTGAATGCACAGAATCTCAAGAATTTGTACTCACTTGGGGAACCCCCAGTTTTCATAATTCACTAGTCCATTGCACCCAATTCAGTTACTGACAGTAGTGCATCTAGTGCGTCCCAACAACTGAAATGTATTCAATAGCTTTGAAAAGTGGAGAAACAGAGTACAAAAGCTTTGAAAATGTACGCGCGAGTATACATATTGATATACATCTTAATGTGATGTCTGCCCCCCCCCCCCCCGCTTCGATTGCCGGCACAGATTTACGCCACTGCTTGTAACTGTAGGATATGTAGAAACCAAAGAAAGATAGAAGAATCAAACTATATACTGAAGCAGATAAGTTGATGAAAATGAAAAGAAATTTTGAAATACCTCAGGTTTAATTGTGAACATAGAAATGTATTTTACATTGCACATGTAAGTGCAGCGACATCTAATTGATACCATGGACAAAATAATGAATTACGAGTTACATTTAAGTCCAAGAGCATGGATTTCAGACACCATATTTTATATCTTGTCAAAATTGATGATATATATACCAGCAAATTTTCGTATTTAAAAGTCAGGTTTTTATAAATTGCTGCTAAAACCGTGCTCTGATTGGAAAGCTTGATTTACATAGTTATTGACACTATAGCCAAAGACATCATGAAAGGATCTCGAACGCAAAATGCACACTTTTGAGTATGTATGGAGGCCCCCCCCCCCCTCAACAGTAAACAAAATCCGATGTAAAGGAGATATCCAAGATGGCGGCCAATATGGCCGCCAAAAATGGTAAAAGCTGGAAAAATGCATGTAGCAGCCAAATAATGTGATAAAAGAATAAATAAAATGGTTAGTTATATGTTTTAGACCCTCATAAACTCATTTCTGGTATCCCATTTTTGCTATCATGATCAAATTCAAGATGGTGGCCACTTTGGTGTCCAATATGGCCGCCATGTTGGTCAAAAATGGAAAAAAGTCATATATCAGCCTAATAATATGTTAAACTCATGAATACAATTTTTACTTATATGTTTTTGGCACTAACAAATTCATTTCTGTATCACTTTTTTTCTAACATGCTTCATATTCAAAATGGCAGCCAATATGGCGGCCAATATGGCGTCCAATATGGCAGCCAATATGGCCGCCTATTTGGTAAAAAGTGAAAAAAGTCATATATCAGCAAATAATGTAATAAAATTGTTAGTTATATGTTTTTTGCCCATGCGAATTCATTTCTGGTATCCTTTTTTGCTATCGTCAGATCGTGCTTCAAATGCATGATGGCGGCCAAGATGGCGGCCAAAATGACCGCCAAAATGGTATAAAAAATGGAAAAAATGCCATATATCACTCAAATTATGTGATGAAAATATCATTAAAATTATTATTTATAAGTTTTTACCCTTGCAAATTCATTTCTGGTATCCCTATTCGGCTATCATGCTTCCAAATCAAAATGGCGGCCAGTATGACGGCAAATATGGCAGCCAATATGGCCGCCTAATTGGTAAAAAAGTGAAAAAAGTCATATATCAGCCAAATAATGTGACAAAAGCATCAATAAAATTGTTAGTTATATGTTTTTTACCCTCGCAAACTCATTTCTGGTATCCCTTTTATTGCTATCATGCTTCCAATTTAAGATGGCGGCCAGGATGAAAGAAAAATGTGAGAAAAATTATAGAATATTATATAAGCCAAATAATAATAATAGTATACATTTAATCATTAGATAAATGCTTTGAACCCTTACAAATTTAATTCAAGCATTCTTTTGTTTAGCGACCATGAACCAAATTCAAGATGGCTGCCAATATGGCTGCCAAAACTCAACTAAAAGCATGTCCTATAGACATTGTATAAAGCGATTGTCTTCCGCTTTGATAATGAAATAGCATAAAATTTCCTCTAGCTCAACTACCAGTTCCGCATCTTCTTCCTAGCTCCACTAACTGGAGGTAATTGTTAAACATAGCGATATCCCTGAAGACATGGGGCCCTGATACTGCTAATCGCTACTTAACGTATACTGCTTTACTGGCGAGGACTGCAACTGTGCCTTCAAGGGAAAGGGTAAGAAAACCCCTCTGAAGAAGCTTGAGAAGAAGCCACGGTATCAAGAGTGTTTTGCCAAATTGGGCGAAAGCTGGGAAGTAGATGCGGAGCTGGTATCGTGAGGAATTTTTATGCGTCCTCTATGGATTCGCCAGGGTCAAGAAAGTTAAAACAGTAAGGGCCCTCATGCTTAAGAAGATTTGTTGGTGAGGACTGGGCCATCAGGAGCTCATCTTTAGTTGGTCTGTCTAGGCTTCCACTTCATTGTATGCACCTCACATCAAGCGTGCCAATTACAGGGCAGCGCAGTGGAAGAGGTCAGATGTACCCATCCAGGAAAATCTACCTCCTAGGGAGCACATGGCTGCATTATTTGGCTGATATATGACATCTTTTCATTTTTTTGACCAATAAGGTGGCCATATTGGCTGCAATATTTGACGCCATATTGGCCGCCATTTTTAAATTGAATCATGATAGCAAAAAAGGGATACCAGAAATGAATTTGAAAGGGTTAAAAACATATAACGACCAATTGTATTGATGCTTTTATCACATTATTTGGCTGATATATGACTTTTTTTCACTTTTTTACCAATTAGGCGGCCATATTGGCTGCCATATTTGCCGCAATTTTGGCTGCCTTTTCAGTTTGAAGCATGATAGCAAAAAAGTGATACCAGAAATAAATTTGTGAGTGTCGTAAACATATATAACTAACAATATTATTTATGATTTTAACATATTATTAGGCTGATATATGACTTTCTTTCCCATTTTTAACCAACATGGCGGCCATATTAGCAACCCAAGTGGCTGCCATCTTGAATTGGAAGCATGATAGCAAAAAGGGGATACCAGAAATGAGTTTGTGAGAGTCTAAAACATATAACTAACCATTTTATTTATGCTTCTTTCACATTATTTGGCTGATATATGCCTTTTTTCTAGTTTTTACCATTTTTGGCGGCCATATTGGCTACCATCTTGGATATCTCCTTCGCATTGGATTTTTTTTACTGTTAACATCCAAAATGTGTTTTAGGACCCTAAAAGGCACCCAAAAAAATGGTGTAGGTTAGTTCTGGGGGGAGTGCACGGGGGTCCCCCATACATACTCCCCTAATACTTTGTAAAGTTACAATGTCTAAACAGTTTTGCTGCTGCTTTTTTAGTTAATTCCTCGAGGATTTTTGTTTCATTGAAACCATGGTCTGTATTTAATACTTTTAAAAAGTCCGTCTGAATACTCACAAACCATTACTTTACTTTTTGTGTGCTAGGACAAAAAACAGTAATTAAAGATCTGTAAAAATAAAATTTATTGCACACGTTGAAATACATTTTGTACATTATTTCTATTTTTTATTTTAATACTGGAATGAAAGGTGCATACGGCATAATGCAACTTTGAAAACTTTACTCAGATCACAGTTAAAGCAAAATTGTGCGTATCGTATACATACTTATAATACAATGTATGTTAAAATAAAGAAGGAACAATACGACGGGAGAAGCTAATTATATTTGTGTCGTCTTGTGTTAAGCATGCAAATACATTTAATTCAAATGTCTTTTTAATTAGTTTCTTCAAAGAATTCCACTCTTTTGATTTCCTTTCAACATAAGCTGGGGCAAAGACGCTCTCCCCACCGCCATCTTAATTTGAGTATCCTGAAAGTGCTCATTGCAGTCACTGCCACCAACACCACGTAGCCTCTCTGAAGTAAAACCCTCCATTATGGTTGCACTGTCTATTAACCGGGACGTGTGCTTATCTCTTGTTCTTGCCTTCTGCTTGGAGTGTCGATCTGTAAGATGGTGTCTGATTCTTATCTTATCTCTTCAACCTTTGCATCGCCTTGTCTCCTAACTTCATTAGCATCCCCGAGAGGTACCTCTCTGCTTTGATTTTCCTGCTTCACGATAACCTTCTGAACAAGAATATTTATGACTTGAGGATCCTCGGACTTCAACCAATGAAAGACTATGTCCTTCTCCAAAGGTACATTGTTAACCATTGCTGCTTGACCCATGAAAAGGTAGGTTTATATATGTTCTCACCTACTCGACTCTGATAACTCTATGCATGTGTATGACTTAAAGCTTTGCATGGATGATGAGATGTGGAAAGAAATCCTTTCTGGTAACAAGTATGGTTCTGAAAAGAACCGGCTGGTTGAGTGCATAACTCGACGTTTTTCGGACAGTGTGCTGTCCGTCCGCAGGCCCACCCTTCCGACACAATACCTGGAGTTTGAATGCTGTTGGGTATGGTTAATATTTTTTGTCCTTTCTCTTAACCCTTTAAATAATTATAATAATAATATCGCTTGTATCTTTTGGTACCCACGCTATTTTCACGATGCTTTCACATATGAGTGGGATCAGCGAACTAGCAGACGATCATGATTTTTGTGTGTACTGCATTTTTTTCGTGATTTGTACATCCAAAGTTCCAAGACAGAAGTAAAACAAAACAAATGCTAACTGCTGTGATGATGGACATGCGTTTTGAACACCCTTTTGGCGCCCCATCACACATCACAGCAGTCAACAATGGACCGATCCAGTAAGCACCGCCCCATCATAGTGTACTGACCAATCACAGCCGTGATTTATGTCCGACGTGCGTGCACAGAAGTCCGACATGCGTGCACGAGCGTATGATGCGCACGGCAGAAAAATGCAGCGTGGCATTGGAGAGGAGCACGTGGTAATTTGCCCACGTGCGCAGTGGGCGGGGCTTACTGGATCGGTCCATTGTTAAAGAGGTTGTGGAATGTATGAAGACA